AGAGCTGACTTAGAGGGGGGATAGTCTTCTTATATAGTACTTTATATATTCTATATAAAGCTAATAGCTAAGCCTGACTATATCCCCAGAACTGATTATGCAAGCTGTATAAAGAAAGTTCTATTTACTGGAGAACTATTGGATTCACTGGATCGAGAGGAATTATACAATAGAGAAAATAATAGTAAATAAAATAAGCCCTGTCTATACTTATACTGCCTACTAACCAGCTATAATACCGCCTGGAAAGAAAACTGAAGCACAGAACTATTACCCTAAACCTGTACTACTAATCGTACGAATACAAACTACAAAGAGAGATAAGAAAGGAGAGAAGGGCTTCTATTATAGAACTAAGGCCCTAATATAGAGCTCAGCTTCAGGCACCAGTTGGTGCCTAAGGCCTTGTATACTATATACTAAACTAGCGCTAGCTTAGTTCGTATATACCTGAAAGAATTTTATATAAATAGATGAAATAGCTCTCCAGCTATTTCTTCTTATTCAAAGGCATATTTTGATTAGTACGATCCATCCGTCCCGTAACAATAAGTAATACTTCTATAATCTAGTATAATTTTAAGTAATTTAGCTAATTACTTCTTCTTCTAATCTATTGCATTATATTGGTCTGATGAATTATATCTAGAGATATACCAGCCAATCAGAATGCCTACCGGGCCCCATCCTAGGTCTGATGAAGGTCCATCAGACCAACCCTTGTGGATTAGAGCTCAGTTGGATCGGTGGTGTCTAAGGGACAATTATGAATCGGATAATAAGAGGACCACAGACGAGGAAGGCTCGGAGTTAAATTACTCCATTAGTTCCTAGACCTCTAAACCCTTGGTGACTAAAGGTCGGGGATCCAGGTTGCCTATTTTTTCTAGCTCATGGCTTGAGCAATACCGCAGGCTGTATTTTCTTCCAGCTAAGCTCAAATCGAATTTCGGTTTACAGTTCACCTCGCTATGGCTCTTAAAACATCAACAGTCTTGAAGGCTTCTAGGCGGTATGGTACACAACCACTTATTCACATTTAAAAAAAAATCACTCCACGCGTTCGTAGCTTATACAAGCGCGTTTTCCCGGCATGTTTGTAGAAACGCCTTTTGAAAGACGCTCATTAGACCGACTTCAGTATCTCATTATATATAAAGAGCCCTGTCGAGTCGACTACAATCGTACAGCAAGACACTCTCAACAAAGGTGAAACTACTGGTGCGTATATATCCGCAGTTCAACTTCCGCTAGCTATCATAATATTCATGAAATCGTTCTCTCCCTAAACCTCGCAAAGCGCCAAAATACAGTAAATAACTATACGGCCTAGGCAATGAAGCTGTCTCAATACTTTCGGGCAAAAGAGCCGATGGATTAAGCTGGAAGGTTGTGCGATGATAGTCGCCATTTTCCCAGGCAAGGCCAAAGGCCTCGAAGAACCTTCTGAACTTATCCATGGGCGTAAAGTTGGGGAAGTGCAGGCCGACTATGGCAATCCCGCCATTTTCAACATAAGCTTTTATTTTGACGAGCACTTCTCGGATCTCTTAGTTGGGTTCGGTAAGGCCTTCGTCTGCTATGATGGCTGCTTTGAAGGTGGTCTCGGCGATTATTTGAAGCGCGGCGTTTGCGGTCTTCGCGCGCTTGATGTTAGCCACTTCTGCAAGCCTGTTGAAGAGCGTGGAGTAGACTTCGTCTAGAAAGTCGCGATATGCGAGAGAGAGAAGAGAATTCGGGGTCTCGCGGCTAAGGCCATTGTTGTGACTTTGGAGGCCGCCTGTTTGTAGCTTGGGCCTTAAAGAAGGTGTTTAGTAGAACCCACTTAACTATCTTAAATACAGCTTAATGTTCTGGTTCAAGCCTTCCAGGATGACTGCAAGTTAAGCTGGAGGGTGGCCATGGAATTCCTAAGTCTGCCTTATATGGTATCTTTTGCATAATCTCAGAGCCCAGTGATTGGTGGCTCCGCACCTTGTGACGTGGTCATCTATCTCTGGCCCATGCAAAGCTGACATTTCCTCTCGTTGTGCCTCCCCGACTGTTGAATCCCATGGGAAATATTACGTCATCCCCTTCTGCGCCAGTAGTTAGTTCGTGTTAAAGCTGTTGAGTTGCCGACAATAATTCTCCAGCCTAATTATACAATGAGCCCAAAGCAGGCAATAACATGACTGTATCATTGCAAATACGCGAACCAATCACATATCGCAACGGAATAATCTCTGGTGACGTGGCCTTGAGGCTTGACGAGGCTGATAATTCTTAACATTTATATTCAACCTAAAATTCTTACGAATCCCCCTCATCAAGAAACATGGACGATATTCAGGTTCCCCCAAGAGTAAAATTACTAGCACGGAAAACTACAAATGACGACGATCAAGCATATGACTTTACCTCAGATCTCCCTCCTACACAGAGACAGCACTTTGACATTAGACTACAATTCGTTCCTAGATTTTTTTCCTTTTTTTTCCAGGATCAGCCATCCTTACCGATCACGAACAATGCACTACCCGGATTAGTTCCAACTCTACTCCCGAAAGATACTACTCTTCACAGACGCAGGTCCAAATTTCCACGAGATAGTCGCACCCGTACTCAGGAATCAATTTCGCCCAAAGACCGCCCTGGTACCGCTAGAGCCGATGAATGTAATAATAGCCGCGAAGAACATGGAGAGAAAGACAACACAGGCTCATGTGGATCAACTCTGTCCACTTTTGGTAACCGGGAGAAGAAACATGATGCCGTGGAGAAGAGACATAAGATACGGGTAGAAGCCCTGCAAAAGTTGTTAGGCTCAATGTCCCCAGAAAATGGATCTCCTATGGTTCTACTGTGCTGGGGCGAAAGCTCCCATTGCTCAATATTGCCTGTACTATTTGCAAACTCGGGAGATGATGTGGAGACATGGAGAGAGATACACAGAGCTTGGTACGCGCGCAGAGGATATTGGAGGAAACATCTGCCAGGATATAGTATTACACGAGTTGACGCTGTCAAGGTTTGTTTTGAAATTTCGTCATTCTGGGAAGGATTGCTGATTACCATACTAAGATCTCGCTTCTGGGATTGAAGAAGGCCTCGAAAGGCCGGGAGAATCGCGAATATATTGGGATGTATACGGAACGCGACGTTCCAGCCGAGAGGAAGCTATTGCAACAGACTATAGACAACTATGTTCCTATATCGGACTGCTTTTACGATCGTCGCACGGGAACTGTGGAATGCGGCTATGGTTGTAATTGTTTTTATTGCTTGCCGTGCTTCGATGATGCTGGGGAATGCCCAGAAGAAACATACATTACTGCTAGACGGAATATTGTACACTTGAACACGCTGCACCTGATGAAACACGTCTTCTCCAACCCCGACCTCGCTGTCTTGAATGATTTTCTCAAAAAAGAAAATCTTCTATACAGTCACCGGTGAGTGATACAGAGCGATAACTATAAACCATCTTAAGTGACACAAATGCTAATCTAAGTACGATAGGGATGTCCTAGACCTAACGGAGACTTGGAACAGTTGGCACTGTCCAGCTTTGAGAGAGATCGAATTCAGGGGTATAGTAGTCAGCGAAGGTTGGGCGCTAGATAAGCGTCATATAACTTTGCCTTTGTTGGTCGCTATATTGCTAGGCGTGGTTGTTGCTGCTAGGTTCCTTTTCGGTTGGGATACAGCATGGAATGTTGGCGCCTTTTTTGTCGCACTAATATCGCTTCTGTTGTGCATATCCTACCAGTTGTAGTCTAATCTTGTTTTTGGCTCTCGCCGTTCGCTGGAGTATATGATGACTGTATTAGGAAACATCCAGATATTATGTTCCTCTGCCTGTACCTAAAGCTCTTAGATCTAATTGTATTTTCTTCCCTTGTCCCGTTCGAAAAGGAGTGTAAGCATCTTGGCGCCCACATATCCGCGCTTACAGATTACGAGCTTGATTAGTTAACTAGCGCCCGTATTTCAGTTGATCAGACTGGCGCTAGTCCAAAAACGATATTCCGTTCTTATTGAGAAGTTTCGCTGACTGGAAACTTGCAGGTTCATAGCGATCGGATATGTCGTTAAAAGTGCACGTGGATAAGGCTGAAATATTCTTGCGGTAGACTGGGGAGTGCCGAGATATTAGGGAATAAACGTGATCTGAGACCTCGGCGGTAGATTTCTCTTTGACAAGGCGACCGGGCAAAAATCACGGGCGTATTTTTCTACATGGTCTGTTCAGTAAACCGCCATGGTCAAACTAAGACCTGTTTCGAGCATACAGCTCAGCTGTTGGGGGGGTGTTCACTCATGGTAACTCAAATTGAGCTTCCACATGTGTCTCACGCCTCTCATTCCCAAAGCTGGGCGCACGGTTGTTTGTTCAAAGGAGTCACAAGGCCTCTGATGTAGCTTGGCCATTGGCCGCACAGACACTCATGCTATTCAGAACTTAACACCAATTCGCTCCTCAATACACAGAGTAAAGTGTCTCGGCTACCTTGCAGAACAACTCATACCTACACTACCCCGCATCGCTTTTTACCTATATTAAAGTAGTAGAATTCTCCCAAGTCTTGGTCTGTCATATTTGCTTTGGAAAACTCCTGGTAACTGCTTGATAGCCGACATAAAAATGGCCAAATCATCTAAAAAGAAACTGAAGGGGCGCTCATCGAATGAGGTGGCCAGGCCTTCCCTGCCTCAAGAGATTCCTCCAAAAATTGACTATCACAGACCGTTGTCTTCGTAAGTTATTCGACTATATTGAAAGCAGCATATTCTGATTTATTTGCTGGCCCTACGAAACACCGTTTGTTACCCTCACTATAGGAAATAAGCGATATGGCCTTCCGGCTCATTTTCTTCGGAAATACCCAAAATTCCAGCTAGCACCTTATGGGCTTTCAACAAGTATCACCATGTCTGATATCCACGAGGATGTTGGACATACCATAGTGCATTTTTTATACACAGGTGGCTACGAGACAGTCAACTCGCCTCTTGGTGAAGGCACATCCGATATCTCCAGAGAATACAAGAAGAGCGTTCTCGCCTACCACGCCTCAAGGACGTACGGCCTTCCTGAACTTGAGACCCTTTCCAAACAAAAGATGAAGCAACTAGATGAGGAGGTTCCTGTTCTTGAAGTACTGCAGGCAACGAGGGACGTTTTTTCAGGCCTTCCCGCTGGTGAAACATGGCTTCCAATTTATATTGAGGGGAACTTGCAACGACTATTAGAGCCTGAAGATCCAGCGCTTGGTCTACGCGATGTTTATAATATTCTTGGCCGAGACCACCAGTTTGATAATCTCGTGATGAAAATAATCCTCGAGATACTCTCTGTTCGTTTGCGTTCCATGCAAGACCAGCACGGTAAGTCATCTCACCGATAGGACGGTAGTATAGTGCTAGAGCTGGATTGTTTTACTAATGCATCATTAGGTAAAAGCCTGAACGGAACTGGCCCAGCTTATTCTCTTCCTGAAGAGCCTGTTCCTGAAGAGCCTGAACCTGTTCCCGCAGAGGCCGAGCCTGAAGAATATGAACCTGTTCCCGCAGAGCCTTTTCCTGAAGTGCCTGAACCTGTTCCCGCAGAGCCTTTTCCTGAAGTGCCTGAACCTGTTCCTGAAGAGCCTGAATCTGTTCCCGCAGAGGCCGAATCTGGGCCTGAAGTGCCCCCTGTTGAAGGGGAATTCGAGCAGTGGACCATTACCCAAGCCTCCTCTAATACCGAAGGCTGGTCTAGCGCTTCTTCATCTCCTAGCGATACCCCCAATCACGAAATACCACCCAAGGCTCCTGATCAAACACAAGCCCAAGGTCACATAGCGAGGATTTCATGCGCAGACTTAGTACTGTATGAGAATTGGGAAATTCTGTCCCCGAAATCTAAAAAGAAAAAGGCTCAGAAGCTTGCGTCAAGGGGCCTTCCCATTCCAAGTGAAGGTGGTTTTATTTCAATAGTTGCAAGGTGAAATGACTTGGAGCGACTTCAATCGAACAACTAAATATCTGACTGCGTATTCCTAGATTCATAAGTATCAAAAGAGGACAAATAAATATACAAGTACTAGGGTAATCCTGCAAAGTGAAAGGAATGATGGGTCTTTGCCGAAAAGCGTTAAAGACTTTCAACTTTCAATCTTCCCAGGTAGTTCGTTCCGATGTTTGTTAAAGACACGTCTATTCTCATAAGGCTGTCGTTTTGCTGAGTCTTCTTTCTACACTGAGATTTTGGCTTTTTAAACTACCCCGAACAAGTGTTGCACGCCAATGACAGAGGCAAGAACTTCACTTAGTCGGTAGCTGCGGGGCTCGTCGGGAAAGTAGTCCTTTCTCAGCGGTTCATCCGGTATATCCGCACAATTCTCACAATTCCTAAAGCTGCCCTCATGACCGCCGAGCTGATGCTCAATCTCTGCTGAGCTGGATTCTCTGTCCCACTTAGTATATTGCCTTTCAAGCCTTGACCACCTCATGATACCATGTCTCTTCGACGATTGAGGCACCAAGAATATTAGCCCGGAACGCTGTGTTGCGGAGCGTTATCAGGTATAGTTCTGCTCATGGCATCGTTCAAAGACTGGTTGGATTTGGGTATCCTCGGCGCGTGATCACATACTGGTAGCATCCTGTTCCCTTGCACCGTCGGCAAAACATCGGACAATAGACAGACTTCTTCTGTTCACTTGCACTCATGTACCCCAACTAAGCCCCAGAAACAGGCTAAGATATACCCTAAGACTGTCGCCACTGGAGCGTCCTTTCCCACAGCATACAGCTACTAATTAGTAAGGATTCTTCTTCCGTGGACTAGTCAACGATGAGTAAGCGCATATAGTACAAGAGTACTCCGTACAGTATCTCTAGTCGTTCTATCGGAACTAATAAAAGACAAGTAGAGAAGAAGTGTACCATCACCACGCTTGTGGATGTACAAATTGGCCTGGTAGTAAGTACAATTGGCGCGGCTGAACAGATTACGACAAACCATCTCGAGTCGAGAAGCTATCAGCACTTCGAAAGCTGCGTAGGCCCTGAGGGAAGTCCCTGGCTCGATGGTTGTTCTGTGAATTTACAAGTCAATGGCTATATGCACAAGGATTCCCTATCTATAGCAAGCTTTAGTCTCGATAATACTCTTTGATCCACACCACAACGGTTGTGCCATCGGCCAGAGTAGTTTCTCTGCTCTTCCAAGAGAAACCTTTCACTTGGGGATAGAGCACCCACCATCCATACCAATAAACCCCACCACTGGCTAATGCCGAGATGGCAACCATTGGGGTTAGCCAGAAAGGAAGGCTAGTATCACTAACAAACTCATGGTTGAGAAATGGAGACACAACAAGAAAAATCTGCACGAGCAAGAAAATCCAAGCCACGCTGTTCCACACCCGGAACGTGCGTTGCGGATATGCCAGACGCCTACGAATGATGAATAGCCCAACCACCACGGCTAAATATATGATTGCAAAGGCATACTGCCCGACATCGAGGAGAAAGCTGTATGCGTCGCCGAATGGAATTAGAAGGATCATCACAGCGGAGCCAAGGAATAAGCCGAAAAAGGCGCCCTTGGGTGTCGCAGACGGGGTGCTGCTGGCGAAGAAGGAAGCCCACGGCAACACTCCCTCTCGAGCAAACGACTGAATGACACGCGACATGGAAAACGACGCGGTCAAAAGGCTGCCAAAAGAGGATAAAGCAGCCACCAGGGCTGTGCACCACTGGGCCGTGTCTCCCCAGACTTTCCCTACTAGGAGCGCCACAACAGTGACGCCGGTACGACTAAGCTCTTCAGGTGTGGCAGCACTGAAGTATGCCGCATTGACGAGAATATACAGGATTCCTACTGAGCCCACTCCAAGGAAGCTCGCTATTTTCAGCGTGCGTCGCGGATTCTGGACCTCGTCGAGAACGTATGCGGCATTCGACCAGCCTTGATACGTGGCCAGGATTTTGAACAATGCAGAAGTATAGTCATAGATATGAGTTGAGGAGCCTGCAAATGGATGGTCGAAGCTTGCGCCTGAACGATGTTCCCTGTGCTGATCGGTTGAGACCATGCGCAGGCCAGTGAAAATGACCACGATGAGGATCAGGATCTTGGCAGAAGCGAGAACATTCATCAGATGTACAGCGAATGTGCTTGCTTTGATATGCAAAACGGCGATGACCGTCATGACTGCAATAGCGAGAATGCGTTTCGTCCATTCATCTGCAGTGCCGTGGACAGCTAGTAGCAGGTTCTCGGCTATCGCAATGCTCCCGATGCCTGAAACAGTCAAAAATGAGAGATTTGGGGCATTGACAGACATCTATAGCTACCTGTAAAACCGAGACAAATGACATGCGTTGCATAAATGGTCACGGCGAGTAGAGGCGGACGTGGATAAGCGGCGTTGAGGTAGACCTTTTCTCCTCCGCTACGAGGCAGTAGGGAGGCCAGTTCCAACCAAATCATTAGGCCACAGAGGGACAGAGAAAACCCGGCTGTCCAAAGCAACAAAGCCGCACCGGCGCTTTGGACGCTGGCGGCGATAGAAGACGGAGTGGAAAAGATGGCTGTCCCGATCATGCGGTTGATACTGTTCGATATTCATCAGCTCTGACGGGCCCTGAACGCCTCGTAGCCTTACATCAGAAACGAGGTGGACGAGACCCCCAAGTGGCGACGAGGCCTGACACTCTGAACAGCATGCTGAGCTGGGTCACTGGCCGGAAGAAGTGAATCCCTCTCTGGCTCAAGGAGGTCAGAGGTGATGGAACTCTCCATCTTTGTGGTGTTGTGGATGTGGTGGTCGCCGTGGTTGAAGCAATCCAGGGGTGACCGCCTGGGCAGAATAGCCAGAATGGCAATTCGCCGCCCAGACAAACTTGCAAATGAGGCAGACTGTGCAAACCGTGCAAATTATGCAAACAAACAATAAGTGTCACTCACTCTGCTTCCCCCACGCCGCGTATCAATACATCGAAGAACGCAGTGTCAAATCCTTGGAACACCCAATCATCGATGGTGGCCGCGACGTCAGGGATAATACTGCCTTGCCCACTGAAAGTATCAACTGGCGTGCTCGGGGCAGAGTACAACGCAGGAGGCAACAATGGAAGAGTGGGTGCGGCAGTCTCCCGGGGGGGACTATCAGCTCCGGGATTATCCGGTGACTGATCGGACGACGCACCAGATCGGAGGTGGATCGACCCAATGCCTCCAAGGGTGACCCCTGCATAGGATCTGGGCGCTTGATTTCTCTCGGCATACGGCACAGATGTTACGCCTGCCGGTCCGATGGTGATTACCCCGAGATATGGCACCTGGACGACCAACGAGATGGAGTCATCAGTCTGCTGTGTAGTGGTGCCCTGCGATCGGCGGGCACCGCTTCTGTGCTTCTGTGCGGCAAGAGCTTCGATCCTTAGGAGATCTTTGAGTAGCGCAGCACATTCTGCGGCAAGTACGTCTGCGTGTAGCTCTGACATGGACCTCATGCATTGAAGCGCTTGCTCCACCGTCGCCCGGTCACTCAGCCTCTGGTGTGCAAGTAGTCGATCCATCTCGTGTTGTCCGTCACTCGCAAGATGTGCAAGCATCAACGTCATACCGGCAATCAAGGCCATAAAGTCGCCCATTCGACAGGAGGCGGTGATCGGATTGAATGTACGAATGGTGATCTCGCGAGTCAAAATCTCCCGGCTGGCATTTGCACATGCTACCCGTGAATACACTATGTCCGAGCTATGGCTTTGGCACAACATATATGGTAAATGCAGCTGGTTCACCAGAGTGTAGTAGGCCATGTGATCCAATGCTCGTCGAGTCTCCCGATATGCATCCAACGAATCCACTTTCAATCCTGCAAATGCTAATGGCTGCCAGAAGGTTGAAGGTAACTGTTCACTCATTTCGATTAACTTCTGATCGATCTCTTGCGTTGTCTCCTGAGCCTGCTGTGAGGATCTGATCTGGTTTCGCTCCAGGATTCTTGCTGTGAGGTTGGTGGCCAGCAATGACAGGCTGCAGTCCTCAGCCGAAGTGCTTGCTGCCTTGGAAACTGGGAGGTTCGTTCCAGCAGTGCTTGTAGGGAGGCCCAGGAGCAAAGACAACATACGCTCCATATAAACAATGCAAACCCACATCATCCCGGGCTCGAGATCGGTTCTGGTGCCGAGTTGTTTGAACCGATGATGGTCAGGTTGGTGCAATCCCAGCATCTGTGCTGCGGTGACGGCACGACGCATTGCCAACCAAGCGCGCCGAATGTTGCCGCCATCGACATGGTAGACCCCCTCCAAGATGATATTTTCCAATCCTTCCAAGGTGCTCAAAAGACTGTCATTTGTGGTGACCAAGGTGATGGCCGACTCTGCGAGGCCTTCCATGATGGTGTGATGGTGTTGCTGGAGACCTGGAATGACCGCGGCAGGAGAGAAATACTGCAATGCCGTCGCAAATAGCAACATTTGCTTGGCCAGTAAGACTGGATGGGATTCCGGATGGAGTAGGTTTGGAATTGGTACTGGTTGTTCTTGTGCCGATCCTGACCACGTCGGACTGTTGGACTTGAGCGTTGACTGATAGCATGATATGGGAACTGTAGTGATCTTTGCTCGCAGAGTTTCAATGTCATGTCTGGAGGGAAAAGCCCGTCGGAGGGCGTGTGTGATCTTCGCATGAGCGGCTGGCTCGGTCAGACTCCCAGCAATATCAGAAACCGGGGTCAAGCCCGGAGTCAGGAGCAAGTCTGCCGTGTCCGAATCCCATTGACTGACACAGGGTGCGCCTCGGCGGACGCACGAGATACACGACTCCTCGTCCGGCCCAGCAAAGGTGCATCTGACCTTTCGTCGACGGCACTCGCGGCAACAATGTGTCCCTTTCCGGACCCGTCTCCGTCTGACCGGATCTCTGCCTGAGCGTATATTCATTGTGAAGAGTGCTCGCGACTCTGGGATGATGCAAAAGGAGAGCAGGAATTGGAGTCAGTTGAGTGCCAGGATGAAGCGGAGGATGAGACCTTCGGCCGAACTGGCTGACTAATTCCTCCCTTGCCCTCACGTTCGGCCGAACGCGACCAGCGCATAGTCATACTAGTCAGTCTTATCATTTGCTGAAGAGTTGATGAAAATAACCCGAGTACAGTTTGGGCTTTTGTGGATCGCTGACCCTAAGGCCAAGCCGCTGTATGAGGGTCAATACTGTCCTTGTACTGTGTTCCCATGGCATTGTCCAGGTCTCTCCACTCAAGTCATAGTGTTGAACATTATCATCGTGGCATACCTGTATTGTCACTGATACGCGTGCAGTCCTCTGACTTCAGTTCTACGGGGCAGTTTGTAGGTTCACTGTAGGGCTTAGATCCTCTGTGTACCAGAAGTTGGGAAAAGGGAAACCTACAGATGTCAACCCCGTTAAGTCGGCCCCTCTTGGCCTCCCTTCGGCGAGCATCACGACTAAATGTGTCAATCATACTATGCGCATATCTCTGCAATCCTGCAGCCGTAACGGACATCAGGAACACGAAGACTTGATCCGACACAGCCACTATCGTTAGAACTCACGGCTATATTGTCCAGCTTGCTTGTGTTCGGCCGAAGTAGCTGACAAATGGTCTGAAACTGGTCGAACGAGCTGTCGGACATACAACTCATTCGCCCGCAACCGAAACTTATAACCTGGGAGCTGCACTTTCTTCATGCCTGCGCTGACTCTGTCTGCAGTAGCATTTATGTTGTAGTTTCTGGCAAACACAGCAATGGCTGAACAAAGTCCGACCACATCTGAGAAGCCAGCGACCGGCCCACCGAGTACGATGACAGCGCTCTCTACATCCAGCGCCACCAAGCTCGATAGCATCAACACCCAAATCCCAGCAGATGATGGCTATCCCCATGGCGCGCGCTTAGCTGTCATTGTTGTTTCGCTTATGCTGGGCATGTTCCTCGTGTCACTTGATAATGTACGCTGACATGCTCCATGATACACCAACCAGAGAAGCTGACCTATGCCTAGACCATCCTTGGCACGGCTATTCCCAAGATCAGCGATGAATTTCATGATTTGAATAAAGTCGCCTGGTACGGAGCGGTATACTTCATGACATTCGGTGGTGGTGCGAATGATTCCGGTGCGGATTCTCCGAACAATGCTAACCCTAGACAGAGTCTTCCTTCCTCGCCACACTCCCTAAGAAGTTCTTCCCATCCGATCAGGGTCACTGTTCTCTAATACCACTCATTATTGGCAGGGTTCCAGTCGACTTGGGGAAAGCTCTATAAATACTTTCCCCTCAAACTTTGGTTTCTGGTCGCCTTGTTTACATTCGAGCTGGGAAGTCTCCTCTGCGCAGTCGCGCCCAACCCTATCACTTTGATTGTCGGCCGGGCGATTGCAGGCTTGGGCGGTTCAGGTGTGACGGTGGGTGTGTTCACTATTCTCGGATTCGCAGCAGCCCCAGAGAAGCGTCCGCAGTTGCTGGGTTTTACGGGCGCCACGTACGGAATCGCGGCGGTTCTGGGTCCGCTTATCGGTGGTGCTTTTACAGACAAGGTGACATGGCGCTGGGTATGTTCCTCACCCTTACTCCAAGGCCCCGACTGCTGACCCTTCACAGTGCTTCTATATCAACCTACCCATTGGGGGGCTAGCGGCAGCGGTTATTCTCATTTTCTTCCAAGCCCCCGCCAGTGCAAACCCCATGTCCGCCCCCTTGAAGGAAAAGTTGTTGCACATGGACTTCATAGGGGCTGTACTAGTGATGGGTTTGATCATCTCGTACATTCTTGCGCTCCAATATGGTGGCCAAACTCATCCATGGAACAGTAGCGTCGTCATTGGTTTGCTTGTCGGCTTCGTCCTTATGCTTGCGACATTTATCGCATGGGAAGTCTTGCAGGGGGAATACGCCATGATAGTTCCACGGCTGGTAAGGATCCGTCCAGCTTTATCGATCGTGCCTCTTGACTGACAAAAAACATGAGGATAGTTCCTGAAGCGCTACGTCTGCGTGGGATCCATCTTCATGTTCTTCTTTGGTGGCGCATACTTCACGATCCTGTATTACCTTCCCATCTACTTTCAGAGCGTCTACAACAGCAGTCCGATTGGATCTGGAGTTAAAATGCTTGCCTTCATCATTCCACTCACAATCGCCGCGATTGTCCTAGGTGTTGCATTGTCGAAGATTGGCATAGTACCTCTTTTCTGGATCATCGGAGGAGCGATAGGAACCATAGGTTGTGGATTATTTTACACAATGGACACGAATACTTCTACCGGCAAGTGGATTGGGTATCAGATCCTGGTGGGCTTTGCCACTGGAGGGACATTTCAAGTGGCTCTATCCAACGCGCAGGTGCATGCTGCACCGGAGGATATGTCGCAGGTGTCATCCATTGTCAACTGTAAGTCACCTCTGCCATGATGACGATGGAAGGCCTATGGTCTGACATCAACCGAGTAGTCTTTACGACAGTGGGCGGTTCTTTCTTCCTCTCTGCCGCACAGTCCGCGTTCAACAATCAGCTGCTCAATTACATTACCGTCAAGCTCCCCGAGATTGATCCATCGACTGTGCTGGGTATTGGGGCGACGCAGATTCGACAAGCGTTCACACTTTCGCAGGTGCCCATTGTGATTGATGGGTATGTGGTGGGGTTGAAAGTCGTCTTTGCCATCACCGTGGCTGCCTTTGGAGCGTCCACGATTATTGGCTTCTTTGGGAGCTGGAAGCGACTTCATGAAGATTCTTTGAAGAAGGTTGCTGGAGGGGCAGCATAGTGGTTCTTTCCGGTTGTTGTTTGGTTTACTTTGGATGCAAACCGCCGGCTGCACAACCCAGGTACTTCAAAAATATATATCCTCGAGAATGGGTGGGGTGTTGCCTGCTTCAACAGACAACAGGCAGGTCAGTTTCCGGGAGATGCGGGAGTCCGTGCGCGCCAAGGGCAGAATGACTAATTCTAGGCAATTGTGCCTCAGGCCACGAGTCTAGTATTTGTGCTGTATTTCGGGTGGGGTCTTGAGATGTAGATGATCTGACAATACTTAGATACTACTAACTTTGATTGACTAGACATAATTCTTTTCTACAGTGACGCACCCGGCTCACTGGCCTTCCTTGGACAGAATTCTCAAGCTGAAGTCAAGTTGTAAATCTTCTTGATGTCACGTAGGGTCTCCTCAAAATCGATTTCCAGATCACGCAGGAGACCGGTCTCCATGTCAAAGATCCATCCGTGCACGACGGGGAATTGGTGCTCGTGGAAGCTCTGCTGCACCGCGGCGGTCTTGATGATATTGCGGCAGGATTCTACCACATTCAACTCGATGAGACGCTTGTACCGAGCAGTCTCGTCCTTGATCTCATCCAGCTCGCGCTCATGCAACCGGTAGACATCCCTGATGTTGCGCAACCAGGGGTTCAGGAGGCCCAGGTCGGAAGGGCTCAGGGCGGCCTTGACCCCGCCACACTGGTAGTGGCCGCAGACGACGATGTGTTTGACGTGGAGGTGGCGAACGGCGTAGTTGATGACGGACATGACGTTGAGATCGGTGTTGGGGACCAGGTTGGCGATGTTGCGGTGAACAAACACCTCCCCGGCCTCCAGCCCCATGATCTCATTGGCGGGGACCCGACTGTCACTGCAGCCAATGTATCTGCATGGGTCAGTCCAAGAGGACTGGTCAGCCTTTGTTTCATCGATCCCAAACTGAGGGTCATCCTCAAACAGCTAAAATCAGTTTAGTGGGCGATGGTCTTACAAATATTCCGGGGTCTGGCCAGCATTGAGCTTCTCAAAGAAAGCGGGGTCTTCCTGCTTCTTGGCAGCCACCCAGGCACGGTTGTTCTCAAACACCCGCTCGTGGGAGTGTTTGAGGTAGGCGGGGACCGAGTCGTGAGTGCAGTTGGAGGAGGCCATTTTTAATCGTCTTGTTGTAGTTAGTTTAATGATCCGATTCTATGAGTGGGGAGGAAGAGAGAGAGAGAGGGGCAAGGGGGGGGAGAACTGCCACGTGTGGGAGAAATTGGCAGAAACTACGGCAGCCCAGTGCATCCCCCCACGCAGTGCCTGCTCGTTTCTTATCGCCTTATCGCCTTATCGTCTTATAGCTTTATCGTCTGAATCTGATCAAATTTCGCTCTCTATTGGGGGTATCTTCTCTCTCTCTCTCTCTCTCTCTCTCTCTCTCTGTATGCATATAAATCCTCCTCAACATCAACAAGCAGCCTCGGTGATCTGGTACCCTGTTTTCGACGCGCGGTCATAGACCAGCCCAAAGACCTTGACCTCATGGTTCTGGGCTTGGCTCAAGTTCTGGACCTGCCCCAAAATGTTCAATTCCACCATGGTTCGGTCCCGTTCCTGCCCGCTGACTTGATCCAGCCGGTGCGTGTGCTGAGATCGCACCACGTCAAGGTTCCTGCCTCCAATCATTAGCACCGCATAGATTTCTCCACGAGTCAAAAACTTAGGTGGTTACGCACTTGCTCCAGGGCTCAGGAAGACCAGGATTGGGCGACCCCTGGACGATATGGCAGCCATAATGCCCGCACACGACAATCTCACGAATCTACCACACGATGTCAGCCTGCCTTCTTCATTGATCCACGGATCATCCCTTCTCACCTTTAGTTGCTCCAATGCATAACCCAGAGTCGCCCGGCAAGACAGATCGTCTGTTACCATGTTGCCCAAGTTTCGGTATTCCAAGACCTGATCAGGCTGCAGGCCCAAGGTCTCCAGCTCGTCGTAGTCACTGTCAGAGCAGCCAATCCACAGCACCTGCTTTCCCTTTGATTGCTGCCAGGGCATGGAGCCCGATTGCACCTGGTGCAGCTCGTATCGTGTCCGTAGCTGATCTTGCATTGTGTGAAGTGGTGCAATTCGGGAGGTCAAGTTTCGTGTACTGACAAGGCGGGAGATCACGGAGGGACGGGAGCTGAACATGAGTGAATGAAATTGAGATGCTTTGCGGAAGAGTAGAGAATGAGTGACTGGGAGAGAGAGAGAGTCTTATACTCAGCGAGGTGCCCCAATACAGTCGGGCAACGAGATGAAACAAGCTTTGCTATAACTGTACGGCAAAGAGGTCTCGGCCGAAGCGGAGATATCTCGGGAGTATTCAAGCCCGGCCGTTTTTTGATCGACCGCCCGCATGACGATACTCCGTCGCCTGAAGACTTTGGTTGCAATTTCCGATCTCTGCTCCATCTACCTGCACTATCGGCCGAAGCAAGTGGCAACATCAGCACCCTTTTTCGTCACAAATCCAGAGTTTTTGCCCGGTTCCTGCATTGTATCGAGCATTTGCACAGTGGGGACAGTCTTACGTATTCAGCTTCACTCATATACCTAGGAGTATAGCATTGCGCCAGAGAAGCTGATATAAGATGAATTGACTGCTAGGGTGTATTCGTGTACACCGTGGGTGGTAATGTTCACTTTTGGTCAGGGATGATCGGAGAGAAGGCCGAAGATGGTGTGGGGCCAGGGGTAGCAATGCAGGGGCCGAGAGTTCGGCCGGAGGGTGGGGTTCATTACACCGTTATAGTCATAGTCATACACAGTAGTATAATAGAATAGCATATAAGTTAAGCTTCGATGTACACCGTATGTAAGTAAGGTAATCACCTGCCTCTACTAGTTTAGGAAAAAAGTTATTCGACTTGCGATCACATGATTGCATGCTGAGGATGTGGTCTGTGTTCACCACACTATACATTCCCTTTCGGTTACCCAGTCACGTCATAATTTTCGTGGAAGACACTGCACAGACACAAAACGAGACACATGAAGAAAAGGTATCGCAGCTCAGGCAGCTACACAATCTAGAGAAGAATCTTAGCTACATTCGACAAACCCACTGCTACTGCTAGCTCCAGTGTGGGTGATCAAGCCCGCCAACTGGTCCGCAGTATTGAAGATGACGCGATCTGCCCCCGGCGATCCTCCATCGTAAACAGCCCCGTCGCTCAAGATCGGGAACTCATAGTATGTCCCAGAGACACTGAAGTCGAAGCCCTCATAGTCATGGTAGACATGCGGATAGTCATGGAGGGTCTCGCCTGATTGGTAAAGAGAGTAGCCTTCCGCCTGCGTTGCACTCACAGCACTGGCACTGTAGCAGTGGCTACCACACGTATAGGCGCAGCTGGCACGCTCAACGTTTTCCTTGCGAATTGGAGAAGCGATCGTCGCAGGCAGAAGAAGAGGGAGCAACGCGGAAAGGCTCTATTTAACAAGCATCAATACATTGACACTGACCATCCCCAACCGGCAAGTCACAGGCGAAGGTTCTTACCTTGATCTGCAACATCGTGTCTAGCTGGCCTGCGAGTTTCTTCGTGGTCTTGGATGAGGAATGCCGGGAGTGAGTTGAGTAGCGAGTGGTCCGGTGATTGCCAACTATTTATGCCTCACCACCTCATTCTCCTCGTCGGCCAGCTCCCATCACCAGACTGCAATGCAAGCGACCAGCAATATGGAAATGCGCCGAGGTAGTACTGCTGCGTCTAGTGGGTGATAAGATAAACAAGGCCAAGGGGAGCCAAGGCCAGCCACGGGGGGCACGTTGTCGAATCCGAGGCTGACAAGAGTCAGTCTGTCTTCACGGAACTTCCCGTCACCCTGAGTCTGCGCCGGAGATGCCGTTGTTATCCAGTTGATAATAACAACAAAAGCATGTGAGATTTTGCGGCCGGATTAAATTGTTCAGCAGAATGAGCACGCTGCAGGAGGGCTGCGACATTGTCGTATCAGCCATCGTATTCGAGCACGCATGGACTGACACTCATCTGCGCCTTGATGAGATTAATACTCGCTTGCGTACAGGCTATTTTCTCTACCTGCTGGTATGTGCACAGAAGTAGAGTAGATACATCTGAAATTCCATTGAGCCTGGAGCTGATCAGTTCCGTTGCCTCGGTTTCCTGGAAAAATCGTTATTCAACATTTCAAATAGACAGCAAAGCCCTTGCAGGCTATGCTAATGTGTTTGTAGCTTCTATTCACACCAGCTTCCGGTATAAGGTGATCTGGAGAATAGGCCGAGACGTCCCGACCAAGTACGTGCTTCCTGCAGCGCGACTGACATCATGAAAGGCTATTGCTGTGGCCCCTTCGCTATGGATCCCTGTTCCCATGCTTCAGAGGAATATTGACAATCCTTATCGCGGGGCACTTGAGATGACAACCAGCGGAGGGGATAGTCAAACCATGAAAGAGCAGCTGCCCTGGGATTATGCTAAGCGCGAAGAATTCATCTCAACGGTATGGACTGTGTCACAGAATTATCGCTTTTCCAGGCGGAAAATCAAGACGCCTGAAATTTCCACGATTTTGCCGAGGCGGCTGAAGTTGTAGGCTCGGAAAGAAAATTGGGTGCGTTGCTCGATTGTGAGCTGGCGCAGTTCATGTCAGAACGAGGATGCGTGAGTGAGACAAGGAACATAAGCGGGCATTGATCAGTCAGCAGAGTAGCATACCAGAGCATAAGCGCCGGAAGATTGTTCGAGTGATTCGGCTACCTACAACCAAAAAAAAAAAAAGAAATATCCTGGAATGAGGACTGTTTAATATGTGGGTTCGGCTGTAGATTATCATGAAATAGAAGGCAGCTGAAAGCATGAGAGGTTTTCTCTGGGGGCGGTGCAAGATTTCTCCCACTGACTTATTTTGTACGCGGGATTTATTTGAGCCTCAGGTGTGAAGGATGGCTGCTCCACTCTACAATTGACATCTCCCGGACACAACTTGACTGGCACGATAAATCCCGCACAGCTATTGCTACAGTCCTGCCAGTTTCAAGGCACAACCATGGATCAGTGTGATTCTTCGCTGCGAAACAAGTCATTTCCAGATAGTATAGCTGCCATCACAGTGAAGCTCATGTCTCTAATCATGTACATTTTGTTAGACCTGCAGAAGGTAACAGACGTTACAAGCGAGCGACTTCTTCATTTTATGGTTAAGTATCGTAGAAAGCACGGGCCGACAGCGTCTGCGAATAGCTCCGATACGGGGTTTGACCTACGCTTAACACGCACTGTGGGCGTCCAAACCACGCTCCAGGCAGTGAGGCATTTCTGGAAGAGCTCTCCTCCACTCGCTTAGAGCACGTTGCAACCCAGAAGAAGAAGAAGGACTTGCCACCACGGGTTAGGGCTCATCGCGACTCTCTTACTGACTGCGAAAGAAGTCTTACGCCCACAAGTACTAGGGCTCTTTTGATCTGGGTTGCACTAGGTTGCAATCAGATCAAGGGAATAAATACTGCAAGTCTTCACCCACAAACTTACTCCCACCATGTCCGTTCTCTCAATCCTTTCCTTGGACCAACTGTTAGGAGGTTCTCCACGTGGAGCGGAAGAATATATACTCTCTGCGTCTGACAGCGCCTCCTTGCCCTGCCTTCCTCTAGACCCGTCATGTCACATTCCACGGCAGAGGCCGGACTGGAGGAGAAGTGTCGAAACTCCACGGACTCAGGATTGGACCCTGGTGGTGAACACGAAATCCCCGAGAGAGCAAGCCGATTTGCCCAGTCAGCGTCTATCAACTTCGACCAACCACACTCCTCCACGACCAGGCGATCGATCTACCATGCGACGCGGTCTCGAAGTCGGGATACGATACGCAGTGCTCGCAGCATCTCCCAGTCGTCGCCAGCCGCTGGTGTTCCCATCGAATTCCGGACCCTTTCCTTTCAGATCTCCGAGTCCCAAGCCGCCCCCCAGGAGATTGCCAAAAACCGTAGCAGGGAGAAGACAACGCCTGATCAAGACTACTTCGAAAGCCTTGACTTCCATCAATTGTCTGTCGAAAGGCTATGCCAACAGTTCAATGTCGATCTCAACCAAGGGCTGAGTGCCAGTGCAGCACAGACTCGGCTGCAGAGGGACGGTAAAAACACCGTCGCTCATTACCACGAGAATTATCTGAAGAAAATTTTCTGGTATGTGTTCGGTGGCTTTTGCTCGGTGCTATGGATAGGGGTGATCATTTTCTTCCTCTGCTGGCGCCCCTTGAGCAATCCTCCCTCCGTGACCAACCTGGCCATGGCCATCCTCGTCATCATAGTTATCGCTCTGCAAGCTTCCTTTTCCGCCTTTCAAGATTGGTCTACATCGCGCGTGATGAACTCCATCCTGGGTCTGTTGCCGTCAGAAGCGCTGGTCATGCGTGATGGTAGTCTCATCCGTGTACCGGCCACAGACCTGGTTGCTGGGGACCTCGTTCACATCTCCATCGGCAACAAAGTCCCGGCCGATATGCGTCTCATCCGCAGCTCCGGGGATGTTCGATTCGACCGCTCCATCTTGACCGGGGAATCCGATGAGGTCGAAGGGGCCACCGATGCGACGGACCAGAACTTCCTCGAGACACGGAACATCGCGCTGATGGGAACGAGTGTTACCAATGGAAATGCTGTCGGCGTGGTTGTCCTGACTGGCAATCGATCTGTCATGGGCCGTCTGGCTTCCATCACTGCCAACGTCAAAGAGAAGCCGACCCTGATTCAACAAGAGATCACTCGCTTCGTGCGAATCATCGTCGTCTTGACTGTGATTCTGGCTGCTGCGATTCTACTCACCTGGGTGGGGTGGCTTCGTGTGGATCATCCCGACTTCATGAATGTGGTGGAAATGCTGAACGATGTTATGGGATGCGTGGTGGCATTCATTCCTGAGGGCATGCCGGTGGGCGTGGCTCTGACCCTCATGATTGTGGCCAAGCGCATGAAGGCAAACAACATTCTTCCCAAGGGACTGGCCACAGTGGAGACTCTGGGCTGTGTCAATGTCATCTGCTCGGACAAAACGGGGACGCTCACCCAGAATAAGATGTTTGTCCAATCATTAGGTCTGGTGGACCAGGAAATCGACCTGGAGGCTTTAGTGAGCGGCCAAGAGAAGGCTGTTCCGCCTCCAGTCGTTCTGGAGCCGCTGATTCAGGGCTCAGCGTTGTGCAATGACGCCTTTTTCGCGTCGGAGACGAAGCATCTGCCAGTCAATGAGCGGACGGTCAATGGAAATGCGACAGACGCGGCGGTTCTGCGATGGGTTGAGACCCTGCGTCCCAACAGCAAGAGCGGGCTGCACGAATATGAACGCATCCATCAAATCCCTTTCAATTCCAAGAACAAGTGGATGCTGACCGTGCACAAAACTCCACACTCTTCTCCGCGCAGTTGCCTGGTGTATGTCAAAGGAGCTCCAGACGTTTTGCTGCCGCATTGCACATCGTACCTCTCTCGAGACGGTCTTCTCAAGCCCATGGATGCTGCGGCAAGAGAGTCTTTCTCGGCATTTCAGCAGAAGCTGTCCCGGCGTGCCCAGCGCGTCATCGTTCTATGTCAGAAGAATTACACTCCCTCGGCGGCAGTTGGGACCAACGAGTTTAATGACGAGATGCTCAGCAACGGGGTGCAAGGGTTGACCATTGCTGGCATCTTTGGAATCATTGATCCGGCTCGCCCCGAGATACAAGCTACGGTCGCTGCTTGCCGTCGTGCTGGCATTCGTTTCTTTATGGTGACCGGTGATTTTGGACTCACCGCGGCTGCCATTGCACGCGATATCGGCATCTTCACCGGTACACAGGAGGCAGATACCGTCTCGGATCTCCACGACCAGGACCAAGAGCTACGCTCAAGACGCAGTCTGCTGGTGGAGGGATCCCAGATTCCGGGTCTGAACGCAGCTCAATGGGATGCTGTCTGCCAATACGAGGAGATTGTCTTTGCCCGCACCACTCCTGAGCAGAAATTGCGGATTGTGGAGGAGTTGAAGGCGCGCGACAGTGTGGTGGCTGTGACGGGCGACGGAGTCAACGATGCCCCAGCCCTAAGAGCCGCCGATGTTGGGATCGCCGTCGTCTCCGGCAGCGATGTCGCCATTGAAGCCGCGGATCTCGTCCTTCTGGATCAATTTGACTCCATTATCGACGCCATCCGCTTGGGTCGTCTAGTCTTTCAGAACTTACAGAAGGTGATTGCCTACTTGTTACCGGCTGGCAGCTGGTCGGAGATCTGGCCGGTGATCATGAACGTCTTCTTCGGGGTGCCCCTGCCCCTCAGCTCATTCCTCATGATCATCATCTGCGTCTTCACCGATCTGTTTCTGTCGCTGTCGTTAATCATGGAAAAGGAAGAGTTTGACCTTCTGAGCCTTCCGCCGCGCAACCACAAGACGGACCATCTGATCAACCTCAAGATCTATGGGCAGTCGTATTTGTTCATCGGGGTGATCGAGGCCGTCTGTGCGCATGCCATGTTCTTCTTTTACATGTATCAAAAGGCAGGTATCCCGTTCCATGCCCTGGTCTTCGCGTTTGGGAAGTACTCGGATGGCTTCTACGGCTACACCGAGGCCGAGTTGACGCACTTCAACGCGGTCGGCCAGAGCGTGTATTTCGTCTCACTGGTGATCATGCAATGGGGCAACATTCTCTCGGTGCGGAACAAGCGCCTGTCGATCCTGCAAGCTGATCCGATCCGCAAGAAGCAGCGGAATCTGTGGCTTCCGTTGGCGATGCTGGTGTCGTTGGCGATTGCCATCTTCGTGACCGAAGAACCCGGATTGCAGTCGTTGTTCAGCACCGCGTCGGTTCCTCTGGAATTTTGGTTTCTTCCGTTGGGACTGGCAGCGGGAGTGTTGATGATGGACGAGATCCGCAAGGTGGTGGTGCGCATGTTTCCACGGAGTCTTGTCGCAAAGGTTGCCTGGTGACGAGGGGGGGAGAGCGGCCCGTCAATGATGAAAATGTATATACCAGCTGTGAGGCTCCTCGTATTGCGTCCCTGGTAGCAATTATGAACCGTCCGTTTCCGGCGATGAAATGGACTTTTTGCCACCCTCGAGATCACCTCCCAACCAAGGGACAGCCCTAACTGCTGACTGCTTCCCACCGCACTGGACCAATGTCTTTACCACACAATGCATTGATAGAACGGAATCCAGGCCCAAATGATGTCAACCAGTCTGTTGAGTTCGGTGCTTGATCTGCTATAAATCCGTTAGGATCTGCTATGTTTGTTGCAATGAACAGAGCCTTGTCGTCTACATTCTCAGCCATTCCTCTGTCTCTTCTGCTGGGCACGCATTTCATACCTTTCACCCCTCTAAGCACTTAACTTTGAAGTGGCACAACATTCGTCAACACCCCTCAGAATGAAGCTCGCTACTCTCGCCATCGCATTTGTCCTAGGCACCTCTACTACTTCTGCCTGGGAGCTCTACGCCGGTGGCCAAAAGTGGTCGGGCACCAAACCGCAAGGCTGTACCCCAGTCACGATTCCCAAGGGTGCCCAGATCAGCTGGTCGGGATCCTCGGGTGCCCGGACATTGCAGGTCTATGATGTGAAGGGAAGTTGCTCGCAAGTGTATCGGACTGTGCAGGGGGTCGGGGATATCAATGCATCGAATGCCATTTATGGGTTTGTTGTCAAGGCTTGACCTCGACCAGCCACGGGATGGATTACCAGTATCTTGAGGCGTTAGGTCATACATAAGCAAGAAGGTCGAAAGAGAGAAAAGTCAATCAATTCAAGTCATTCAAGACACATTGCGCACTATGGCATGCCTGCCATTGACGGCGGACTCAGCTTGAATCCCCCCGTACATCCTGTCTGTAACAGCCCGTCTGGATCGTACTCTCTGGCCGTCTTAGAGCAACTGTAGGTTCTCGCAGTAGTTCAGGTAGCGATAGGCATGGCTGGTACCGTTGGCCTCCGCAAGGGAAGAAGAGCTTCCATCGTAACATCGATCCACGAACACGAACCCTGGATTGACAGATGACTACTTCAATTCGAGGAGAAAGGGAAGAAGCGGGGATTTAACTGTCTGAATTCGGACAAAGCACTGATACATGACTGCTTAGTGATTTGATGTACTACATATAAAAAAGGGATCCACAGTAAGCACGAAGGCGCACTTTATGCCCCCCGATTGGAGCTCAGAGGTAGGGCCTGTCAGCACTACATAATTATAACTCGTCCCATCGTTTGTCCAACGAACTCCTTTGCCACTTAGTGATTACTTGTCACTTGGAGCTTAGATTGCATGGCCAATCACAGCTAAGCAGTCCAACAGAGCTTCTGCGGTGGCAGCGTCTGAGCACAGCCGGTTCAGGCACACGCAATGATACGTTCGCTACTACTCACCATATTCTTCATCGCTGCACAGACGCCCACAAACACAGCCTTGTCCATCGGATTGCGCAGTTCCAAGACCTGCTTACCCTGGTACGTCCAGGGAAATATACTACCCACATCGCCGACCCTACTGTAGACTTGCTTCCAGATCCTCATCTCGTCCCGCGCATACGCGCACACAATCAGGTCCCACTCCGGCAAAGCCGTTGGTCGCATCTTCGCAAACTGGTTCTTCAGTACGCATTTTCCTGCTTCATCCCAGCCCAGCCCCGAGAGAATCACGGCTTGAAAACACCGGCCCGCACGGGAGACCGTGATCATGCTGGGATTGCTCGCGTCTGTTCCGCGGCTGACTTGCACCCCATAGCCCTCTTCCGCTTCGAACAGCCGCTTCAGTTCATTGACCAACAGAGGGATAGCAGTCATCGTGGAGATACTGTCTTCTTTGGACGTCTGACTTTTGGAATACTGTCTCGGACACCCTGGACTTTCGTCTGCGGTGATGGAAGGATGGCCACCCTGCGTATCCGTACGGGGTAAAGATTCCATTTTCTGACCCTTAAATATCGTTGGAAGAGAGACTCTATTCCTATTCTGGTCTTCCGGTGCCCTACCAAGATAATACATCGCCCTGGTTTACAGGACAAAGCCTTTGGTCTCTTACCTGTCGGTTCCTGGAGGTTCTTGGTGGAGTGTTTGGCTTTTTACGTTTGACCTTTGAATATGGTGGCATCGAACATGGACGCATGACGGGTATGCTTTGTTCCTTGTCACCAACGCATTCACCCGTTTCCTTTGTCTTCAGCTATCAAAAGCAAAGTCTAATGGTTAAGAATCAGTGAAAGTCACGGCTAGCTTTGTGACCAGGGGCAATCAAACAAAAGAATCTTACCTTTCAGCGTGAACAATGAACTTGCCCTGGATACCTACTGTAACACCCCCGTGTTCCATCACATCTGTCTATTGAGGCTAAATTGGCAGCGAGAAAGCATGTCACTCGTTGAAACACAACTAGTACCAGGGTATGACGCCGCGATTGACTATCCCTTGCCTCCTCGAGCGGGGAATGCCTTGTCATTAATGGATGCTGCCCTGTAGTAGGTGGTGTTGCAGCGTGGGAGGTGCAGGAATGGTGGCAATGACCACGATTCGTATATCCTGGAACTCCATATTCACTCTGCCCAGTATTGGTAAGAAGTGCCCTGCCCCAATTGACATATCTTGAGTAAGGAATTGATATCCGAAGATAAAAGATAAAAGATAAGATGCGGAGATGCGGCGCAATTCCGCCCAGTGCCCCGCGGCTTTATTATCCGAGTCGGACCCCCTCCAGAGATCTAGACATTCAGAGCATCGCACTTGATCTTCTGTTCCTCTGCCTCATCCCCCTTGAGATTATATTTCGAGCGTCAACTATGACCCCAGCAGCCACCCTCGATGCCACCCAGCCACCGTGGCAGTCCATGGCAGCAGCCAAGCGCCAGGCCATCTACTCCGCCATTCCCCCCGAATGGCGAATCGAACCGATCCCTTCAGCCGACGATCAGCCCGACGTGACCGACGCGTATATCCATCAATATCTCACCCCCCGCGAGATCGAAATCACCTCGTCTGACGCGGTGACCATTACCGACCACACCACGACGGGCGCATGGAGCGCACTCGAAGTGACCGAGGCTTTCTGCCATCGTGCAGCCCTGGCCCACCAACTGGTCAGCGCAGCATCCATCTCCCTTGACCCTAAACCACCACATCACAAACTAACCACCACAACCAGCACAGACCAACTGCCTCCTCGAGATCTTCTTCGCCGACGCCCTGGCCAGTGCCCGCGAACTCGACGCCTACTACACCGCCCACCGAACGCCCCTGGGTCCCCTGCACGGCCTACCCGTGAGTCTGAAAGACCAATTCCACGTCCGCGGCGTCGACACCACCCTGGGCTACATCGGCTGGATCAACACCCACGAAGGTCAAACCCGCCTCCCCCCGGAGACACGCATCGACGAAAGCGAACTCGTGCGGGAACTGCGCAACCTCGGGGCGGTGCTCTTCTGCAAAACCAGCGTGGCGACCACGCTGATGGCGGGGGAAACCGCCAACAACATCATCGGGTATACGTGGAACCCCCGCGACCGGCGACTGTCGGCGGGGGGGAGTTCGGGCGGGGAAGGGGCCTTGATTGCGATGCGCGGGTCGCCGGCAGGGTTTGGGACGGATATTGGGGGGAGCATCCGCGTGCCCGCCGCCTTGAATGGGATCTACGGGCTGCGGCCCTCGAGCGGACGAATGCCGTACGAGGGCGCGGCGAATACGATGGACGGGCAGAATACGATTCTCTCGGTCGTGGGGCCGATGGCGACCTCGGCGCGGGCGTTGAAGCTGCTCTTTCAAGCGGTGCTGCGGCAGGAGCCGTGGTCGCATGATCCCTTGGTGGTGGCCTTGCCCTGGCGGGAGGAGATGGCGCAGCGAGCCTCGGGAGAAGGACTGAGCTTCGCGATCCTGCAGCATGACGGGATGGTGCGGCCGCATCCTCCGGTGAGACGAGCATTGGCTTTGGTGCGGAAGGGGTTGGAGGATCGGGGTCACCGCGTGAGTGGACCAGTAATGACCTTGCTCTGTACTTGCATTGCATTGCACTCATTGCTGATAACTAGCCTGGTGGAAGGTCATCGAATGGAGCCCGCCCAGTCATGCAACGGCCAAGGACATTGCGGTATGCTCGCTCCACAATGGGGGCTTCATCTTCGCTCCCCCATTTCCTTTGTTGACGAAATGCCAGATGCAAGCGTACCACCTCGACGGCCGCACCGATGTCCAGACCCAGTTCGCCCTATCCGGCGAGGAACAGCGCCCGGAATGCTTCTTGCAGCCCAGTGAGCAGCGAACCGCCACTCAGGTGGCCGCGCTGAATGTCACGAAGCGCAACTATCAGAAGTCGTACATGGCGTACTGGAACTCGACGGCCAAACTCACCGGGACGGGACGACCGGTCGACGCGGTGATTTGTCCGACCTGTCCCTACGTGGCCGTGAAACCCGGACGCTTCCAGCACTCCTACACGGAGTTTGTCAATGTGCTGGACTATCCCAGTGCGGTCGTACCGGTGACTCGGGCAGACAGGACGCTGGACGCGAAGGGGAGTGCAGATGGCTTCGTGAGTGAATTGGATAAACAGATTCAAGCAGAGTGTAAGTCTCGGGCAGGGAAATCCGGGCCACCCTCACTAACGATGGTAGATGATTGCAATGTCAGTCACGGTGCGCCAGTTGGGCTACAAGTCATCGGCCGGCGGTTGGAGGAAGAGAAGGTTTTGGCATTAGTCGAGTATATCAGTCGACTGGTGAACGAGATAACCCAGAGCACATAGCCATAGCGAACAATATTCTAGAAGGTTTGTATTCGTCGTTAGACTATTGTCCTTTCTACAAACTTGGTAGCCTCTAGCCTGCTTCTAGGTCGACAATACAAGTTTTATATTAATCCCGTGGTAGCGGCCACCGGGAGGAGTGCCGATTCCATCTTGCACAAGGTCGCGCGCACTGGCGACCGTCAAGCTCTCACAGGCCGGAGCAACCGTGAGAAGAGCACATGATGATCTTGCAGCACTACTCCGCATCTTCCCCCTCTGCATCCCCCGTGGCTACCGCAGCAGATCCCTCGCCACCCTTCAGCCACCGGCTGCGAACCACATAGAATCCTGCCCCCAGGGCCCAAACCACAATCAGGATGACCGCCTGGAACGGTGCAAAGACCGCTCCGCGCGTCACCACAAATCCGCTGACCAGCGCAAAGACCACCGGAATGCCGATCCAGGGCTTGTACGGCCGCTCAAGAGTGGGCTCTCGGAAGCGGAGCAGAATCGCGCCGACTACGGTCAGGAAGAAGAACGAGTACTCCCCCAGACCATTGAAGGTCAGCAGGGCACGGAAGTTGCCAAACAGGATATAGAAGATGGGCAGAATGGTGGATAGAACTATAGCGTTGATGGGCGCATCGGAGCCGACTGTCAGGTTCGAGTCGGAAGATGGTTGTCCGAGCTGCCCAATGACTCCAAGGATCTGAGGCAGCCAGTTTCTGTTGGCGGCGGCCACAACCATGCGTCCAGCGACGAAGGAGTTGCCCAGCAGAGACCCGGCGACGACGAGGCAAATCAGGAACGCTGCAATTATGCCCGCCGCTGGGCCGAGAAGATGCGTGATGGCAGTCTGCTAGCATGAGCTGTGCAACTATCGGGGTGGGTGAGGGGCAAGACATACTACAGCGACACTGTCCGTCGTGGAAACTACATCCCATGGGAGAAGGATATAATAAGCTGCATTGGCGGCAATAAAACAGAGAATGATGATGGGAACCGCGGAGTTGATGGCCAAGGGTAGCTGGCGTGCTGGTGCCGACATTTCAGCGCTGATGTAAATGGCCTGCAACTGTCAATGAGCGGTCTTCCCCAGTAGATCATGTCCAGAAACCAGGAAGCCAACTGTACCTTGTCCCATCCCGAATAAGCCCAGAGCGCACCGTACAAGGCGGTTGAGTAGTAACCGAGCATTTCCCATCCAGCCACCTCATGCCAGTCAATCACGGTGCCATCCGGGGTGACTGTGTTGCGATAGCCGAACCAGGATTTCTGAAACCAATCTGGAGACCCATTGACACTATCAACCCGGACCAAATGAGCGACGACAACGCCCAGTCCTGCCAAGACCACCGCAGCGATCGTGACAAACTTCGTGCTCACGAAGAACCCATTGAGTCGTGTACTGGTCTTCGTACTAATCGAGTTTGCTACACTCACGACCACCAGAATCAGAATCGATAGTAGCTTGTGAGATAGTGCAGCAGCTTGATCGGTCACCCCGGCAGCTGAGTAGATGCTCTCAACGAAGACAATGCTGAGAATGGCCAGGGTCGCCGGCATAACGGCGATGATCCAGGTCCAGGCGGCCAGGAAGCCGCAGAGATCGCCGAATATATACTGCAAATATGGCTGCACACCACCTAGGGCTTTCGTCAGGTACAGCTGATAGCATGACTTCCTGTATACAAACGGGTTGATACCTTCACCAGGAATGGCAGTGCCCAGCTCGGCCATGGTCGTTGCGCCGGTCCAGGCTAGGATTCCCCCCACCAGCCATACCACGAGTGCGACGCCGGGCGAAGGCACATTGGTGTCAATCGAGCCGGGAGACGTGAAGATTCCGCTTCCAATCACAATGCTGATAATGATGCCGAAAGCTTCGATGGTGCCGAGATTGCGCATGAAGGCACCAGGTCGATGCTCGTCCGCTTCCGGGTGGTCTTGTGTACTGATGGCCGCATAATCTCTCTCGGTCTGCTGCGCGAGTAACGGTTGAGTGACTCCATCTAGAGCATCGCTGGCGGGAGACATCGCTGCAAGGATTGCGCGGTGGGTGGAGAGAGTATGATAAGCAGGCAAGCAAATAACTAGAAGAGAGACACTCTGACGCGATCACGCCATCCACTGCGCGGATGGGTTGGTGCTGTCGGCTTCCCCGCACTCGAATTCACAGGCAAGTTCTTTTCCTCGCAATTCAAGCAAGAACCAAAGCCACAGCACGGACAGACTGGCCGATGATGCTTCTCGAGCTCTCCGAAGGTGTTTGTAGTATGCTCTGGACTGGACGTGGAGAGGCTGGGCGAAGAGTGGTGGACATGTGACATGTGACATGTGACTCCCCGCCGTATCGGCCCCAGATCAGTCACATGACTCGCAGCTGCCTGATCGCTATTGCCTGAGGCAGAAGGTATAGTAGGTACCTTACCGGGCGGCCCAAGTCGGATCGAGAACAGGCCAATGCGGATGGATCAAATAGAAATTTCAAAGCCATTGGGATCACTCGAATTACCATTATTCTAACTCTAACAAAAAGTCTAGATCATTCGCTTCCGTGACGCTGAAGACTACGAATCAATACAGAAATGACATCGGGCTAGCAGCTCCGCGAGAGACATTGCGGTACTCGTGGACAGCATGATGAGTTCTCACACCCTTGACTATCTCATCGTCGGATCCAGGGTCAGGGGGGGCAAACTCCCCATCGGCAATGGGTCGGATGTAGTAATGGTGACTGTCTTCGACCATCCCCACATGCCAACGATCCTGCAGTTGTCGACCCGATGGGCCGCCTCCGCAGGCACCTTGGAGCCGTGCCGTGGGGGGGCTATTGATAGCCAAGGCGAACAGACTCGAGGACTCGGTGAAGTCGTTGAGAAGATGGCCACGGACCTCGACCATGAAAAATGCCATGAAGAGCACACTGGTGAGAAATGCCAGGACAAGGATCACGTAGAAGCTCTTCTGCCAGTCCACCACGTGACCTGAAGCATAGCCGGAGGATTGCAGAGTGGCGTTGAAGGCTTGTTGCACAGGCGAAGACAGAATCTGGTCGGTATAGTTCCAGAACGGGACATAGGGAGCATCTTGACTACTGATCATCAGCGTGACGCTGGTCAAGACCGCCATGGCCTCCGCAATGGAGGGCAGGTTGGGGTTGAGAGAAGCGGTGTGGCTGCTGTTATCGTAGGCAGGAGTCATCTGGGTTAAGAGTCGTTCGATGCTGGCATCTTCGCCGGCGATTCCAGCCCCCAGACTGACGGCATCTAGCCACAGCCACCCGACGCTCTTCCAGTTAATGTCATAATTGTCCTCCACAACACCCGGAACGCGACGGCTGTACTGCAGCTTGTCGGTTGGATCCTCGCAGCGAGTGCTGAGCGCCGCCCCGCTGGAGTCAACCTGGTATTCGGCAGAGCATAATCCGGACTGTTTGGCTTTCAATGCGCACAGGACGAAGGCAGGATTATGGCCGGCAGGAGTAGTACCTAGCAGATAAAGCGCAGATGAATTCTCCACTTTGGCATCGAAGATCGTGTTGAATTCGGTGGGATAGATGGGAAACACAGGTGAAGGGTGGTCTGTGCCTGGCCCAAATCCGAAAATGTCGTCCACCACGGTATGATTCGTGCTCTGGTCATAGGCTGGGGCCTCTGTGTACCACGTTGAGGAATTGAATGGTTTGTGGTTTGGCCATTCGGTATAGATCATTGGGGCCAGCTCTTCCTTCGACAGCCCCGCACACAAGACATTGATGGCGGGAACAGGTACAGATGCTTGAAGAATATACTTCCCATCCCCAGTGGCATCATTCGGCTGCCGAATGCCATTGACAGGATTGCGTGCCGCATCATATAACCCACCATGAGGAAACGCCGCGGTAACGTTGTTCACCATGCGTTTGTACTTTTGCGAGGTCGCGACCATGTCGGTAACCTCAATCCAACTTCCAGTGACTGTGGTGTTATCATACAACGACCCGTGTGGCTTCAGCCGTGTCTTGAGTGAGGTCGAGGTTGCATTCTTGGCCTGCGCCAGCCCACTCCATTCCTGCATGTACTGCTCGAAGTCATGATATGCCCGGCCGACAATCTCCATCGACACGCAGGTCTCGTTACGGCCGGCGGAAGGATCGACGGTCACCGTGATCGGAGTCTCGCATCGAGCTTCGAGGTAAGTGGGGTTTGCAAACGAGGCAGAGACATTGCCGTAGAGCAGTCGGTCGTACACGGGGCCCATAGCTTCCTTTGGGGACACTAGCAGGTCGGTAGTGATTCATTAGCCAGCAGAACCAACAGATGGGCGAGAACGGGCAGAAACTCGTGAAGTCCTTACCTAATGCTTCGGCAGCAGTCGTGTAGAGTATCGAAACCAGAGTAGCAATCAAAGCGATAGCGCCCAAGAGGGTGCCTCCCGAATAGCGCAGATTTTCCCATTGCATGAACAAGGACCCCGGCTGAGTGATCCACATCCGCAGGCTCATGTCCGAGATGCTGATGCCCCGCGACCCTCGACGCAGGGCTCTGCGACTGAGTAATTGACCCACAAAGGCTACACTGACTGTCACATAGGCCAGCTCGATGGTCTTCGCAAAGAATGCACTAAGCAAGGTGGCTGACGAGGGTGCCAGCCCTCCGGTATCGCCGACGAGGTTGCCATAGTATGGTTTGAGGCAGGCGATGATGAGGAAGAGACCCGACAGAAGCGTGGTATATGTGGAAAGGACGATGAGAGTCGCGAAAAACCACGAGCAACAGGATTCGATGACAGGCTCATGCGAGGGACAGTTCATCAGCTGATAGAGATCCTGTGCATCCAGCTCACTCCTTGTTGTGTCACGTCGCAGTGAAGGAGAGTCAAGGTTTGAGTTGGAGGTGGAACTGGGGACGGGCTTTATTCCCATATCGCCATCATCCTCGGTGGGTGACAGAGTAGGATTGAGCTCAAGGTCGACGTTGTGATGGAATTCGAGCAGGTGATGTTGATCGGTGCTTTCAGAAGCCATCCCTGGCAGAGATGTGCGATGTCGGATTGTTTTGATCTTGGCTCATGCGACCTGTCAGCCGCAACTACTCCGTCGAGGAGGGAAATTAGGTTGGAGGGGGAAGAGTGGTTCTGGAAAGAGTGTGTCAGATTCATCCTCCTGCAGCAGTTTTAGTATTGGGGGCGATGAGCGATGGGCGATGGGGGGAAGACCCCATCAGCCATCAGCCATAGCCATCAGCCATCAGCCATCAGCCCAAAGCGCAATTTCAGGAAATGGAGGGAATCCCTGCGGCGGTGCAAGAATAGTGAATGAGATTGGTCCAACACATGGGTTGCAGTGAATTAGTGAATTAGTGTTGTGAGAGCGCAGGGGGAATCAGGAACCAGACCAGGGATCCAAGAGCTCGATCGGTCGATGAGAGAGAAAGCGGTGGAGAACCAGAGCGGGGAGATCCCGTGATCTGCTCTCGGACCCTTTCGCCGAATTGCCTCATTGGGCAGTGGCTGCATTGTGTGTGTGAGGCTAGAAGTGGTTGGTGCTCTGTGGTATCCATCTCCCACAGCTCCATATCCCAGGACATGGAGCTGCACTAGCTTTGCAGTCTTTGGAGAGCTCTTTCTGATATGGGTTCCGAATGTGGCTGGTAGTACGTAGCAAAAATATATGTCAGTTTCAGTCGTTGTTCATGGGCTCTGACAGCCGCTCTTGCCCTCAGGCTTCCTCTGAAGCATTTATTGAGGTGGAATGGTATTACTAATTGATTAACCGAGCGAGTTTAGCCGTGACAGCCTTTACTTCACCAGAAGTGGTTAAGCCACATTAACAGACTATGTTGGCAGTTAGAGTGCGTTGTCTATTCTTGGCGCCGGCTAAGTTGAGTGGGGTGTAGGGCTGCCGACAGGACTATGGAGTAACTAGAAAGCAACATCCTTACCTTCCATGCTGTCAAGCATATGCCACACCCAACATAGCCATTCCTTTCTTCATATCTCTACAAACCTCACAGTCCACTCGCATTGATGTCAGATATTCTACACAAAAAGGGAAATATTGTCGGTTCCCTCGGCCCCCACGACCAGGGGGCGAAGGGGTAGGTACAGATATATGTCCTTCATCCCCGCCGCAGACCCCCGACCCGGACGAATTCCAGTCTGCCATGCCAATAAGTCGCATGCAATCAATGGAGCAGTCCGACTTATTGGTCAAGCAGTTCTTAACGGTCCTGCATTTGAGGATAGCCCAGTTGCAGCCGCCAAGATGAAGGATTCCGTTATTGTCAAATGGCCCCCAGTTTCCCGCTTCTCAGCGTCTTGGACGGTCATCTATAGAGCCAAGTGCAAATAACAATGCGCTGCACAACTCAACCAGCGGGAAGAAAGGGGTAAGAGGATCGTGCGGCAAGAAGACTTATAAACTCATTTTGTGATGCTCGAGATGAGCATATTGACTCCTCCCATCAACACAATACACTTGGGATCAGAATCCTTCAACGCAACATGAAATTCCCAACCATCTTGGTTGCTCTTGCCATCACCACAACGGTAGACCCAGCCACCACTACCACATCACCCATGCTGACCCAAAGCCAGGCCCTGGTGACCAGCCGAGTACCAGAGGGCTACACCGTCGTGCCCATGACCTACAGAGGCGTCATCACCGACGGCGGCGAAGAAGTTGAGCTGTCCGGTACCATTGAAGACGTGCACCAGCAGATCAAACGTCTCAACCTGGACTTCAACCTCACCCAGTCCGTGGAAGCCCGCGAGGCGGATGCAGAGGTCCACCGGTTCCTCCAGAAACGGAACAAGGTCAGTGGTCGTCTGCTCATAATCCACCTTTCTCGCCTGATGGATACAATTCAGAGCAACCTGCTGTGCAACATCGAGGGCGATCACTCGGAGACTGCCAACTACGATTGGATCACCCAGGGGATTCAGTACCTGCTCGCCTTGGACGGTGTCTGTAAAGTGGGAGCCGGCCCGAGTACCTGCGCTCGGATCAGCTGCTCCTATGACTCTGGGATTTACCTTTGCAATGATGTGAGTTTCCCTGTCCTATCTGGGTGGTCCATCTGGATCCACCAACAACAGAACTAACAAGCACAGAATGCCTGGGAGATTGAGCCTAAGTGCTCGTACCTGGCAACCTACGCTGAGGACATCATGACGCAATGTTATGATGGGATGTACATCAATGGACAGGAGTTTGATACGGATAATTACAATATCATCGTGGCTGGAGAGCTCTGTTAAGTAGGCCTTGAGCGACGAGTGGTGGGGCATTTGGCGGGTTGACTGAAGGATGTCCGATGGTGGATACTTCGTTTGTCGTTAAGCATGAACTGTATTCTAAGTCCTCAATTCCCATGTTGAGACTGCACGTTAACGTATTATAGCATACGTCACGCATTTCACGAGAGGGTATACCTAAAAGTTAACAGGAAAGATGAGAGTTACGCAAGATATATGGCTAGAGACTGTGTCATTGAATACAAAACTGCTGTGACTAGGAAAGAGATAAATGCCAGAAAAATCCCTCACCCTAGAGGGTCATCGTCGGCTCCATCGCCTGAAAACCAAGCATTCACTCACCACTGCTCCTTGATGACCTTCACGAAGATGTAAGCAATCTGGCGCGCATCGCGGTACATATGGAAGACTCGCTTACCGGCGATTTGAATAGGTTCATGGACACCAACCCCCACCGATTCATAGAACCGACACCACTTACCAATCCCGAGCACGCCAAAAACCGTCCGGGGTCCCTCCTGCGCAGGGAGATCCCGCAGACAGCGGTTCATCTCGATGTGCAGATCTGCCTCACGCATCCAGCGGTCCAAATCATCGGCCTCGGACGGGAAAACCCCCAACTCCACACTCAAGAAGTCAGTCTGCACCCAGTTCGAGAGCACATTGAGGCGGAGGTTGATGGCTCCGTGATACCGGTTCGAGTTGTTGGCGGCAACCTGGTAGCCGTTGGCGGTGTTGGGTCCCGGAAATAAGTCGTCCAGTAAAGTCAACCAGCACGATGACATGCGGAGGGCATTCACCCGATCATCGGGGGTCAAGTTCGCCGCACGGCTCACCATATCTGTGGCCTCATCCATCTCGTCGGACCACATATCGGGGATGATTTCTATGGGGCCTAGTACCACCCGGCCTGGCGCAGGCTGAGCCTCTGGTGGCGTCTCAGATTGCGGTTCATGCTTCACTGGGGGAGTCTCAGATTGCGGTTCGGACTTCATCCTTGAGGGAGTCTCAGATTGTGGTTCATACTTCACTGAGGGAGTCTCTGGTTGAGATTCAACCTTAATGTCTGGAGAAGCCCCAGGTTGCGGTGCAACTTGCTCCTCTGGTGGTGTCTCAGGCTGCGGTGCAACTTGACCCTTTTTCTGAGGTCCAGCTTGAATTTCCGCCTGAAATTCAGGCTGCGCCCCAAGCTCCGCCAGACGGATCCGGGAAGACATGGATCTGGTTTGAACCATTGTGCTTATCTGATCGTGATTGGGATGAAGTTGCGTGAGATGTGGTATGGAGCTCGGTGGAGTAATGCGGAGCACGTGTGCTGTCCTGTTTTATGGTAGTTAGAAGAGAATACGAAAGTTCAGCAAAGGCTTCCGAAAGTATTTCTACTTCCTGACTACCGTTTTCTTCGCTAGTGCTCTGACCTTAGGACTGTTGACGTTCTCCGTTTACAGGAGGGAGACCTCATTGGTAGAAGGGAGACGCCGGCAGAGCTGTATACGTTTCGACTATCACTAAAGGAACTGCAAGGAAGACCCTTCTCATGCAAAGTATGCATCGGAGAGCAAAGTCTCAGGGCAAGTTCCAGTAGAGGAGATTAACTGAAGTAATCCCGGAACATTCCGCCTCAAGTAGTCCCTCAGAGAGCTTCGTCAAGCCGGATTCGCCTGTTGAAAGCTTGTTAGAGAGCTCATAATGTGGGGTGCTTGATTACCTAGGGCCGCTGTGGCATAGAACAATGATTTGGGTGCCATATTCCGAATGCAGAGGGGAGGGCAAACTTGCGCAAAAGTGCACCAGAAGTCATAAAATAAAGCGATGCGACCGAGCACTTTTTGCACTGCTGGCTTCGGGCTGCCTGCTATATAACGGAGCATATTACTGAGAATTAGTCGACTTGGATTATCTCGCTGTGAGGGCTGTTCCCCCCGAGGGAAAAACCGAGCACTATGAGACCCTCTGAAACACAAACACTCGAGTTTAAGATCAGGTACTAAATAGGATACCGTCATCCAGAACTAGGACATCCTGTGGCCTCAGGAGTTTTGAGGTTGGAGCACGATCGTCAGGGGAAGTGCGTTCAACTCGGTATCCCTCCCAGAAAGGTCCTCCAAGTCAATTGCGCGGCATTTGAATCGAGCCCAAGCGTGGCAGTCACTTGGAGAACTATGCATTTGATGCTAGATGTAAACAAGCAAAGTCGCAGCAGCAAATAATCATTATCATTCATTATATCTATGTACCTACATACTCGTTACTCGTCAATCGCCCAAGTGAACTACAACCAACCACCCTTGCATCCAACGACACATCAATTCCACCGTCATCAGCATGTGTAGCGCACCCACCAGCCTGTTTCCTCATTCTGGGCCATGAATACAGCGTCGCGATGCTCGAGGGTCAAGTGGAACTGCATTGTTTCCTTGCAATCGGTAGTTCCGACCAGGGCTTCGTGGGGCCCGGGGGTGTCGGGCCAAAAGGAGAATTCAGCAGCCCCGATGCGAGTGATGTTGCCAGGGGCGATTAGCTCGAGAACGCGCACCAAGGCATTGGACCCCGCAGTGAAGTTGCGACGAGCAGGGATCGTCCATCCAAGAGTGCATTGGCGGGCCTCAGTAGGCAGGGTGAAGGTCATGAGTTGGTCCCATTGTGTAGTGGCAGACCGGGAGAGATTCAAATCGGGGGTCGAGATCGCAGGCGCAGCGGGATCCAGGGGGAAAATAATCTCCATCTGCGGCTGAAAGACTTGATGAGTCACCGAAGGAGTACATTTCTCTTCGTCTGTTTGTTCTGCTTCTTCTTCTTCTCCCTCTGTGCTATGATTGTGATGGAAGTGATTGTTGTTGTTGTTGTCGGGACAACCGGCTTCCAGGGCGCAAGGATCGACCGAACAACAGCCCCGAAAATGGTTCAAGTAACAGGCATAAAAGGTCGTCCCAGCACCACATTGCGTATCATCCCGTAGAGTCAAGGATTGCGAATGGGTTTGGTCGACTGTCGGCAGAGCGACCGACATGGAGAGCATTGCCGCACTGGCAAGGAGGGCCTGTCGGAAGAACATTCTTGGAAGCGGTAATCGAGCGTGGAGTGTGCCAAAGAAAGATGAAGGAGTGGGAAGGAGGAGCTGATTGGAATGAGAAGATCTCGATTTGGAATGCAAGAGATCGCTTTATATATCTATTGGAATTCTCCCTCTTCGCACCGTTGCAGGAGGTGGATGCAAGGTGTGCCCCCCATCCCTGCAAAGACCCTGGATGGGAGGAGAGATCATCCAGTCCAGTCCTGGAGATCCTCATCTGCTGGAGCCTTGCCAAGGTGACAATTGGATTTACTCCGTATGGTCACATCGCTACCTTGTCTCGCAGCATGGAAGTGCTATGATCTCATCTCCGAGACATCTCCTCAATTGCCAACCGGACGGATGATCAACGCCGACTGCCGCGATGCATCTGCCCTTCTCCGAAGACTCCTTTGGCGATTGCTCAGGTGGGATTGACTGATTTCCACTCAACAACGGGGTCTTCGTGAACAGTCCGACTTGTTGTGATACTAGATATTGCAGAGATGCAACCTCCATTGCGACAGGATAAGCCGGTTGATGATCAGGGTTCAATCAATATACAAGTCAAATAGACGGAATTCCACCTGGCGTGATTCAAAGCTAGTAGTCTATGGCTGGGCCGGTTCATCAGCAAAAGCGTCACCAAACCCCACAGATAATTGCTGAAGCAATCTCTTAGCACAAGAGAGATTGCACCGAAAATTACGAGGCCAATTAGTGTTGACAGGGCGAGGTCCTTTTACAAAAGGATCTCACTCCTTGTTTCCTTCGTTTCCAGACGATGGTCAGCCTAAGGGATGGTGATGCTATCCCTCGACCTCCACAGGGATTCACCCATGGCTTCACGTGTTCGGTAGCGATCCGATGAATGCCCTGGTATCCCTATTTATTTAATGTAAGCTTAATGGGCGTTCCTGGCCCCATCACCCCCAGCGTCGTGTTTTGCTTGCTTTCGTCCCTGGATCCTTCGCCCTCAAATAGATCGATCGTCTTGGCACCTCGTGTCATGCAGCTATAGATATAGCTCGCTTTCAACCAGCTCCATACGAGTAACTGCCGTCGGTTCCCCATAATCAGGGTCCCACCATGAAATTGAAAGGATCGAACTCGGCTAGTTTTGTCTGTTGTCGCATGATGGTGCGGAAGTGCAGATCGGAATTTTGACCCGGTGGGCCGGTCATTGACCCCTCAATCGGCAGATTGAGACTAGTATTTCACCATCCATTGCTTGGAGCCTCTCTTGAGAATTGTGAGATACGCTCTTTTGTGTCTTCGCTGGTGCCACTGTCGGAAGGCGAGCACAAGTCAGGTGCTGCAGAAATAAGCCGGCTGTGGAACCGGACCCTAATCGGCAACGGTTGATAAATGTTGGTAAGTGCTCAACTTCACTTCAGACTCTGGGGGTCCGGTTTGAGACCAACTCGCTCCGAGCTCCAATACGTTGATAACCTCATGGTAGGCTGTGTGCTTTACACCATCCAGAGCACTACGAAGCCACAGGGGGCAGTAGGACACCCTTTCGCGCTCATAAATACTGCCAATGTCCAGCGATGCACATCCATCACTATCGACTCTGACTTCCACCAAAAGACGATTAATCATATCCCTTCGCATTCCTCCCACCAGTTCCGGAATGGCCATTCAAAGCACGCTCAGTCTGGCGCTTCTGGGACTATTTCCCTCAGCGACGGCCCAGAGAGTAGACGGCTCCAAGTACAACTCACCCACTGGTGGCCCTCCAGCCAGCTACTTTGCCGCGGCCTCATCTATCCCAGTTGCTGTCATTCAGTCCGCCGCCGCTAAGGCAAGCAGTGTGCCCTCGCTGGCCACGTATCCTATCAATACAGACAAAAACTCTCCTAAATCGACCATCCACGATGACTGGGTCAAATTCCGCAGAGTACGCGCTTGAGAGCTCAGATTAATATAGGGAAGCTAACCAACTTAGGGAGCGGCTCTCAGCTGGGTTGCCGACATGGACGTAGACTGCGACGGAATTGACTATAAGTGCGCGGTCAGGCCATTCCAGAAGCTCTGTGAGAACGAGAACGATAGTGCGCTGACGAGATGGTAGGGCAACGGTGACGGCCAGCCGCAGACCAACTGGGGAGCGCTGGCTGCCTACGAGGTCCCTTTTATTGTCATTCCTGACACGTTTCTGGCGGCCAACCCCGACCTGCTTCCTGGCAACAATGTCGCTGCGGTGATCTGGTACGCGGTGTATGAGCCCTGAGCAGCCGCCTACTAACCCTTACAGTCATGGCAAGATGTACTATGGCATCCTGGGAGATTCTAACGGCGACGACCCGGAACTCACGGGGGAAGCATCCTGGCTGATAGCCCGGACCTGCTTCCCTGACGAAGGCTTGAACGGCGCGAAGGGCCACGTTGCCGCCGATGTGACTTGTGCGTTTTCTCCCTTCAACGAGCGATCGAGCAGTACTTAAGTACAATGTCCGTCAGACATCGTCTTCACCGGCAAGAACGCCGTCCTCTCTAGCCGTGCCCTGGGCAAGCATTACCTCACCAACTTCACCACTCTACGGACCAGGGGCGACAAGCTTGCGGGTGCCCTGGCCTCACATCTGGGACTCCCTGGTGAGACTGCTCGTCCAAGAGTCACTTCCTCGCCAGTGGCAACTACGGAAACCAAGACTGCCTCGGCCACGGAGGATGCGGCGAGTCCCCCGAATTACGAGGCTTGCTCGTGGGCTGATCAGGATGAAGGTGAGTGTGCGATCCTGGCAGGTGCTATCCGGACTGACAGCTTAGGGGCCACTTGTTCCTCGGATGATGATTGCTCTGATGATGGGGTCTGCGATGATGGGGGCTGCAGTGCGGCTTAGCGGGGGTCGTGGATTGCCCGAGGATCAGCTGGGAAGATCAAGGAAAAGCATGTCAAATTAGGAATGTTTCGTCCAAGTTCACTTCATTTGCATGTATTGGAGTCTCTTCTGTGCTACTTCTTTCCTGTTTGTTCATGGATTGCACCCTGTGCCGTAAACATAAATCGATTCACTCACCCAATCCCATCCAAGACAACCTGCTTTCGCCCATTACTCAGAGCATCTTCCGCATCTTCCCAATCCCTATCCCCATCCTCATCCTCCACCACATGCCAATTCCTCACCACCGCCGTACCATCCAGCACCGTCTTCCACACCTCCAGCTCACAGGACCCGGGGGCCAAGATATAGCACCGCGACTTTGGCACCGCGGGCACCTCATTCCGAATCTCGAAGGTATCCCGCAACCCTTTTGTCTGAAAGTCATCCGTAACCGGCCGCATCCCGGACGGAATATCCAGATGAAAAGTTGGCGCGTCGGAAGATCTCCAGGGAAGCCAGGGGCTGATAGGCGGGCACCTCACGCCCTGCCTGATAGACGCGGGTGAAACTGAAGTTGCCCAGCTGACGGGTCATGCCCTTGACGCCCTCGAATGACTATCCGCCATGTGGAGTCGGTCGCAGGCGGGGCATAAGTAAAGTAGATTGGATCTTAGCGCAGGGTTTCAGCCAAGGCAGCACAGCCTTGACGCGGTCGATGAGTCTAGAGTAAGCCCTAACTCCCTGACTGCAGGCCCCATCCGGACCTCCGCCGGCGTATGAGATCTTATCGACAGAGGTCCGATTGGCGACTGACCTGCAGCTTGGACCGAATTGATAGTGGACCGTGATCGCCATGAGGAGCTTAACGCCTCAGGCTAGTTGTAGCTGGATCTTACTGACATCAACCCCGTCCATTGGCACCCAGTGCTGCCTGCGCACCATTCCTGCGTTCACACCCGCACTGTTAATAAGCTAGATAGAACTCAAGCCATCCTTGTTCCTGAACAATCTGGTTTACAATTGTGCATTCCTTGGTCGCTTTGAGGTTTGTTTCGTCCACTAAGCTCACCACGTGCTCGAAGGACTATGCATGTTCAGCATGAGCCTCAGTCATGAAGTTCGCTTATATGGAAGAACCTTGCCATAGTATCTCCGAATGCGAACAAAATGGGTCATCTTTGTAGTGCGATGCATACCACGCTATACTCATGATAGCAGTCTGTTCTGTATCCCCCAGAAGCTATTCTGTAATGTGCCATAATACGACGCCAAGTTCCGAGCCAGCCAGCGTGCTCCAAAGCTTGAGAGGTTAATTTTCACTCACACCATGGTATGTCTAGCTCGAATCTTGGATTCAGCTGTTAGTTGGGTATAGCCTCCTGGAAATGATATCCGGCCCATCGCCACCCCTCGTCAGTCTGATGTCAACACCAGACAGACCATTCATTACCTTATAAAGCGTGCACAAGCAATTCTACCCCCAACCACAATCGAGATGCAACTCCACATTGAGACCCCTGCACACCACGATGGCAACTGTGCACCATTCTCTGTCAAGCCTGGGGCCCCTCCACGCGGCGCAAGCACCCACCAGCCTTCCCACAGCCCCCATCGTCGAACGGATCCGCATCATCGTCCATGACCCACACGACCACGAAGCCCCCGCCATCCTGCACCAACCGCGCATCTACAACGCCCGGGAAGTCGACGGTGCCGCCGTGATCCTCATCAGCGGGGCCGGGGGCGGAGTCAGTGGTCCCTCCGGTGAGAAATCCATCACTCATCACCCATCACCCCCTATCCCCCCATCTCTCTACTCAAACTGTAAGCCTCGCTCAGGAATATACCCCTCCCTCGCCGACAAACTCTCCCTGCGCCTCGCCATCCCAGTACTCCGCTTAGACTATCGCGAACCCGCGCGCACGAAATACTGCACGGCAGACGTACTCGCCGCAATGGACCACCTGGCGCAGCAGTACCGATCCACGCGATTCGTGATCGTCGGCTGGTCGTTCGGCGGCAGTCCGTGTTTTACCGTGGCCGCCAAAGAGCCCGAGCGCGTGGTGGGCATTGCGACCGTCGCCTCGCAGACGGCCATGACCTCGGGGATCTCGAAACTCAGTCCGCGCCCGCTGTTGCTACTGCATGGGACGGGGGATACGGTGCTCTCGGTGCGGTGCTCGACTGCCTTGTATGGACAGTATGGCAGTGAGGGGAGTCGAGAGCTGAAGACCTTTCCGGGGGATGACCACGGACTGAGCCAGAATGCGGAGGAGGCGGAGCGGTTGTTATTCCGGTTCGCAACGCGGACCTTGCGGTTTAATGAGGATGCAGAGAAGGGAGGAGGTCACAGTTGGGCTGGTGGGTGGAATGAGAGAAGACAGGCGATGCAGGAGGGGCGGGATTTGGAAAATGGGGAAGCCGTGAACTATTAGATCAAGTATCGGATGTCTATGCGATTTTCTTAAGAGTATGATAGAACATATGGTATAGGCCTGAGTGGTAAAGATTTGACGTGATTCTAGTTGATCTTAGGGTATGAAGTCTGCTCAATATCAGCCCAAATGGTTTGTCAGCGTCTTGATACATCTCTACCTCTCTTGCTTCATTCCGAGGGCATTCGGGATATCCGTCTCTACTCAGGCAACGAATCCGATTTGTTGCTGGGCTCGGATTCGGCTTCCCTGATGTAGTAAGTGGAATGGGGTGGGTACTGGATGCCTGAGGCTTGCAGAATCCTCGCTTGGCGAATCTCCGCTTGGCTGCCAGTTTGAGACTAGCGCGGATGCTGCAGGGTTTGCATTACGTAACATATGCTTCATGGTTGTCTTTTTCTGGTCAACCGGAAGAGAAAGAAGATGACCAGACAACAAAAAACACCATCGCAACCGGAGATGGAGGTACCGTGTGTGACTGGATATCTTCCAGAATAGAGACACGAAAGCTGGAGTGGGGCTCAGCCGACGTTCCTGGCCGACACCAATTGCTTAAATACATATATCTAAGTTCAAGTTGCTTCCCACTCCAGTGACTATCGCGCAATATACCATATTCAAGCCATTGCCTCCAGTCCACCCATCCCCAACTCAGTACTACACAACTTAACGACACCCACTACAACCACGGAAGCTTCCTTGCCATCGCTGCCCTTTCATCTTCCAATGCATGGAGGCGGCTCAGCATCCCCTGCGAATGACGAAGAGTTGATAGCTGGTAAGTTGCGGTGCACCCCTGCTGGTCATCAACAGCCTGTAACGAATCCAATGACAGACTTCGCAGCCACGGGGGATAACCTGGTGATTGTCGACTGGAACGGCCCTGATGATCCAGATAACCCGTTCAACTGGTCCAAGGCCCAGAAGTGGTTGGTGACCTTCATTGCTCTCTTCACCACATTCCTCGTCCTCGCCAACGGAACCATTATCACCGTCGCCCACTATGAGCTGGACCAGAGATTCCACGTCAGCGAGGCCACGTTTGCCAACAGTTACTGGCCGGTCACCACCTGGGCGCTGGGAGGCTCCTTTTTTTCATTGATCATTCTCCCGACCATGGAAGACTTTGGCATCCGACGCACGTTTCTGCTCACACATTTCACCTTTATTCTCTTCCTCATCCCACAGGCCGTGGCCCAGAACTTCGCCACCTTAATCGTCACCCGATTCTTTGCGGGAGGTTGTGTCGCCGTGCTCGGCAACAGCGCTGCAAGCGTGATCGGCAATATCTGGGCTAGCGAGCGCGAACGTACCATCCCCGTGGGTCTCTGGATTTTAGCTTACCTCGGGGGCAGCAGTATCGGGCCCGTGCTGGGGGCGTCCATCCTCCAGTTCCTCTCCTGGCGCTGGATCTCATACATGCAGCTCATCTGGCACGGACTACTCTTTCCCGTCGCCATGGTGACGATGCGTGAATCCCGCGACCTGGTGATCCTCAAGCAGCGAGCCAAGAAGTTGCGTGCCAAGGGCATCAACGCATACACCCGCCACGAAATCCTGGCTGAGCCGATCCTTGATGTCCTGAAGACCAGTATCCAACGTCCGCTCAAGATGCTCGTCACCGAGTACGTGGTGTTCTTTTGCATGTTGTGGTCGTCGTTCACGGTGGGCACGCTATACCTCTTCACCCAGTCGGTCGAGCAAGTCTTTGAGGCGTTGTATGGCTGGGACCCCGTGCAGTCGGGATACGTGCAGGGCGCTATTGTCATTGGGGAGGTTCTGGGATGGCCGTTGACGCTGATTTCCGCGAGGCTCTATTTCCACTCCGCGAAACCAAACCCCCAGATGCCTGGGGTCCCGATCCCCGAAGCACGGCTCTACATGTCCGTCGCAGGGGCGATCGTTGGGCTGACGGGCGGAATGTTCGTCTACGCGTGGACCTCGGATCCCCGTCTGCCATGGATCGCACCCACCATGGGCCTGGGGATGGTGGGGGCTGGGAGTGTAGTGGTGGTGACGGGGATCATGGACTACGTCGTCGACGCCTACAGCAACTATGCGGGGAGCGCCATGGCGTGCGTCGTGCTCGGGGAGAACACCTTCTCGGCGTTCCTGCCGCTGGCGACGATGAACATGTATCAAAGCCTGGGGCTGCAGTGGGCGAGCAGTCTGTTGGGGTTCATCAGCTTGACGCTGACCCTGGCGCCGGTGTGCATTATCATCTGGGGCGCAAAGATCCGCGCGCGCAGTCCGTTCATGAAGGAGGCGATGGTGCAGAAGGCACCGGCCGTCAATGCGGAAGACGCGGAAGATAAAATAACTTGCTGATTTACGAGACACGACGCGGATGAGCCCACGATAGCTAGAAATGTAGATCAATTATCGCACAGACAGCTTGCAAGCACCGATTACATGACATTACATGGTTGATAGTGACCATATACACACCAATGAGGCTGTATTCTTCAACATAGGCCACCAAGCCTCTGGGAACCGGCAAGCCAAGTGATTCTTGAAAAATCGGGTTTTGTGTTTGTGTATCAGTCGCAGTTTCAAGGCAGTCGGATCCGGAATGGCATCGGAATGCCGCATTGGCAATGGTATACGGATGACGTAGGCTCGACTACCTCCGCATCTCGGGATTCTCTGGTGAACGAAGCCACCGTCTGCAACTCCCCTACAGACCGAGACGCCCGGTTCATTCCCGAGAGGTGCCCAATGCCACCGTCGAGCCGGCTGCATGCCTGGAAAAAGTCATCTTCGTCGCCGACCTCGACCCGTACCTGTCGCGGCTAGATCTGATCCAAGAGGGTAGTTTAGTGGCCGATCCACGGAAGCTTAACTTATAACTTATCTATCTATCTATCTATCTATGTATCGATGTATCAATCTCAGCTGATGACCAGGCGAGGTGATGGCCGCTTATAATGAGGGGGGAGATGCCATATTTGCTTACTTGGGGGGGCGGGGAGGGGGAGCTACATGCCGGGCGTCTGAATTCCAGAATTACTTATGCATAGCTATATACACCAATGAGCGATGAAACATAATACAGTAGTATTCTCTCGCTCCCAACCACCAATCTGCACACTCATCTACCTGTACTATTTACCAGAACTCCAGCACATCCCAACTAAGCCACAACAACAGTCTGATTCAGCACCTCCAAGAACGGATACGCAGACGCCTAGTAGACAAGTCAGCATCACACACACACACACACACACACACAACCAGAAAGAAACTCACCCCAACCAACGTCGCATGCGCCACCCCAATAACCGCCTTCCCAGCCGGCGCAGACGCCGGCACCGTCACCGTAAAGTTCTCATAGGGAGGCAGGTAAGTCTCATGATATGCCGGGGCAAAGGCGCCGTTGTAGAGGATCGTCCCCATGTCCTCATCCACGGGGAAGCAGCTGCCACTGGTGGCGCAGGATTGGAAGCCGATGGCGAGGGCCATTTCTTGGGAGCCGGTGATGGTGTTCTTTTCCATCATGGGTTCAAGAGTTAGTAGGGTGTTATGCAGTTGCAGTAGCAGCAGCAAGAAGAAGGGAAGTGTGTAGTGTGAAGTGGGTACATATAGTCAATTGGAGAAGTGAAAAAGGGGGGCTGGGGGAAGATGAATACCGGACGCTGGACCTGCACGGTCAGGGTATCTCCAGGCTGGACGGTTTGATCGGCTTTGGGGAGACCGATGGCGGCGTTCTGGGCCAGGGCTGCGGTGAGGAGCGCTGCTGTCGACAAAAAGGTCTTCATTGTGTTGTGAGGTTGTGGTATCTAAGTACCGGTGTGTGTGTGTGTGTGTGTGTGTGTGTTGAGGTGATGCTGGGCGAAAATTGTGTTGATACGATGCCACAGCAGACAGCTTATACACTTGAAACCCTTTTATATACTTACTCACTCCACAACATCTGGTGTGTCCCCCTCCCCCCCTCAGACAGCATCAAAGATAACTGGTTGCCTAACGAGTCAAAATAGCTCAACCTGAGACACATAATCGACTAATAAAACTAGGAGCGGTCGTCATTGGCAGTGTTGGGGAGCGAGGGACTACTAGTCAGCGTCGATCAGTGATCCACCGGACCCTGGAGGTTCAATGATTACACTGGAATGGTCGGGGAGTTGAAGGATGAGGGGCATTGCGGAGGCTTGGTTCGGTCCTCGTCGTGGGATTTTAATCAGGTGGAACAGGGGTAGTTAGGTTATGATAATTGTTAAGTATGCTTTCGTTGTGATAGAGCTCAAGTTATCGAGGATATGATATTGGTATTGGTCCTTGTGATGGTGAGATACTATAAATATCTTAGGTTCGTACATAGTGTGTTGCCTTTCGGATTGGATAGTCATCGTAACCAATGACTCTCACATCCTGCATCTTCAAGTTGTCCAATTGCATCCACAATATTAATATATTAAGTTCCAACACATCACATCACATGACCGATTGACCCTTTCTTTTGTTGTTTTTTTTTTGGTGCTCGAGGCGGAGTCGCCAGCTGACCCAACAGCTCACCACAATGGGTGAGATGATTTATTTTCGTATACGAAAGATTGTGGTGCAGTGCAGACTGTCAGCATGCAGTGCTTGCCTTGCGTCATGGTGCACGGGAGACCGGCGTGCTTCACTCTCACCACCACCCGAGGATACCCGACTGAATAACCAAGCTTTCACAGAAAAAAGGATCAGAATTACTCAAAGCTAGATAGACTCCAGGGTCGACAACGGAATCCGTACGGAACCCTCCAAGTTACCCCAGAAATGCTCTATCTCACCCGTGGAAAATCACCCGCGCCTTCCGGTCGGACCGGATTGACATCAGCCCGCAGCTCATGACATCACAACACTACTTAGTCGAGCAGAGAGGAGATACTCCGTAGAGAATGAAATCATAATCATTGACATATAGTACAATACATCACATGCAGCATGTTCACAATCATGTCAAAAAACGTATATACACCCATATATGCAGTTCGCACCCAGGCCCCGGTCTTGCAACGCCGATATGTATGATCAGGAAAGATAAGGACAAACATGAAAACGCTAAGTCGATGTCGAGACCGCTAGCAGAAACAACAAAGAGAGGATGGCGATTATTCGGGAGCCGCGCAGGTGAAGACGCCACGCTCGCTACCATCACGGTAGTTGATCACCTAGGAGCACAGTTAGCACGAGCAGGAGAAGCATGGGGTGAAGCAATAAAACACGGCACTCACAATGTCGTCCACGGCGGCGTAGGTACCCGCGCCCAGCGTAATCAGTCCGATAATCAGACAGAGCAGGTTGAGAGCCCCCAAGGCCATGTTCTTGGGAGTGAACCAGCTGCCCTCGCGGATGAGCATGAACCACATCAGGGCGGGGAAGTAGAAGGTGAAGCCAGAGACAAAGAGGGCGGAGCAGATGGAGAGCAGGTCGGAGAAGAAGGGAATCACTTCGGCGACAATGAAGGCGACGACGGTGATGACGCTGATGACGGCCAGCCAGGTGATCCACCCCATCTTGGTGTTGATGAAGCGGATGGGCGAGTTCTTGAAGACGCGACCGTGGATCATGCGCCCCAGCACCACCGTGTTGATCGAACCACTGATGAAAATCACGGGCAGGGCGACACCATACGCCACCCGGCTCAGGGTGTGACCGGCCGAGGTGAGAGCCGGGCTGGCGACGTCCTGGCCCACAAAGGCGTAGATGATCGCACCGGTGAGGGTGTAGATGATAATCTCGATGATCCCCAGCGACCAAATCGACTTGACGTAATCCTCCGGCGTGTGCATCTCATCCATGAAGGAAAACTGGCAGAGGGCGAAACTGTACGCAAAGACGATGTTGGTGATGGCCACAAAGGCATCGGTGAAGCTGACGTTGTCCTGCGGCCAGGCAGACCAATTGACCGCCGACAAGCCCCCAGCCGCGTTGGTGCTCTCGACACCAGTACCAATGATGGTGATGCCGATCGCCGCAATGACCGAGATGAAGTCAATGTAGCCCAGAATGGCCATTTCGGCAAAGGAGGGGGGAATGGCGAGCAGGAGCAGCAGGATGGCCGACACCACCGAGAAGACAATCGAACAGACATTGCTTTCAGTGATGTCCAGGAAGGCGATGGTCCCCGTCAGACAATGCGATCCAGTCAAAAACAGCAACTCGAGGCCGAGCATGACGTAAATGATCTCATAACCGATGCGACCGAACATCAGGCGGCCAGCATCGGGGTAATGCGAGACATCCGGGAACTTGAGCTTGACCTGTCCGATGACATGGCTGGTGTAGATGGCCACAAATCCCAGACCAACCGTCGTGATCACTCCTGCCACCATTCCCAGCGTCGCAAAGGCCGAAGGAATGGACAAACTACCTAGAGCAATGGCCTCGACAATCATCACCACCGTCAAGCGTTTCCAGCCCAGACGGTTGTATTTCTGAATGCCAGCCTCGACGATGTTCCGCTCGGTGTCGCTCATCTTGTCGACCATATCGCCCTCATACTGGGGGGAGTACAGCTCCCCCTTCTTCTCATGCCCATAATCCATCGCGGTCGAGGGTTTGCGCTCCCCGACAATGTCGTCACCGTAAGCCATGACAAAGACAATTGATCTAGTTGAAAAGGTGGAAAGGGAGAACGATGAAGTTGAATTCGACTCTACCCAAGTCGCACCCGATGCCTGGTGGTGGCTATTGTTGAAGGACGCGGAGGGAGAGGAAGGCTGGAGAGAGAGAGAGAGAGAGAGAGAGAGAGAAGGCGAGAGAAGAGGAAGAGAAGGTAGTAGAAAAAGGTTTTGAGTGATGGGGCGGAAGGGGAGTCTCCGGTGGGTAGGCACTGGGAGGAAACAGGACCCGCCAAGTGGGATTGATAATTATTCCGCTGTGGTTGCCTTTTCCTCTGCTTTCCTCGACTCGAAGTCCCTCCAGGCCCTCTCACCGTAGCATAATCAGAAAAAAATCATTCGGATGAATCCGGGCAGAGACTGATACAGTGATAATCCGGATCAGGCAACGGGAGCAGCAAAGCTTGACTAATAAGATTCGGTGGCGGCAAAGAAGAAATTCGGAGACTTTGCCAGATTGGCCAGAGTTTGCCTCCCACGTGGAGCCCAAGCATCCGCCATCCGCTGCGGCACCCAATGCGAAGCCAGTCCTACCGTCTAAAATCCTGATTCAGGTTAGAGGCGGTGACGTTGAATTGGAGATCTGTCCCAAAAACGTCTAGCCTCAGTTGATGCAGAGGGCCCGATTGCATTAAACTTAGGCAATGGCTCTGACTAAGTTATTAAAGAGGCGGCGCTGGCTGGCCAGTGATCAACTCCGCCCACGACGTTCCCCAGGATTTGTGCCTCTCAAAGGATTCAGCCTAAACGCGCTAGTGTTGGAGTCGTCACCCTTCGATCGACGCCCTACTGTACACTTTCTTTGCATGTCAATCCACTTGGTGCCAACTGGCTGTGATGTCTCTTGGTCGACCATGAGTAATTACCCATCATGCGGAGTCCTTCTCCATCCGCGTGCAGTTTAACCTTTAGACTCCAGGGTAGACTCCAAGGTAGACTCCAGGATAGACTCCAGGGTTGACTCCAGGGTCGACTCCAGACAAGGTCTCATATCCAATTGAGGGGAAGGCTGATGTCTCGTATTTTGGAGACGGTTGGGGCCGTGTCTCCCGATTCTGTTACTTAATGTTTATCTGCGACAAGACGATCCAAGCCCGCCTGCAATTTGGAGCGGTGGCTTATCAGTCAAGTCATTACGCAGGAGTGTTTGCCAATGGATTGAGGATTTGGAGTGGTGCGACCGTGGAGCCTGAGGCGGAATCCACCCGGCGTCGGAAGATCCTTTTCCCTGATCTTATTGCCCGTAGCCTCTATGCACCATCTCCGGCCCCGAACCATTGCCGGTCTCTGGCCAACAACATGATGCTGTGACAACTACCTACTGTACTGTACTTTGCATGTAGTTCGATCCTTACTGCCGCCATGCCAGATCATCGCGCAGATAACCCTCAGTCCTTATCGTGGTAAACGTAAGGGGGACTTGTAAGGGATGAGGCTGTCTGACCGACACTGCTTGCCTACCACCCGCAGGCGGGCCTCCGCTGCTCCTTGGCCAAGGCACGGGTTGTTTTTGCCTCCATTTCACAGTTTGCACAGTTTGCACAATTTATGTGGTTTGTACAGAGTGCAATCCGCACATTTGCTTTATGCACGTGATCAAACGGACTTCCGTTCCCCGGGCACAATTGCCGCCGCTCCCCGCACGGCATTCGGCGACGCAGTGGTTCCAACTCCGTCTGTGCATCACGACAACGACGGCATCGTCATCAAACAACAATACTGAGAAACGCGACAATGGCTGTATCCCTCACTGTGTCAATGCAAGTCACTGCCTGGACCTGCTTTGTTTGTCATGGATGGTGATTCTCCTCTGACCATTGCCTATGGCCACGCCTGTGGTACCTGTGCTCGCGCCAAGGTGCGCTGCATCCCCCGGACTCGAGATTCTCCGTGTGAGAGGTGAGTGAGCATTCGCGGTAACTTATTGTCAACCCATCACTAATCACTATCGCCGGCAGATGTGAACGTTTGGGGAAGGAATGTCGGCCAGGGTTGCGCCGGCGCCGTCCCAAGCGCCTCTCCAAGGCCGCCCAGCTGGAGCAGAAGATGGATGGCTTAATGTCACTGCTGCAGTCGACAGGACAGCTGCCGGGAGGACGGCAACTCCCCGTCTCCGCTGGGAGCCAAGAATGCGCAGCGACGTTGGGGAATCCGCTGTGCACCCCCGAGTCCGACGGTAGTCTAAGCCCGCGCCAGTCGCCGCCCACCACCATTATCGCCCCCAGTCCAGCGGAAGCCGAGGCAATGCTACAATCCTTTCGCACCCACAAACTAGCTTGTCTGCCCTTCGTTCACATCCCTAGCAGTAGCACCCCAGCTGAGCTGCAGCGCGATTCGCCCTTTCTCTGGCGCTGCCTTATCACCACTGAAACCAAGGATGCCGCACAGCAGGCCCTACGCTGCGTCGATATCCGTCAGACCGCGGCCCAGATTGCGATGGTCGACTGCGACAAGAGTTTGGATCTGTTGCAGGGACTGCTGATGCATATAGCTTGGATCTCCTTCCAGAGCTCCCCGCCTAAATTGCTCATGATTATGTACTGTCAAATAGCCACCGCGCTCGTCTGCGAACTAGGGTTGAATCGTCCGAGTCGGACGGAGGCGGCCATGCTACCGCCGGTGTGCAACGATCTTCTGCCACATGCACCACCACCACAGTTTCCTGCCTCGCGTCCCAGAACGTTGGACGAGCGGCGAGCCGTATTGGGCTGTTTCGTGATCAGCTCGGTGTAAGTGGGCATCCTTGATGTTATCTGCCATGCTGAGGGCTTTTGTTTTAACTCGTAACCGCAGAATCGCTCAGTTTCTAGGCCGCATGGAGGTCATGCGGTGGACGCCCCACATGACAGAGTCTGTCGAGATCCTGTCAAATAGTAACGAGTCTCCGCATGACAGCACCCTCGCATACTTGGCACGTTCGCGGCTTCTTGTAGAGCACATCCGCGAGGGACCGTGGAACGGGGAGAACTCAAGCTCGAGTGGGATTCCGCGTGCACCCGTACCCTTCTATATGAGCAGTCTACAGACCCAGCTCAACCAGCTTCGAGCTGATATTCCCTCCATCCTCCTGAATAGCAGTAGTAAGTCTACCCAGCCATCGCGCATACTCATACTGACGCCAGCGTAGACCCTCTCATCTTCTACCTCTTCCAAGCGGAGACCACTTTATACGAGACCGCCTTAATTCGCCCGTTCACCGACGGCAATGACCTCCCCGGTGCGCTCGACTCATGCCGGCTCGACCACCTCTGCGCATGTCTAACTGCTGTCCGCGCTTTCTTCGACAGCGTTCTGACGACTCCGATACCCACTTATGCCTCCTTCCCCATTATTCAAAGCATTCTGATCGCACACTGCCTGGTCACTCTCTCGCGGTTGACGTTTGCCGATATCCCCGGCTGGGACACGCGACTTGTCCGCCGCACTGCGGATGTGATCGAGATCTCTGATCAGATCAGCGATATGCTGGAGCAAGCGACGGCTCTCAACCGGGAAGGCCAGGACAAGGATCCCTTCAGTAGGCTGGCCCTGACCGTGCGACGGTTGCGCGCCACGTGGGCGGCGAGACTCGGAGAACAGGCCCCTACCGGGCCCGCTGCCGATGGTGGCGTAGTTGATCCCCCGCCGCAGATCTCGAGTCAGCAAGACCTCGTGTATCCCGAGCAACCGCAACTGCCGGGTCAGGTGCCCATCTCGGCCGTGGATCTCTGGGACTTTGATGTCTTTTTTGCGGGATCCGATGGTGCTTGGCTCATGGATGCGGTGACTACGGGAGGGTCGGGCTGAAGGCGGACTGCTGCGTTGCTTCCACCATGATACGCATTTGTATCTTCGACACACAAGGTCTCATCCAACCGTGCGGGGCATTTGATATCTGCATTTGACATTTACTGGGCCAAACACCAACAGGCGAAGCGGGTTTGTTACATTCGTTCCGATCATTCTCTGGGCAGTGGCGCAGGATCTTAAGACGATTACGATCCAGGCAGCAGACAAGAATCAAAATTGCCTTATTCTCCTGGCGCCTGCTAGTATTCTTCAAGCTGGGTCCGGCGTCATCTTGTCTACTTGTTCAGTGGAGCCGATCCCGATGCCACGGTTGCGTTGCACAAGAGCAATGAGAACGGGAGCTGCGTCGGCTTCGGGACTCGACCAATCGCGAGCGCGCTCTCTGAAAACAGTCCAGCCTTTCAAAGTCGTCCCAGACGATGAAAGAGCTGGACGAGAGATGATTATCTATCTCTACCACGCGGGACCCTCTGCGTCTTATCCGCCAGAGTTGGTCTCGAAAATGACATGGGTTGTACTAAAAAGGCACCCTCAAAGATGGACAGTGGTACTTCTTCTTCCTCCCAATCATAGCCTTCGGCCTTCGGGATTAGTCAAGATAAATGTATCTGCAATCTTGCATCATCCGACAAGCTATCTTGGTGCCTTGTAAGATATGTCACACAGGATCATCCTAAGTAGCTGGCTGTTCCTGCAGGAGCTGAGAGTGAGTCAGCGTAGCCTGGGATGCTGGAGGCGGCGGGCGGATCAACCCGCCCGCCGAATCCCGCGTCATCTCTCCATCGATCCAATCCATCTCCGACGCCTACTCTGTATTCTTCATCAGCTCACAAATTTGAAAGGATTTCCAGCCTGATTCTTCAGCTGCAGGCCAATCCTTCAGCTAGGCAGCAATCATCCTTCACCCTCCACCAATCACACCTATCGATCTCCCAATCAGACCTCCACATGGGTCGAGGGCCATTGTCGACAGTAAACGCCTGCACGTGCAGCTTCCAACCACCCTGATCGTCCGGTGTTACGAGGTGACATCGCCTGGTGCTTGGTGGGGGCGATTCCAGCTCCTGTAAATCCTATAAATCAACAATCTCCGGCTGCTCCTCTCCCTCGTCCACTCGCCGGGCTGACCCACCATCATCATCACCACCATGATCACCAAGACCATCCTCCCCTTCTGCCTTCTCGCAGGCACCGCGCTCGCTGACGCGACCGTCTATCTCATCCGACACGGAGAGAAGCCGAGCGACGGCAGCACCGGACTCAGCACGCAGGGAGTGGAACGGGCCCAGTGTCTGCGGACCGTCTTCGGGGCGGACTCCGGTTACAACATCCAGTATATCATGGCCGAGACGCCTAAGAGTGGTCCGTCTTTTGCCTCCATCAGTAGAGCAGACGAGTGCTGACCTCATTCCAGATGGCAAGCGCGACCGCCCCTATCTGACCGTGCTCCCTCTGGCGGAGGATCTCGGTATCACTATCGATACCTCGTGCGGTAAGACGGACGCCAAATGCGTCAAGAAGGTGGTCGAGAACTACTCGGGGGAGGGCAATATTCTGATTTGCTGGGAGCACTCCGAGTTGACCGATATTGTGGAGAAGCTGGGCGATGATGATGCCCCGACGTACCCGGATGATAGGTGAGTCCGCCAATTCGGTATAGGAAGGTTTCTGTTTCACTAACGGTCAACTTCTCAGCTACAACCTCATTTGGACTGATCCCTCGCCGTACACCAACATCACCGCAGTGACGAGTGAGAACTGCCCTGGGCTGGACAGCTAGATTGGAGCATTGCGACCGAGAGCCGCAAGTTAAGTAGTTGAGAATGAAAATGAAAATATCTTTTTTTTTTGGTCCGCTTGGACATTCTTGCACTCAGTGACGCCCTGTCAATTACAAACAGCGTGGCCTGACGGATCGGTGAGGAGGAAAGACCCTTCAATTGTTGTATGTAGCCATCGAGTCAGCACGCCACTGAGGGCTCCGCGCACACAGCATCGGGCGCTCCGACGCAACCACCCACCACCACATCAAGTGGCAAAGAAATTTAGAAAAACTCGAACAGAACGCGGCAGATTAAATTTCTTCCAGAATTTGCCGATCACTGCATGGAAGGACTTTGTGGCCACCGTCTATATACGACCATATTATCGTTCGTTCTGGTAGGTTGGTCCCACGGACAGGTCGAGCAGGCGACAAAAGCCACGCCACGTTCGACGACCGTTCACCCCAGATGCAGCCACTACGGTCGGAGATTCTACTAGTTTGGGCGCAGTGCTTGCGTTCCCCACGATACATCTGCTGGGCCCACCACCGACGGAGCCAGCCACTCCCTGTCTCGTGCTCCAGGATGACCATCCCGGCCACGACGAACAGACCAGGTTTGATGGCAGTGGCACCGGTCGCATGCGGGGATTGTGCTACTGGCGCGATGTTACACGCCGATGAAAGATGGCAAAGATCAGCAAAGACAAGAAGGCTTCGTTTCTGCCAAGAGTGCTGGGCAGGGGCTGCCCGGCTTGGTATCCCTCTTGGCTAAAGAACGACTCGTATGCAGCCTTGGGTATCAGTTTTATTTGAGCTGAAAGCATCCTGCAACCAATTAGCATATCAACAAGCAAACCGAAGGCAAGCGAACTTGACCTGGTCACCCAATCCAGACAGATACAATGCAAGGATGGTGCGAACACACGAATGGCATCATTGAGGATTATCAGGCGGAGATTAATCGAGGTCGATGGCGCAAGTTCCAGTCCATCTCTTATCATTTTGGCGCATCGACTGGACGCTGGGATTGGGTGCTTCTGGCTGCATCGCGGGCTGATAAGCATCAACTAACCCTAATTGGGGATCTAGCTCCGCTCTAGTGGTCTTTGCTTTTGCCAGCGCGGAGTCCATGTGGCTCTCCTACGGTTACATCCAGCGCTGTCCGACGGTTTGGGATGTTCAGTCTCGCCCTACTCCCCTTTGACAGGGCCATATCGCCGCCGGGAGTCCGTCCGAGACGGCGACACATGGGGAATATAAGAAACGGCCCTGCGCGATGCAGCCGAGCTTCTGGTGCTGTTCATTGTGTCCATCCTCTCAAGCTTTTTTACTTGCAAAATGCGTATGTGGCCTTGTCCAGGCCCGTGTTTGCTCTTCCGCTGACATGCAGCAGCTGCCATCCCGGCGGAAAACCAGGTCGTCGACGCCATCAACCATGGCGAGGTGACCACGGTCATCAGCCATGCCACCCACCCCGACCCGGAGAAGCAGGGCTACGAGGTCGACGCAACGACCATCGACCATGACGAGGACTATCCCGCTCCCACCGAGGAGGAGCTGAGCAGCCTACGCAAGGTCCCCGCCAACCTCCCCATCGTGGCCTATTCGCTGTGTCTGGTCGAATTCGCCGAGCGGGCCTCCTACTATGGTGCCCAGACGGTTTTCTCCAACTTCATCGAGTTTCCGCTTCCCAAAGGTAGGCTATGTTGCTTCCCTCCCCATGGCATGCGCTAACGAGGTACAGGTGGCAACGGTGCTGGTGCACCCCCACGAGGCACCCAAGAGACAGCCGGAGCCCTGGACATGGGTCTACAAGCCAGTGACGCCTTGGTTCTGCTGTTCCAGTTCCTGGCCTACGTCGTTCCCATCTTCGGCGGATGGTAAGCTCGTGGTCCGCATACTCGGGTGCAAATCACTAACCCCATGCAGGTGGGCCGACGTGCACATCGGACGGTACAAGGCAATCTGCATCGGCGTGGCCATCTGCGGTGTGGCGCACATCATCCAAATCATCGGCGCCATCCCGTCCGTACTGCAGAAGGGAGCGTCGCATGCGGCGCCACCGTTCATCATCGGCCTTTTGATGCTGGCGTTCGGAGCGGGAGTGTTCAAGCCCAACATCGCGCCGACGGTGCTGGACCAGTTTCGGCACCAGAAGCAGTTCACCAAGACGCTCAAGTCGGGCGAGAAGGTGATCGTCGACCCGGAGATGACGGCGACGCGCACGATGCTGCTCTTCTACGGGGTGGTCAACGTGGGCGCCTTCTACATGCTAGCGACGACCTACGCGGAGAAGTACGTGGGTTACTGGCTGGCGTTCCTGCTGGCGGGGCTGATTTACTTTATGCTGCCGATCGTGCTGGCGCTGGTATACAAAAAGACATACAAGCTGCCGCCGAGCGGCAACTCGGAGCTGGGCCAGGCGCTGAAGATCACGATGACGGCGCTGCGCCAGAACAAGTTCCAGGTATGGCGCAAGAACTTCTTCGACGCGGCCAAGCCGAGCGTGCTGGCGGCCAAGGGCATTACGGTGAACTGGACGGATAAACTGGTCGACGACGTGCGTCGAACCCTAGGTATGCATCCCCCTACTTTCCGCATCCTGACCCACCAGCTAACCATCCCCAGTGGCAACGGAGATCTTTTTCTACTTTCCAATCTACAACCTCAACGACGGAGGTATTGGCTCGGTACTCAGCAACCAAGGCGCTTCGATGACGACGAACGGGGCGCCCAACGACCTGCTCAACAACTTTAACGCGCTGACCATCATCGTGGCGGTCCCCATCCTGAACTACGGGATCTACCCGCTCCTGCACAAGTACAATTGCCACCCGGGACGGATCACGCGCATCACGTTCGGGTTCTTCCTGGCGACGCTCGCCGGCATCGCGGGGGCCGTCGTGCAGTACCGGGTGTACAAGACGAGTCCGTGCGGGTACTACGCGTCCAGCTGCGCGACCGGGGTCAGCCCGATCAGCATCTGGTGGCAGCTGCCGAACACGATCCTATCGGCGCTGTCGGAGATCTTCTGCAATGTGACGGCGTACGAGCTGGCGTATGCGCGATCGCCGGCCAGCATGCGCGGGCTGGTGATGGCGGTGTTCTTGTTCATGACGGCGCTGAGCAGCGCGCTGGGCGAGATCCTGGTGCCGGTCACGGAGGACCCGTATTTGATTTGGATCTGGGCGGCGCCGGCGATTGCGCTGGCCGTGCAGGGGGTGTTGTTTTGGTTCCGGTTCAAGCATCTCAACAATGATGCGTTCATGACGGACGAGAAGGATTATGTGGTCGAGGGGGTAGAGGAGACGCCGGTGGAGAAGGAGGAGAAGGAGGAGGTGGTGGTGAAGAGTGGTTAGGACGCCGTGGACGGCACGGGGGGAGGTTTTTAAAGAATACCATGATTGATGTTCAGTTTGACGTTTGTTGTATGATGGGAGATGATTTTACAATCTATCTATAGGATAATCTAATCTACACCTAATCTTCCGCACCTTCCGCCTATTCGACTCTTAAACATCCACCTCATAGGCAAAGGGAATACTTTGCATCGCCCCCTTCCTCTGCACGCAGCAAGCCGCCGCGCGATTTGCCCTACGCACCGCATCCTCCACCAGACCGTCAAACTCCCGCAACGTCTTACCCTGTGCCACGAACCGCGCAAACGCGGTGGTGAAGTACCCGACAAAGGTATCGCCTGCGGCGGTGGTATCCACCACGTTGGCCACCTTCTCCGCCGCGACGAACCCACTGACGCCGGAGGCAGTGGAAAAGAACGCCCCTTTCGCCCCGAGGGTAATCAAAACGATCGCCACCTCCGCTTTCTCATGGAACCTGGGCGCCAACACCCTGGCCAGGAGCAGTGGATCGGGCTGCTCCTCGCCAACCCCACCATCGCCCAACCCCAACGCCCGCGCCATCAGCACCGCCTCCGTCTCATTCACCACAAGCACACTCGTCCCGCGCAGCACCCCGATCGGAATCCCCTCGGGAAACACGGGGGCGGGATTAAACACGACGTGCGCGGTGGGGTCGTGCTGGTTGAAATGCGCCAGCAGACCGAGGACGGTGGCGCGGGGGATTTCGCCCTGCATGACGATGACTTTCGTCTGCGCCCGATTATCCCCCGTTCCCCCTCCTTCTCCTCCTTCTCCTTCCTCCCCACCACGCCAAGTAACCCTCTCAACAACCGACACCACATCCTCCACGTTCCCCATCCCCGCATGATTCGCCCCGGGCACCACCGCAATCCGATTCTCCCCGGTCTCCTCCTCCACAATAATCGTCGCCGACCCCGTGCTCGCGGCGGTGCATTCGCGCACCCCGTCCACCGAAACCCCCGAGCCTTCGAGCAGTGGCCGCATCAGCGCGGCGTAGTAGGGATCGTTCTGGCCGACGGCACCCACCATGTGAACGTCAGCGGAGCGAGCAGTCGCCGTGGGCGTTGCCGAGGGGGTATGCGTGGCAGAGGGGGGGGGCGAGGAGCAGGCTGCGCGTCCGCAGGCCACGGCCTGGTTGGCGCCTTTTCCGCCGGCGGAGATGGTCATGCTTGTCGCGGTTAGGGTTTCACCGGCGAGGGGGCAGCGGGGGGTGTAGGTTACGAAGTCGGTGTTGAGGGAGCCGATTATGAGGATTGCTGGCGGAGGGGAAGGCATTTTGGAGGTTGGTGGGATGCGGTGCGGGGTTAGGAGTGAGGGTGGGGTGGAGGTTGTTTGTTCGTGTGAGTATTGTCGTTGGGATGTGGATGATCTCGCTGGATTTGAGAGGCTAGATGATGTAAACTAGATGGTAGCAGGGGAGAGCACAGGAATTGAGGAAGGGAGTTATCAGAATTGCAATAGATGTGTGGATGTGTTGCGATGGAGAGAAACAGTTGATGGTGATGGGTGCGGGGGAAAGGCAGAGATGACTCAGCAGGTCATGTGAATAGTTAACTAACGTTGCTGCTGACAAGATGCTTCAAGTAAAAGATATACATCTCGATAAAGTTGTACTAGCATATATCATGGTAGGTTGAGATTCACAGTATAGTACTAGAGACTCTGAGTGAATCCGGGCCTGGTCAAGCAAAGCAGAAACCACTGTCCTGTTCAAAGGTGGTCTTGTTCATCTGAAGATATATCCAGCCCTAGTACCCGCGCACAACTTACCTCGGTACTACGAGCACCGGATACACCGTAGTAGCTATAGCACCGTTAATATAGCAATCTCACCATCAAAGCACGTCAACCCCTGAGCCGCCATTAAGTAGTAGCCTGGCAGCCACACGAAGAAGTACAACAAATTAATCTAAATTTGTAGCCCCTATCCGAGAAATTCTCCGACAGCCTGCATCCCCAAGCCCAATGACATGCATCCGAGGTTCTGCAGGAACCAACGGTGCGCATCAATATACTACTACTATATAAAGCCAATCTCCCAGTACAGTAAACAGTAAACAAGCCTCCCACATCTCCACTGCAACCTCTATAGGTTCCGTCTGAATTGAACACCCAAACAACAGCTAAAATGTTCCCCCATCAACTCCTCCTCCTCCCCCTCCTCCTAGCCACCACCCCCCTAACCCTCGCCTCCCCCTCCCCCCTCCACAAACGCAGCGTCACCTGCGTGAAGGTCGGCGCCACCGCGACCGCCAGCTGGACCAACAGCGCCGGCGAGACTTGCAGCTACACGGGGGTAGTGGGCAGTAACTACGGCGAGAACAGCGCCGGAGGCGAGTATGTCCACTCCCTCATATCTCCCAAGCAAAGCAAAGCAAAGCATACATAAGTACATACTGACAAGTGTCTGTCATTGATGAAGTTACTCCTGCAACGGCCGCTGCGGCACAGGATGCACCGGCGTGGCCATCGGCAACGTCTACACGCAGGACTGCTGGTCGCATGATATATGCAGTTACTTCAATAATGCTTCGGGGGGCGCTAGGTATGTAGTCGTTTCCTGTCTGACTGGTTTGAATGGCCTCGTACCGGCTAAGCCTCTGTCTATACCCTAAAAACGGCTGCTAACATCAGTTGAAATCAATGCAGTGACCCGAACTGCGGAGCGGCGTTTGAAGCGGCCGAGGACGATTTCTTGCTGGGGTATTTGGACGGATGCTCGCAGACGAATCCGACGAACCCGGTGGTGAAGCCGACCGCCTCGCCGGTTTGTTCTTAGCCAGGGGCTGAGAGGTATATATAGTATATTAGGTGGGTAAGTGTATGCTGGGGAGACTGGAACGGTGATTGTGTGGTTAGAAGAATCAAATCTTGTACTTTCTATCGCAGTTACACACTTGTATTGTACGCTGTCAAGCCAGATATATCCTATCTATAACACAACACTGGTATATTGTACACAGTCAAGTCAGACAGACCCAATAAACAAGGCACAAGGCAACAAGGGTATAACCTCCAAAACCCTAAACAGCCGAATAATACCGTCTTCCCTCCAACTCCAGCCCGGGCTCATGCAACGCCATCCCGATATCATCCTGCAACTGACTCAACCCCGGCTTGCGCGGCTTCGGCGGAGGCGTCTCCCCGGACGAGGACCCGCGACTATGGCTCCCGGCGCAAGAGGCATGAATGCCAATCCAACAGGGGCAGTGGAACCGTAAGAACTGCCGGACATACGGCAGACAGCCGCAGATGATGATGAAGTTGGCTTCGATGACACTGCGCTTGTCAGCACCTCCCTTACACCAACATCCCGAAAAGAGAAAACGCACATAAACACACTCGCCAACGCGAGTTTATACGTCGGATCCGTCGACGTGACGAGCGGCCACAAGGTCGCCAACCGTACAATACTCGTAACAATCGTCCTGTTCCCCAGCACCCCACGATCAGCCAATCCCGCCCCATTCCCAATACCCGAACCCAGTGCACAGCAAACTCAAGGAAAGGAGACCTACAAGCACCCCACAAAAAACATACAACAGATCCCGACCTTCTGCACCAACGGCAAAGTCAACTGAAACACCACCGGCAGGGGAATCAAAATCAACACAATATCGCTGAGCGTATTCGTCACCGCCGTGGCCATGTAGATCCCCGGACGACTGATACACGAACCCCCCGGAATGGTGACGTCCCAGCTCTTGGCGATCGGATTGCACGCGAAGATCAGCGCCAAGGTGAGCGCGACGCTGTACGCGACGATGAACACGGCCATGCCGTAGATGATGTAGTTCCAGATGCTGATCAAGTTGAGGAGGCGGTGGTAGAGCATCAGGAGGGCGATCTTGGCCAAGGCGAGGCTGGAGATGTAGATTGTTGCAGCGGAGGTGACGACCTGTTCATTGACCGACCAAAAAAAGTCAGAGATCGGTTAACAACCCATTTCCAGTATTGTGTGGCTGCTGCAAAGAAAACTTGATGGAAAGGGGGAAACTGACCTTGAGATGCGTGTTGATTTGCGCCGGGGTTAGAAACCATATGTGCACTCCGATATTCGTGTGCTCGACTCCATCTGCGCGGGTCAGTCCTGGCCCAACTCAAGAAAGTCAGCGCGCGCACGCACAGATGATAGTCCCCTGCGTTGCCATCGAAATGACCTATCGTGTGTTATAAGCGCCCGTGATCCCATCCAGCAACGCCGTCATACCCAGGCAATGATCAGACACACTGCGACCGTCAGCAACCACCCCCGCAGACTGACCAGTATTGCAGACAGAACCCACCATCATCCCACCAGAACTTCTTCATAATCCGAATCTTAGTGTAGATCCGCATCACCAGCAGCGGCGTGCACACGGCGATCCCCACCGTAGCCAAGGCGATATTGGAGGTGCGGAGCCAGCCGTGGCCGGGGCTACCGGTGGCGTTACTCGCTGGAGCTGCTGCGGGGGCAGCCTCCATAGTGAGGTGCCGTTAAGAATGCGAGGACAAAGAAAGGGGGCATGGTTGCTCCACCAAGATGATGCTTGGAGGATGAAGTTGTTCGAAAAGAGGGGTGGGAATGGAGGCATGGAGAGAATTTATTAGAACTAATTAAGGTTGCAGCAGTGGATGAACGTATCATCGACTGGACCACCTGCCGATCCGGCAAATACTTCCGTTCGCCTCCAATGCACTGCCTTCCCTCTAACTCCAAACCCAAAGATTCCATTTGCTTATTTGATCTCCTACCCTGGTTCCAAAAACCTACAAACTTTTCGATACTCGTATCATCTCATCATCATTAATACTAATCTCATCGTCTCATCGATCCGCCCGATTGTGGCGAGCGTGTCATTATACATACATATGCAGGAGCTATGAGTCCAGCGCAAAGCACCGTTCCACAGAATCCGCGTTATTCCCCCACCAGGTGGGCATCGAGATGCGCTTGCCCGCTCCAAAGAACAAGAAGATCAGCAACATGTTCAGGTTGAATCCCGCGTCAAACGCCGCCGCGATCATGTAACTGTACCGCTTCCACACCTCGAACCGGTGACGGTACGCCCAGTACATCACGACATATCCACCAATGAAGGCCGACGTGTATCCCGTACTCAAGTTACCGTAGAACACCGCCATCCCCGAGAAAAAGATACTGACGTTCCACAGGTCGATTCGCAGCGACTTGGGCAGCAGACGATGCGCAATGTAGAGAACGATCGGTGCCACCGCTCCCACCAGGAATGCCCACGGCAGGGGCCTCATCTCGGCTTCCTTGAACAGACGACTAGGTCCCAGCACAGCATACTGCACACCAAGGGTGTTGGAAGACTTCAAGGACTGACCAGACCACTGCCCGAGCGGATCGGTCGTCGCCCCAGACAGGTAATCGCCCTTGGTGTTCAGAACCCAGCGGATCACTGCGTAGTTGATCGGAATGCCCAGGATCGTACCGAACACCTGCGAGAAGAAAACGGTCTTGGGAGGGATGTGCATGTAGTGTCCGATTTTCTGGTCTTGGAGCATGTACTGCGCCCGATACCAGGCATCACCGGCGATGGAGCCATAGACCGACGGTCCGCAAGGGTGACGGTGACCAGCGCCCGCTTTTGTCTCCACCATGTATCCGTACACCAGCTCGTTGAACGAGCCAGCAGCGATCTGGTAGTTCGAGATCGCATATAAGAACCCGAACGGCAACACCAGCGCGCCGGCAGTCGACAGGGCGACAAAGAGCGTCCAAATCGGAATCCAGAGGTATCCGCAGGCGATAATGACGATCAACGCCACGAACCCAGCCATGAAGAGGGCAAGGTACCACCACAGGGGTACCTCCTTGTAGGCCCGCTGGATCACATTCAGCCGGTCGTGGTACTGCCAGTTCAGGCCTTGGTTGGGCGTGGAAGACACCTTCTTGCGAGAGGCGATAAATTTCATCACGTTGGTCGAAACCTGAGTCCAGCCGAAGGTCAAGATCCACGTGACAGCAGCAGTGATCTTGGCATAGTCGAAGAATGTCGCCCACGCATTCTGGAGACCCATATACATCGGGCCGTACTGCTCATAAGCGGTCTCATTCAGTTGATAGTTGGAGGTGAGCACTTTGAGGGTAGGGTAGGTGGTGCCATTCGCCATCAGGAGGGAATTGGACATCAGCCCGTACTTGAACGAGCCCAAGTTGCCCCATTTGGCCGCGGGCAAGAGCACCCAACAGTTGAAGACAAAAGCCGCAAAGAGAACCACTTGCGTCCACCAAGGAGTCAAAAGGATCGAAGACCCGTTCCAGTTGATGTTGGACCAATCGAGCGAGAGGTTCAAAAAGCCCATTCCTCCGATACCCGAGCCAATGAAGTTGGCCACGGGGTTGCGTGGCGCAACCCAGCAGAGGAAGGCCAGTGACGAGGTGAAGGGGAAGACATACTCCGGCAGGAACTGCCAGAGCGTCATACCAAGTAGAGAAAAGAAGAAGATCTTCATTTGTCGGCGTGCAAGGGGCGACGATCGATCCTGTTTGCGGAAGCTCTCAAAAAGGGTCGTCTGCATGAGTGCCTGAGGCCAGATAAACATGGGGTCGTACAGCAGCACCTGACGCACCAGCGCGGCAAAAGCGTATCCGATCCAGACAATCGCAAACATGAAGAAGATGGCAACCCCGGCATTGACCCGCTCTCCGTAGAACAGCTCAGCCATGGCAATTGGGGTGTAGCCCAGATTGTAGGTGGCGCCGGACGCGGCTGTCAATGTGACCAGCACGTGCTCTTTGATGCTCCAGGGTGCGGGGTTAAGGTTGAACGACCAGCGAGTGAACGGGAATCGGACCTCCCAAGCTGGAAGTACTCGGGCCAAGAAGTGGCCGGCGTAGTGACACGCAATCTGGACGAAGAAGATGGAATAAGGAGCCTCGCGCGTACGGAAGTGACTCATCATAGAGAGGAAAGCACCGGGACAGACGAAAATAATACACAGCACAAAGTAGCGGAAGGTGATGGTAGGCAGCGTCGGATCATCGGTGAGACTGACTAGTTGGCGGACCTCGAGCGGGAGAGCAGCGATCTCAGGATCTTCCTCGATCTCCGCTTCGGCCACGGTCGGCTCTCCAGACTTCAGGTCGCGCTCCGGATCCCGCTTCAGACTGTCCACTGGGACGTTGGTGATCGAAGGTGTCTCAGATGTGGGCGCAAGTGTCGCATTCTCAGTGTAGCCGGTGGACTGGGCTCCTGCGGAGGGACTGCCCTCCGACCCGTCAGAATCGCGCCTCCGACGAAGGATGGTGGAGAGACCCATCTTGTACAGTCCAACCCAGAAGGGGGGAGATTCTTTGCTGATAGTAACGAAAAAGACCTCTCCACGGCATGGTGAGCGCGCGCGCGACCTTATAGAGGCGGATAGGCAGTTTGTCATTAGCCTCTGGGCAAAATGGCGTGCTCGCAGACTCGACAGGCATCATGCCCAAAAAGGCCACCAACATGCATGTTATTCGGGCGATCTCCGAAGAGACGGCCTGCGACTGACTGCCAGGTAGGGTTGTGTGGATGCAGGTCCTGCAAGGGCCTTTCGTACAGGGCCCAGACCGGTGAATGAAAGATGGCGTTATCTGTGGATTCTTATTCGCGATCCGCCAATTGATCCCTCCGCTGGGGAGCTGTAGCGTCCCTGATTCGTCCAGCTTGATTAAACTTAGTCAACGGACCGTGCCTGAGCCATAATTGACCGACCGGCGCATGCTCCGAGTACGGCTTTGGCTCTGGTTTCGCACTGGTTTTTGCTCTGGCTTCAACTTTCTCGGAGCAATTGACAAATTGCGGCGGAGTGGGGCTTGCAGCGGAAGGTGCACGCGGCGGATCTTCGGCGGCTCACGTGGGCGACTGACCAGTGAATTTTTCTTATCTAAAGCTTGCGCGGAAAAAGCTCGTCTGGTGCGGAGTCGATTTTGGTTGTTGCTTCGACTTAGAGCCTTCGATGTTGCTGATTGCTGTTGCTGCTCTTCTTCTGGATTGGAACATCCCCACGGGCCTGAAAGACCAGACCAGACATTTTTGAAGTTAGAGGGGGAGCGATCATCCTGTCAGGTGTTTTTTTCTCCGGAATACAAAAGAAGTCCACTCCAAGACAGTGTTTCAATCAAAGGCGGGATTAGATCTGCAGAAGGAGGGATGCAGCAGCGGGTGGTAGGGTGGCGGTGGCCAAGAATGAGCCACTGCTTACTTACTCGGGCATCCGTGGATGGCAGTGTGTACGGAGTACGGAAGTAGCTTCCGACACTACCCGTCATGCGGGCAAACAGGATTCATTGTTTGGAAGCCATGACAGGCTAAGTTGATCATTGATGATGGGGGAGAAGGTTTGACGGTGATAGGATGTGTGAGTTGTGTATGTGCGTGTGTTGAGAGACGAACAGGAGAGGGAGAAAGCAAGAAGTCACGATGACGTTCTTCTCACATCAGCGTCACCGCCCGGGAATCTGCCGCGACCGTCATCTATAAACATCTTCTATAAACCACCCTGCATGTTCAGATTCTGTGATATATACTTAAATATATACTCAAATATATACCCCATTCGATCATCGAATCTACAGCTACACACACTTCCAACATGACGGGCCACACCAGAAAGCACAAGGTCGCCGTGGTCGGCTCAGGCAACTGGTACGAACCGCTCCTTCCAGACCTGAATGACATCACTGACAGCTATTTCAACACAGGGGATCAACCATCGCCAAGATCATCGCCGAAAATACCAGAGAACACTCGGATCTCTTCGAGAAGGAGGTGCGCATGTGGGTGTTTGAGGAAGAGATTGAGATTCCCGAGTCGTCCAAGCACCACAGCAAGCTGGGCGGCCAGAAGCGCAAACTCACCGAGGTGATCAACCAAGTCCACGAGAACGTCAAGTACCTGCCGGACATCGCGCTGCCGGACAACGTGGTGGCGGATCCCGACCTCAAGTCCGCCGTCAAGGATGCGACTCTGCTCGTCTTTAATCTCCCGCACCAGTTCATCGGCAAGACGCTGGACGGGATCGTGGGTCACATCCTGCCGTATGCGCGCGGCATCTCATGCATCAAGGGGGTGGATGTCTCCGACGGCACCGTGACGCTGCATTCCGAGCTGATCATGGAGCGACTGGGGATCTACTGTGGTGCGCTGAGCGGGGCGAACATCGCGCCCGAGGTCGCCGCGGAGAAGTTCTGCGAGACCACCATCGGCTATGATGTGCCGCCCATGGACTCGAAGCCGTCCGACGACTCCGAGAAGGCCAATCTCATCAAGATCGACGAACAACGGCAGTGCAAGACCAAGCCGACGCACGTCAAGCTGACCCCCGTACCAGAAGAGTTGCCGCACGTTGGCGCCGAGCTCCTGGAGACGCTGTTCGCTCGTCCGTATTTCCACGTCGCCCACACCCGTGACGTTGCGGGGGTGGCGCTCGGTGGTGCACTGAAGAACATAATCGCCCTCGCCTCAGGCTTTGTCGCTGGCAAGGGCTGGGGTGAAAATGCCAAGGCCGCGATTATGCGCGTCGGCGTCCTGGAGATGGTCAAGTTCGGCCGCACATGGTTCCCCAAGTCTGTCGAGGAGCGGACCTTCACAGAGGAAAGCGCCGGGATGGCCGATTTGGTCTCCTCGTGCAATGCCGGCCGGAACTACCGGTCGGCCTGCCATGCGGTCGAGCAGGGGGTCAGTGTGAAGGAGATCGAGGACAAAGAGCTCAATGGTCAGAAACTGCAGGGTACATCCACGGCGTACGATGTGTATGAGTTCCTTGAGAAGCAGGGCAAACTCAAGGAGTTTCCGTTGTTCGTTGCGGTGCATGGTACGTTGCTTCACTCGTTATTCTGCGGGCGCGGTCGGGTGCTAACATGTCACAGATATCCTCGAGGGCACTGCTAAGGTGGAAGATCTTCCAGCATTGATTGGTGGAAGGAAGAAGATTGAAGGCTGAAATGGGTGTGGACTACTTTAGATTAATGATAATGAATATAGAAGATTGATGAACGGATCCTGCATCACTTGGTGGATGACCAACACCAGACAGATAATAATCCCCTTAATCTGTAGAGCTAGCACCGGCCATATTTCGCATCGGAGAACGACATTGTTGCATAACAAAGAGCGCTTCGTAGAACACGCAAATGGTAGATCAAAGCATCAGGATCTTGTGTTTCGCGAAAGGCAAGGGTGGTGAAGTTATCGAGATGGAAAGAATGAGCGCAAATAGTAATAAGAGTCGTGAAATTCTCATCTCAGCCTTTTACTCCCTCAGCTCTGGCCCAAGCTTGCCGAAATCGGATATTAGACAAAATAAATACAGGCTCTCATCTAGTCGCACACTTAAGCCTCCTCGCGGTCCATGTCATCTCTGTTCCTCTTCTTGCCTCTGCCACGACCTCCCCGGGAATCCTTGTCCTGCAAATCCCTCATAGCCATGGCCGCTTGCCGCTGTGCCTCGCTCACTCGGTCGCTGAACACCATGACCTCGTCTTTCTCCGGCTTGTACTCATCCAGCTTCTTGCCCAAGACACCCTCAATCCGCAACCATACCTCCACTTCATACTGAGTGACAAAAGAAATGGCAATACCACTCTTGCCGGCACGGGCCGTCCGACCCACGCGGTGGATGTAGGTCTTGCTATCCTGGGGCAGATCATAGTTGAGAACGAAATCCACGGCGGGGATATCCAGACCACGCGCTGCAACATCTGTGGCCAGCAGCAGATTGCGCGAGCGCGCGCGGAACTTGCTGAGGGACGCCAACCGCGCACTCTGGGAGAGTTGACCGTGGATAGGGATGGCTCCAAAGCCGAGATTGCGCAGCAAGAAAGCCAAGCGCTGCGTTTCGTGAACAGTGCGGGTGAAGATGATGCCTAGTTGGCCTGCGCGCTCGTTCAACATATGGACCAAGTAAACGTCTTTGAACTTGTGCGGGATGAACATGTAGGACTGGGAGAGGTTGGTGGCGGTTTGATTCTTGGCCGAGACAGACACGCGCACGGGGTCGGAGAGCGAGGCCCGTTGGAGGGATTCTACCTTGCTGGACATGGTCGCAGAGAACAGGTAGGTCTTTCTCCGCGGCAGGAGGCGGAGGAGCTTGTCGAGGATGGGACCAAAGTCCAGATCGAGCAGTCGATCGGCCTCATCCAACACCAAGTATTTGAGGTTCTTCAGCGAGAAGCCCTTGGTGTTCTCCAAGTGATCCAGCAGACGTCCGGGGGTTGCCACGATCACATGTGGTTTCTTCCCCAGCGCCATCGCCTGCGACACCATGTCCATACCACCGATCAACAGTGTGCATCGCACGGAGATCAAGGATCCCAGGGCTTCAACCGTCTGGGCAATCTGTTGCGCCAATTCTCGCGTAGGCGCAATAATGAGGGAGTGCAGGGATTGAGGTTTGTCCATGAGCGCCTGAAGAATGGGTAACACAAAAGCGGCGGTTTTACCACTTCCCGTCTCAGCAAGACCGATCAAATCTCGTCCTTCCAAGGCGATGGGAATGCAACGGGCTTGAATGGGAGTGGGCTTCTTGAAACCTAAGGAGTCACAAGCTTCACATAGCGAATCGATAACACCAAGTTCCTGAAATGTTTGTGCGAGGGGGGCGGTTGACTCGAGTTCAGGTTCGGCGATCGAGGTCGCATCCCCAACCGAGGGGGTATCTTGAACGGGTTTTGTCATTGTGTAGATCGAGCTGTAGATGCGAGGTCAGCTGGCAGAAGCAAGGGGAAAAAAGAACCAAAGATGGCGGAAAATGAGGTGGACTCACAATGGTTTGGGGTTAATTGCTCTGCGCAGCGCCTGGAGAAATTCCAAAAATTTCCATGTGAGCGGCGGACTTACGGTTAATCCGGAGGCCTGATAGCTTATCGCTGAGTTCTTATCGAATATTCTGCCACCGCCTCCTGCCCGCCCGCTTATTCTGCCAGACAGGCGGTGGGCAGTTTCCTAGCCTGAGGTACCGAGGTTATCTACATTTCCTCAGGAATCTCAAGCTTGAACGAACCATCGCGAATCCACCCGTCTTGAAGTCAAGTATGCATGGACTTGATGCTCACAGCTTTCTGTGTAAGGGCGGTGAGTTTAAACACTGATTCGAGAGTGCTGTTGACAGTTTTCACCCTTCAGGGAAGTCCCGAGAAGTGTTTGTCTGTCCAGCGCAATCCACTGCTTACAAGGATGGGTGGGTTCAGGAAGAGAAGAAAGCGCAAAAGGTAGTAGTGATAGATGATATTTATGAATAGAGCGGCAATTCCGAGACATGTGGACTGTCCACTACCCACTCCACACCTCGACCTTACAATATTTTCATCAAGACAGGCCAATGAGGGCCAATCACAACCAGATCTTCACGTCTCTATCAACCCAAATTTATCCTCCGTGGTGCATTCTGTGGGGGTGTCTCCCTCGAAGACGTTCATAATGAACTCTCGAGCCCCGGGCTGGCCTGGGAGACCAGAAGTCCCGTGAAGCCCCTTGACAATCCGCAGATATTGAATCGAGACGCCCGCATCGCAATACTTCTGCACCAATGCATCGTGATCCTCGATATTCACCGCTATCTCATCCGCCGTGCCCTTCCACATGAACATGGGAAAGTCCGGGATGCCATGTAGTCCTGCCGTGCCGATCTCATCCAACAACTCCAAGTTATCACTGATAATGCCTTGACCGTTGTCGTACCATGATGTTATATTTTGAAGAAAGAGCCGGGAAAGGAATCCGTACACTGGCTTATAAAAGTCAACAATACATTCTTTATACACAATCTCATACAGCGGCTTATACTCCGGTAGGAGATGTTGGTCAACATAAGCGGCAAAGGCGGGGAAGATATTGCTGAGCCCGGCACTCATTCCAGCGGCGATTCCTGCATAGATGTTTTTCTCGGCGGCAAGGAAGGCCTTAGATATATTGGTTGGCAACCCCCCGATGGCTGCCCCAGCGATCTGGACCTCTGGTGCGTATGCACGGTGAAACTCTCCTGCCCATTCCGCCGCCGCGCCTCCCTGCGAATATCCTTGCATGGCGATGGTTGCAGTGTCCGATAAGCCCGTGATGTGCGTCGAGCGGAGCACGGCACGCATGGAGTCTAGCACGGCATATGCCGCGTTCGGGTTGACTATAAATGCGGCGGTGTGTTGGAGAAAATCGGGTACGACAAGAGGAATTCCCTTCCTAATGTAGTACAGCATCGCAACTTGCATCTCGACGACCGATTCGCTTGCATTGGTCGAGGCGCCGAGTTGAAGCCCGTAGGACGGTGAGCAGTCATTCAAAACCGAATCGTATCCCGTCAGGAAGACGAGAAAGCGATCCAGTTTGGCACCGAATGGGATCATGATGGTTGTCACTGCGTAGCTGGGCGATTCGTGGACATCGGTGGTGCGGTAGAGCAGCTGGTGTGCTGAAGCAAGACCGGGTGGGGGAGTCAGGGCTGAACCGATCGTCACTTGCCGTGATTTGAGGATAGACCCCGGAGGTTGCGATAGCCAGCCGTCATCGTCAGGGGTGTAGAATGAATCGCGATGTGGCGCCAGCGGTATTTCAAAGGCACGGGGTTGGCTGATGGCCCCAGCGGAGGGGAACATGGCCCATAACAGGGCCGTGAGATAGAGAATGTGCCCCACAATATCCATGCTGAACTGAACAAGCAGAAAGATATCAACAGTGTTTGCACAGAGTCCCTCAGTGATGTCAATACGCCCATCTTATAGGCGCGTACTGCTTTTTTTCGTGCTCCCATCTCAACCAGCGTTGGAAGCCCACGAGTCGAAAGCCACTACCCCCCTCGAACATCACAATGAGAAACATGAGAAGTACGACACTCTCGTGTACTCTTCCAGACTGAGCGGACTATGTTAACTCCGCTGGAAGTGATAATTCAAGAATCACAACGATAGTCGTGGGGGCTGTGATCAATGCAAAGCGAAGGACTAGCCTGTGGATCGAACCTCAGTCCCTATCGCTACAATGGCCGTTCGACTGCAATTATGTCCTGCTTCTCCCGCCGTAAAAACCAGAGCGTGAGAGCGAGCACGTACCTGTAATCTCGCTGGTTCAATCCCGTCGAGCAGTCGAAGTAGGACAACCATAGCTTGGTGACCCCGGCCAGCTGTGCAGCTGACAGGGTAGTGACTCCAGTTTCTAGCCTGCACTAGACCAGAACACTGCATGAAGCCCGCTAACAAAGTAGCACAATCGTGCGACAAGTGGATTTCATTTCTAACTTCTTTGACAACTCGAAGCTGGCGTCCCACTCCTTTTCAGATACGCCATACTAAGATATTCCAGCATAGCCATGGAGGGTCGATCGAATAAATTGTCGCAGGTCGGCCGCAGTGGGGTGGGCCCGATAAATGCCATTCAAGTCGATCAGCCTGACATGATAACTGTTCCTGTATTTATCTGATCATCATCGCCACGCAAACTCGGATTTAGAGGGCCTCTGGATTGGCCTGGAGCCAAAGCATCCACCTCAGGGACCCCCCCCCCCCCACCACTCGGATCTGTAAATCCGAAAGTCCGAGAGCCAAAACCGAGAGCAAGTGCCGGTAATGCCTCAGGCTCCAAGATTTTGGGACTGAGTCGCTTGGCGTTGCCTTGCAGGTATTTACCGACCGCACAACGGCGGACCAGATAATGGAGCAACTCTCGCCCAGTCCTATCAGATCCTTCATCTGCATCTTGAAAGCCAAGACATCGCTTTTACGAGCAAGTCCTAACACCGAGGCTCGGCGCAGTTCAGGCAGATGACGCCACCGGGCGGCACCGGATGTGAGCCGAAGCGGGCCTCACCAGCCTCGGAGATAGCCGGGATAGGCAGGCAGCCAATAGACCGAGACCGGACGATCAGATAAGAAAATCCCCCGGCTGTGTTTTCTCCCGCCTATATATTTCGAGGGAAGACGCTGTCGCTGGTCAAGCATGTTTCTCCCGTTTCAAAGATCAGGAAATCCCTCGCTTGTGACTTTCATCTTGACTGTGTTCATATCACTGCTCCTATCTACTCTCGTGCTCAGAAACTCGAACACCTGGAATACACCGCAGAATACGATGGCTGCCTCGACGTTAAAGAACGTTATCGTGGTGGGCGGATCGTACGTTGGACGAGTATGTTGACCTGGGTGGATCATGTGCAAACATCTCCCAGATGCTGATTATCCCAGGGAGCTGCAGAAGAATTGGCACGGGTAGTACCCAGCACGCACCGGGTAAGTGCAAGCCCAACCGTGGCGGTTTCTCCATACTAATCTTTTCCGCAGGTGTTGTTGATCGAACCGCACAGCCATTTCCACCACCTCTTCGCCTTTGTATGTCACTGAGCCTGTACATTACACCACCTCATCACAGCACACTAACGCGTAGCAGCCCCGCTTTGCCGTTCTCCCTGGCCACGAGCACAAAGCGTTCATTCCCTATACCCGCCTCTTTGTCTCCTCCCCCAACTCAACCCAACACGCAGTCGTGCAGGCCCGCGTTCTCTCCGTCCAACCACAGCACATCAACCTCGACCGCGCCTGGCAGGGACAGAACCAGATTCCCTTCGAGTATCTAGTCGTCGCGACGGGCACCCGTCTCGCCGAACCAGCCGCCATGCGCGACGAGGATAAAGGGTCCTCCGTGCAGTACCTACAGAAGCACCAAGCGGACGTAAAGAACGCCAAATCCGTTGTCATCGTCGGTGGTGGTGCGGTGGGCGTGCAGATGGCGACGGACATGAAGGAGTTGTATCCGGAGAAGGAAATCACCGTGGTGCAATCACGGGACCAGCTCATGCCTCAATTCCACCGGGGCCTCCATGAGATCGTGAAGAAGCGCTTCGACGAGCTCGGCATCAAGTACGACTACCTTTCCAGCCCCGTCCCCCCTTCTTCTCCACCAGCTGACAGCCACAAGAACGATCACCGGCGCGCGCATCGTCGTCCCCGCCGCAGGCTTCCCCAACAACGGCGCCCCCTTCACCGTCCAACTCAACAACGGCACCGAACTCACCACGGACTTCGTCATCCTGGCCACGGGCCAGAAGCCCAACAACGACCTGATCCGTTCCCTGCCGGCCTCCTCACCGGACTCGCTGATCAACCCAGCCAACGGCTTCATCCGCATCCGGCCGACCATGCAGTTCCAGGACCCGCAATACCCCCACTTGTTTGCTGTCGGCGATATCGCCGACACGGGGCTGCGTAAGGCTGCCCGCCCCGGTGGCGGGCAGGCTGCGGCCGTGGCCCGCAACATCCAGGCGATGATCGAGGGGCAGAAGCCCGAGGCCGTGTTCCCGCCGTTCCCGATGGCGATTCATATCACGCTTGGCTTGGTGAGTTTCTTCCTGGGTTTGGTGTTAATGAAAGTACCGCTCATACAGGTGGCTGCAGAAATATAACATTGTGTTCCGCAACCCGAATCCCGCGGAGGGCAAGACAGAACCTGAAGTGAAGGAATCCTGGGAGTGAGTTCATCCCGGTCGGCATAAGCTATTATGAGGGTAGGTACTGACAGACACCGCAGTTCGCAGGAAGATATGGGCGTGGATCGATGGTGGAACCGCCTGGGCTTCCAGGAGAGCGTGCCATCGCAGTACCACTTGTGATGTTTCCGCGGAAGGGAGGCTAGAGCTGAGTTACGAACTGCGATAGAAGCATAGAGTCATGATACCAATCATCACATTTCAGTCTGTTATACCGAAAACCTGCACGAGCAACACCCACAACCACCACATGTAATTTAGTGTTGACAGCCAACCCCACACCGTATAAGTAGGTAGCATGACTGGAGAAACTGGAAGTGAATAAACAAACCACACTAACCCCAACACCAACCACAACGCCCAAACTCCACCCCCATCCACCGTCCCCATCTCCCCAACACAATCGACCAACCAAACAACCCAACAATCAAGCAATCAATTGAACACCTCCGGAACCCCCTGATGACATCCCGGCGACCTCCACTCGGGCTCACACGTCCCCGTATACACACTATACGCCTGCCCCGTCGGGCAGTGCAAGCGAACCAGCTCGCCCCCTTCACACTTGTGGTAGGCGTGGCAATCGTACCGGTCGGGTCGAGTGGCGCCCGGTCGGCAGTCCGCGGCGACGGCGGGGTCCAGGAGGAGGGAGGTGAGAAGCACCATGAGGGTTTGGTAGAGGAAGCGCATTTTGTCGGAGTCGGTGGGTGTGGGTCGGGGGTGATCTGACTAGTGAGAGATTAACTTAATTGATGGTTCTGTGGAGTGGTTGCAGATAGTCGAGGTGATTGAAAGGTCCGAGACCTCAAGGTATACTGACTGGACTTGGTAGTAGGTGCAGCGCTGAGAAAGAGTGCAACACTACTAGTAGAATTTGCGCAGCACTGAGTAAGTATGGCACTGGGTAGTAGATCCGGGTGCAAAAGTCCACAAAACACGGCCTACGCGCGGAGCTACGGGGACATTGGTATAGATATATGGTAAGTGATATGTTACCCTGTGCTCTGGTATGGACAGGGGGGGAGGGAGGGTCTGGAATTCAATATCATGCCAGCCGCGCGTGGGGCGCGGTGCCTGGGGATCGGGACTGGACTTGCAGTGGCTTGTGTGGGGGGGCCTCACTATTGAACATACACAAATATAGTACATGGATGGGGCCCCTTGACTCCCTTTTCGCTTGGTGGAGGTGACGGTGTAGGCCAGGAACACAGGATTTATCGCGAAGGAGTGTGTGATGGGACTATTGCAGAACTGGGGCAGCTCAGACGCTTGGGCAGAAGGATTGAAGGATTGATGGCATCGGAGCTATTACTGTGCTGCCTCCGGAGATTGTGCGAGACTCATGAGGCTTGCTTGCCTTGCTGGTCTAGCATGGGCGAGGAATGGAGCCTGCAGGGACCCAAGGCGTAGAACGCGTGAGGGTCTGCGGGCGATCCTGCGCGGGAGCTTAGTTGCAACTTACTGTAGTGACATGTTTTACGGGAACCGAGACTGATCGCAGAAACTTTCTTGAGGAAATGTAAGATCTGGTCTAAAGGTCAATTGTGAGTCTGTTAAAGTAAAAAGTATGTGAGAATGAAGACTTTTGAGATAACATCGAGGAGGATACCTAATCATGATCATTGGAAGTGTGAATTTGGGCAGTGGATTGGAATGCGGAGAGGCAGGCGGTGAAGATTTGCCGGGTTGCCAATCGAGACGCGTCAAAGAGAAGAAGGCGGTGAAAGGGAGTCTACATGACGTCGATCTTTGATCAGGGAGATTCGTCTCTGCAGAAAATTATCGGCTGATTTCAGGTGTTGAGGTGGGAGTCCTTCCTCATGTTCTAAAATTCTCTTGGTAAACAAAGACATGGTTGTCACGAAGTTTGTCCTCATCTTCAAACTTGTGCACCATCAGCACGCCGCTCATGGCCGAGTCCTGATGAATCATGACAATTATGCCGATCACTATAGTACAAACCACCACCAGATCTCACAAAAGGTAGACCACCCACTTCCCTGAACCGATCATCTACCGGCGATCAGACGTTCTAGAATCCCCACCCAAGCCCCCAATGAACATTTCTCTAGTTCCCATCGCGCGATGGACGAATCGATCCATGCACAGGGGTCGATGAAGTTCAGCCCTGTTCCCATTACCTATCCCCATCGTCATTTCCCCGCAGTGAAGTCAATCTGACCCAAACACCAAAGAAGGGTCGACGATGAAAGAATGACGACGCCGGATTTGTGACGTACGCTGAAATCAGCCGAGCTTGGTGCATCCATTCAAGGTATAAGTATACCATGGTTGTATCGAGGCAAATCATTATTCCAACACCTCAAACCATCTCATCACATCAAGTCTCGATCCATTCTATACAAATCTATCCCATACACTCAATAAAAATGTCCTCCCCTGAAGATAGAGTCAATGCCATGCGTGGCTACAAGGCGTGAGTACTGTTCGCCCCGAAACAAGTGAGAAATCCCTGACGGTACACAGCACCCTCAACAACCCCAACGTGTCTGAGGAGGCCAAGCAGAACGCTCAGTCCATGCTCGACCAGCTCGGTGGCTCCCAGCCTTCGGAGGAATTGCACAATCTCCGTGGTGACAACCAGAAGGACCCCAACCGTGTCGCCGGTGGCTTGAAAGCGTGAGTTACATTTCTATTCCATAAGTGGGTCTTCAATATTCGAATACTGACTTGTCCCTCAGTGCACAGAACAACCCCGGTGTTTCGAAGCAGGGTAAGGAAAGCGCCGCCCAGAAGCTCAATCAGCTTGGGGGCCCTGACGAGTAAAGGCCTAGTCAAGCCTGGTATGATTAATGTATATGTATGATTGACGTTGTACTATTATGATGGAATTTATTTTTTCCTTTGATTATGGCCACTTAGATGCGTTCACGAGCCAGGTCCGTAGCGTGTAGAAGTCTTTCAAGAATAGACGTGCTGAATGTCGTTCTGTGACCACGACTGGATTTCTCCCCTTGGTAAAAGCACGATCAATCACTCTAACGCCGCATCGTATCCTCAATCAGCAGTCGAAATAACACTTCATCGACTGCGCCTCCCCATACGAGAGACAGTCAATATTCTGACTGATCGCATTAGGCTTGACTCCGACCCCATTCTAACAGTAGGGATTCGAGTAGACCGATCAACCTGTTCTATGGATAAAGTTTCCCTCCACGACGAGCCCCTGATAAGGAGATGAATTGGAAGCAATTCCCCTCGCACGTGGGAACATAGTTCTCGATGCTATGCTGGCAGTCGGAATCGGTGTAGTAGGTGACGCATTCTTGGAAGCCATTCTAGGAGCACTCTTTTGCGCTGGCGGCCGTAGCTGCGGTGAGGAACAAGGGGGTATGGGATAGGCGCATGGTGATGGTAGGAGGGTTGATCTTGGTGGATGCTAGACACGGGTTAAGTCACTCGCAGTGAATGATTATTTTGACCGCTTGACTTTTCGTGAATTATAGAGTTAGTCAGAAGGACTGGTACTGGCTGGGGAGCATTGGTCATGCAGGAGATGGATACCCTCGCTTGTTGCAATCATTGACCTTCTATACTTCGACCACAGAAGCTCTCTTCTGCATTTGGAGATTCATTCTCCCAGCCGACACCGCCTCATTGAGAATCCCCAAGTTGAAGTTGTATATGATCATCGCTAAAGACGGGCTAACCCGCACGCTAGTGACCCGCTAAGGTCCTTCCTCTCGAGTCCTGGGGCCCTGCAAAAGCGTTCATCTTCCGATTGGAGCGGAGACAGGCACTCCGACGAGCCAATGTCTACCTAGTAAGCAGTCGCAGGACTCTGAACTAGCTGTTGTCGGGGTGAATATCTCCACAGAAGCCCTGGCTTGGTTGATAGTTTTGATGCGGCTCATTTCGGTACGAGACTGGAGACTAGAACTACAGCCCAGTCTCCATTGTCCCCATTTTTAGACTAAGCGAGTCTTTCTCCATAGGCAAGATTCACATTTTCATGGTTTGTAGGTTCAAATCCTTCAAAGCCGAACTTTGACTTGGTCTATTGACTGAACATCCGTGTGGCCCAGTTCAAGGGATCTGATATCAACGAGAAAGCGTTATAATCAGGTCTCATCCTTCACGTTTATTTTCTTCAGCTCCTGCTCGGCAGAACCCCGCTCAAAATCCTTTTGCCCAACGACAAAGTGGTTTCTCGCAGCCCGTCGTGATCCTATCGGCACTGCCGAATCGTCCAGAGTCATGATCCCACCGCTGGAAGCGAAGCCTATTGGACAGGTTTCGATGCGGTGAGATCTACGTAGCTCAGAGTTGAGCGAGAACAGCATCTAGTTCAGGGAAGGCATCAAAGACAAAACGACCCCATCGCAAAACGGAGAATGGCCCTTTTGAAGTGCGCATCCTCTGCCGCTCTCTGATCGATCAGACCCTGGAGTGAAACCCTTTGGGACTCCAACCGTTCATCGGATCTGGACTTAGTAGTTTCTGCGGGATCCCTGGAGATAGTTTCCGGTCCATTCCGGTTCGGGCTAGAAGCGAGAGATGAAGAATAGATGACCCACGCCAGCAAGTACGCTGACAGGACTGACGACGGCCGGGTTGTGGGGCAGTACTGCACAAGACTCATGTTTGCTTCTTGGCGGGATTTCAAGCAAGCGGATTACCTTGTCTGTGGTGGATCGTCTTATCCAGGGGGGTTGTGGACAAGCGATCGATAAGGTATGATCATAATTATTACAATATCATTGTCAATAATATTCCGGAAGAGATTGTGGAAAATCCGACTGGTGAGGATCATGCGATTCAGGATACCCTGATCAACGACAAAGTATGCGACTCGCTCGAGTAGTATATTCGGGAGAGTAAGAGACGACATGATGGAAACTGATAACTGGGTAGAGAAATCATGCTTTGGGGTGAAAAAAAGAACGAGAAGAAGAGGCTTATGAGGAAATAAAGTGGTGACTTATATACTAAACGTCAATCTACCTATTCACGTCGTCACCTCACGATATATCAAACTTTTTTACTGCGGTACGGCTTCACCTCGACCAGGAGATGAAAATAAGGAGTTGACCGATATAGGAACAGGGAAGCTTGACACGATGAATTTCATGAACCCAGATGAACCCAGCACGGATATAATTGGAAGTCATCAGTGAAGAGAAACAGCCCTCTCAGCAACATGCATGGTGATGAGAAACTCCAAACTCCAGGACACGTCGGTTTAAATAGCGTATCGAAACTCACGATTCACTCGATCGGTCAGATCCATGAACTCATGTTTCTGCTGTACGACATGCGCGTCACCTTCTGCCTCCTTCTCCGCGTCTCTCCTTCGTTTCTCGCGCACCGCCACCCACCGGATAAGACACAAATCAATCGTGATCAGGACATAGAGCACGACGATGGAGATCTTGGCGGGGAGGTATCGCGGTGCGTCCTTGGCCTGGAAGGTCTGCGGGGAGATGATGTTGCCCACAGTATAAGCCACGGTTTGGATACACACAACGGTGATTTTCTTGGTCGATCCAGCCACATTCGTGCTCGTCAGGCCCAGAATCGTCGTCCATCCGATGGGGACCCCACCAGACAGGTAATATCCAATCAACGCGGGGGTCTTCTCGGTTGTGGCCATCAGAATCGCTCCGACAATCGACGGTATGTGACCGATAATGCACCAGAAAAGCCTCTGCTCAGTCCTCATACTAAGATAGTTCAAGCCAATCAACACAATCACTCGTACGCGCCCAACGGAGTAACCAACAACAAGCTTTGCCGCGAGGAATACCCCATCCCCGTGACCAGAATGTTCCCAAAGCTCGTGGCGATGGAATTAGGCACCTTGGCTGCGAACACCCAGAAGGCATACAACCAGGTGCGCCTTCTTGAAGACGATGCTTCCAATTCCCTGCTCATTCCCCCGCAGCCGTTCCACGTGGAGCGCCTTTTCCGTTGGTTAGAGGAACCGCGCCGTGACCGGCGAATCCGGCAGTATAAATAGAAACAAGACGCCCACCACTACCGTGAAGCCTCCCAAAACCAGAAAGATGATCTGCCATCCTCGCAGCGGGGCGCTGCTATCGATATGCACTGCGATACCGTACGCAATATACCCGCCAAACATCTGCGCGAAGCCGCACATGGCGAACCAAATGCCCACACGAAACGCCTGCTCCTCTTTCCTATACCCCTGCGACGTAAACACTACCCAGGCAGGCACAATTGCTGCCTCCGCCACGCCAAGAAACGTGCGACAGACCATCAGAGCGGCGAAGGTGTGACAGGCCGCCATGTACGCAAGAATGGCACCCCAGACAATCACGTTGACAGCCACATAGCGCGCGAGCGGAAAGGCCTGGAGCAGCCGCACGGTCAGAAAGCTGAAGGCGAGTTGCCCGAAGAAGAAGATGCTGGAGATCCAGTTGTACTGGTTCCCGTGTAGGTGGGCGGATTCCCGCAGGCCGATGACGCTGGCTTAGCCGATGGCGATCTTGTCGAGATATTGCAGGAAGTAGACGATGCAGATCAGGGGCATGATATAAAGATTAATCCTGCGCACGAGCTTGTGAGCTGCCTCGGGGTCGAGCTCGGTCGTGCCGTGGCGGCCAGGAGTTGCAGGGCGCCATCGTGAGATTCATCCTTGACTTGGGTGGTTGGCTGCTTGGCTGGGGTCTCCGAGGCAGGCGGGGACGAGTTTGGGTGCATCCTGAGCGGGTTGGAGATCCCTGTCAAGCATTCACTGCGAAATTGTCCTGGATTTATGGCGAAGTGCTTGCAGGCGCGCAATGGCGGTGTTAAATCACATCATCTCAGCTATCGCGACATGAGTCTTGACTGATAAGCACGCCAAGGCTGCTTGACGATAGCCATGGTCTGCCTTCCAAGGATCGACCACTATGGCGGATAGCCTGAGAGCTCCCATAAGAAAGGTGGACAGAGATCAATCCATCCTTTGCGAAAGGCCCTCGGACGCTCAGGAGACACATGGCCGTAAGGAAAGGATACGCAACCCGAATTAGCACTGGTAAATCTTGCTCCATTCACCTCATGCTCATCCAAGCTGGTAGCATGTCTCAGTAAAGAGCCCGCCAAGCATGGTCCTAAGCTGTGACTAATGTGAATACAGTATGTTGGTCAAAGCTCGTCATATCTCCAACAGATAAGGAATGAATCCATGATTTTGACGAGCAGTAGAGCCTGATGAGCCATGATCTCTCGTTATGAGGTGCCCCATTTCAGATGAAAGCAAAGAACCTCACATTGCAATCATAAAAATCATCAGTTCACATTGTGGCACTGAGCCTGTGAGAGACATTTGCAGACTTCTGTTTTGCCGCTGTGTTCAAGATGTCCATTTGGGGTTGAAGGCAATCTTGACGAAGGATGAAAGGTGGTGCAGCAGTCTGCTGCAGTTTCGACAATATCTTCTCATACTTACTTATACCCTCGCCCTACGCTCTACAGTGGAAATTCGTAACACGAGGTAGGTAGGTGAATGATTGCCAGCAATTCCACAACTCCCTTTATCTCAGTAGTCGATGAGTGTTCCATGTGAGTTTCATTCTCTCCCAAAACTGGACAGCCGTGTGAAAACTCCTATTTCGCTTGGCCTGCGATTAGGTCCTCCCTTCTCTCATTTCATTGGGGAGTAATATGGGCATATGTGCCATATTACCATCACTGTCACATGCGCTTGCACGATCAATCCGTAAAGAACAAGATTCCTCCATTCAAGGCAGGAGCAATAACGCTACCATGATCCTCGTCCAAGTACACTCGCTTTTCACATTCAACCCGGCCACTAGAAGATAGCCTTTCATATAACTCGTCGCAATTGTCGGTCATGCGGCGCTGGGCAGCGCCTCTTTTACGTCTTTCGTACATATCCAGCGACTCTCCTCGGTGACGAGCCGGGAACTGCTCCTGTGATCCATACGAAAGACGGACTCTAGGCCTAATTCGAAGTCCAGGAGAGTCATAGAATTGCGTCTCTTCCGTCAAAATCAATCTATCGTTCCACCAGATTGAGGGACTCGCAACGAGAAAGGTGCCGAAGCTCCCTGGTTGCGTGAACAGGACATGCAACGCGAACAACCCCCCATATGAGTGGCCAAAGAGTGCTGTGCGACAAATCGTGACATTAGGAAAGATCGAAGACAGCACGAAGGGTTCCACTGTCTTCTTGATGAATGCGAGAAATTGATCCGCTCCGCCATGGGGTTCAGGCCGGGGATGGCCATCGGGTCCGGTCGGGGGTACATATGTCTTGCAGGGTGGAGTCAAGTCTATCGTACGGCGAGGACTGTACACGCTGTTGGTCAGAGGGTAGCCAATCGCGATGACGACTGTCCCCGGCTCATCTGGGGAAGTAAGCCGACGTCGACGAACAGCATCCAATGCGGTCCCGAAAACAGCGTTACCGTCGACAGAGTAGCTGTTCATGTGAGTCGCAGATTCTTCGCCTTGGCAGGGTCATGTGTTGGCAGACGTACAGAAGATTTGCCTGGGCCGAGACTTGTAAAGTACTCCAGCCCAGCGGCCACGCAAGCTGGATCTGATAAGACAATCCTTGCGCGTTGGAGATATTCCATGCCGCCACATTCGGAAGTCCGCCGTGATCGGATCGGGTAAAGGTCCAATGGGTCATCTTTCTTCTCGCAGATGGAGTTCATGTGCACAAGCAAGACAAAGTCACGCCTTTATGACACACATCTCGAGCGGGAATTCTTCGGTGCCGGATCGGAAGCTTTTGCACCGTGTACCCCCACGCTGCTTCCGACGGATGCTTCATTTTGCCTTCAGCGGAAGGTCTTGGCTCTGCTTGGCGGCCTTGGCATTTATTATCTGATCCGGAATTGAATTTCCCTTGGACCAGTCAGAGAGAGAGCACGCGGTAGAAAAGGAGGTCTGCGGGCTTTGGGGCTTTGGACTGGACAAGTCTCACGGAGGGTGTCCGACATCTCGCGCGGCATCGCCAGATTAGATTAGATCTCCGAGGCTGCTGCACACAATTGAAAAACGTATACGAGGTGGCAGTGGAGGCATCGGAATTTGTGGCTGCATGTCAGGCCAGGAGCCGGAGGCATGCACGAGAAGATAAAAGCTCGGCGTTGTCTGATGCCAATGTACGCCACCCCTGGGCACGCTATCAGGTCTCTTATTTCTTGTCCACTGTCCCTTCGACCGATTATTGAATTGATGTATGCATGATCTGGCCTTCGGATAGACGACGCAATGAATTTGTCCAAAGAGACAAGGGAATCGTTTGCTCCTGCCTCGAGCAATATGGCAGATATCACCACTCAGCAGTCAGAAAACCCTACCAAGCATGAGCAAGATCCCCAGGCGGACTCGGAGAGTCTCCAGGCTGGCGTGCAGAGAGCCGAGCAGTTGCGACGGGTCTGGTCAAAAACAGGCTTGATCATTGCTTTTGTGGGGTAGGAGTCATATTATGGAGATAACATGATGTTCACTGACAAAGATAGCCTGTTCCTGGCCACCTTTGCCGTCAATTTCGCCGATTACTCCACCCAGGTTTATACCGCATACACCACGAGTGCCTTCAAGCAGCACTCCGCCATGAGCGCTGCGCGCGTGGTTATGAACATCACCCGCATTGCTTCATATCCAATCATTGCTAAGCTGGGCGACGTAAGATAGCTGTGTTTCTTCTGCCTGTGATGGCTGACACATTGACAGGTATTCGGTCGAGCAGAAATGTTCGTCCTGTCGATCATCGCCCAGGTCCTCGGCTATGTCATATACGCATGCTGCAAGAACATTTCACAGTACACGGTAGGCTCCCATCCGCCCTTTTCATAAGCATGCCTGACGTGGTGCTGTGATCGAGTAGGCTGCTGGAATTTTCGAAGCCATCGGTTCGACGGGTTATGCCCTTACCCAGCAAGTGTTCGTCGCCGATGTGACAAATTTACTCAATCGAGGCATTTGGTCAACACTCCCCGATTCGCTGACGACAATCCCGACCTTGTACCTGGGCACGATCGTTGCACAAGATATACTTAACCATCCTACATGGCGCTGGGGCTGGGGAATGTGGGCCATAGTGCTGCCTGTAGCTGCATCACCCTTGATCGGAAGCATGGTGGTCTGGCAACACCGTGCTCCTCGGCCCGTCCGCAACAGTACGGCACTGAGCTGGAAGAGCACAGATCCGTGGTGGCGTCGAGTGTATGACCTTCTGTGGGTTCAGTTGGATCTGCCGGGCGCCGTGCTACTTCTCTTAGGTCTATCGCTCTTCTTAATTCCACTATCCCTGACGGGATCCGGCAACAGTGATGCCTGGCGCCACAACGGCTCCTTCATTGCGATGCTTGTAATGGGCGTGGTCTTTGTGATAGCCTTCTTGGTCTGGGATGCCTGGTTCGCAAAGAAGCCATTCGTTCCGTATCGGATGATCCGCAACCGCACCGTGGCCGCTGCATGTCTGCTAGGTGCTTTGGACTTTTTTCATCATTCCGTGTTCACGGTCTTTTTCACCAGCTATCTGCAGGTAGCTGGACATTTTGAGGCGGGCAATGCCACACGAATCGAGTATGTTAATCTGCTGCCCCTCTCTGTGACCATGAACTGCTAATATTGACGTGCGTAGTAATTCTCTTCGAGTGGCTTTCCAAGTGGCGGGCATCTTCGCCTCTTTCTGCATGAAATATACCCGTCGCTCTCAGATCTGGGTTCTGACTGGCGTACCTTTATGTGTTCTTGGCATGGGCATCGTTCTCTACCTCGTCGACATGGGAGATGGAAAAACAGGAAGTGAAGCAGCCTTCGTCACAGCCAAGTCGCTGATCGGTATTGGACGTGGCTTTTACCAGACCGCAGCTCAAGTCTCTGTTCAGACTGTTGTATCCCGACAAGAAGTCTCCGTCGTGACGGCAGTATTCTTTGCTTCGATGAGCGTGGGAGGGGCTATTGGAACAAGGTGAGTATCCATCTCATACTTCTTCGAGTAGTCTTAACAAGTTGATTGACTAGTGTTGCTGGTGCCATTTGGCGGAGCACCCTGCCCAACAAGCTGGAGAAATACCTCCCCAATGCGTTGAAGTCACAGGCACATACCATCTTCAGCTCTATTGTCGTAGCCAAGAAATATCAACCTGGCACAGCGGCTCGTGATGCCATCGACCGGAGCTATCGGGAATCGCAGCGCCTGCTGGCCATTGCAGCGCTGGCAGCATTGGCGCCTATGCTTATCGTGATGTTCTTTCTGCGCAATGTACATCTTGATGAGCGCAATGAACAGGAGACTAGTCCTGCTAGTCAGGCGGATATCGGCCACGAAGATGTGCAAGTGGGCAAAACTGCTACGGCAACTTCAAGCCCTTCTGGAGCTGATGACAGTCATCGGACTGAAGAATAGTTCAGCCTCGAGATAAGGTGGCATTGCATGCGTGGCAAGGAGGAGACTACCTTGTTTAGCCGACTGCAACATGCTGATGAGGTTGTATTGTGTCTCGGAGCTGCCGGCACGTGAATATGAAGCCAAGGTATGTCAAGGGCTTGATATGAGATTTTTGGTCTTCTGTACGGTAGTGGCCCGGAGCCAGCCGCCAGGCCAGTGAGAGGTGGCTGTCGGAGCATAATCCTAATATTATGTGCTTATAGAGCAGTGACTTTCGGTAGTTGCATGAGTCGAGCCGTCAATAACCGTGAGGGTTCTAGTACAGAGGATGTGTTGTACTCTCGCAGGGTCCGGTCTGCCACTCGAATCTGAAGCTGGAAAGTCCAGCGTTAGATTCGAATCTCAGCCACGAGATCGCGTCAAGCAACCTACCTATGAGATCGACCTTGTCTCTCTCATGTCGCTTGGTCAAAATAAAGTGAAATGTAAAAACGCTCAGCGCACAGGTGTTAAGAGGTTCGCTTGATCATGGAGGTATGGGTCGCTTCTGATGAAGATCTGTGGATACTATAATCATCGGTTCGGGGAGGCATTCTCTTCGAAGAATGGAAAGATAATGAACACTATGGGACGACAGAAGAAAGCATGCAGAAAAACATTGATGCAAGACGTGATTCCATTCTCTGCGCACAGATTTGAAATCGCCGTCAAGATCGCAGTGAGCATTGGTTAGAGGAGGTGTTACAAGGAAATGAAGCGAAGTACGGAGTATTGCCCGGTAGGAAGCTGCACAATATAACTAGTTATGCGTCTGCACGCTGAGTCATCTGCGCACTGCGAAAAATTGTGAATTACACGTGATCTTACACGTGATCTGGCTTCTATCTCCTCCAGGTCCACTCGACTGAATCCAGCTGCAGGAACCGAAGTAAAAGTGCAAGGCTGGGGCTGGCCAGAATGGGCAACTTTCACAGCATTCTTTGCTTTGGATAATGCTGAAGCATTCCTTCCATCTCGGCCCGAAGTTAAATGCAGAGGGGCGATCTGGAGTGGCGATCTCCTTTTCTCGGCCCCATTCGGATGGCGCGAGGGGGAATGTTAGACAAAGCCATGCCTTGCTGCATCAACGGGGTTGATACAATTATCACTCGATCTGGCTTCAGGAAGCTTCAGGCAGAGTCAAGTGATTATAGAAGCCTGAGGATGCACAATACTGCTGGTTCTCAGGATACCTCGACGAATGGAAGATGAAACACGTCCAAGGCGTCGTCACGGCCCGGACGGAGTTCTAAAGTTGGCACAACAAACCGCAAGTCATTGGGTGTGGCTGACCCACCCCTGAAAGACTTACTCCACTCCACAGCCTGTTTGTTGCCTGGCCTGGCTTACGGAGGCCCGGGGACTAACTTAGAAGTTCTTTCCTCTCCTGAAACTCATCTCCTCCTCCGACGACGACGACCGCCCGCTTTCCTCTTCTTTCCGCCCACTTTTTATCCAACTTCAATCTCAACTCACGACATCCACCCATACGACCGATCATTTTACGACGCCTCTCATCCAGAATGCAGCTCAAATCTCTCCTCGTCGCTTTCGCCCTCAGCCTTTCTGTCCAGGCCGCTGAAATCAAGGGCTGGACCGTCAAGGACTGCAAAGGCAACTCCGATAACTCCAACTCTGTAGACGCCCTCACCACATGCAGCAGCCTCGAGAGCTCCAAGTGGAAGTCGCTCAAGGCCGCCCCGGGTGATTTCGTCTTGACTGCCTACAAGGACACGAAATGTGCCGGTACCGGATACGCCCTGCAGCCCGACAAGTGCATCAACGGCGAGTTCGCTAGCTATGAGGTGAGTCCGAGTTGCTTTGCAAGTTCAACTCTTCGAAGAGGTATAGACTGACACAACAATCGCATCGCAGGCCCAATTTATCTCCACCATGAAGAAGCGGAACACCACCGAGATCATCGTCGACGATACCACCACTGAGGCCGAGCCGGCGGAGAACACGGATGAGCTCAAGTGAAGATGGGAGGAATACTCAGCCCTTGAAGCCATCGGTCCGCGCGTTTAATTCAGCATCATTCGACTTTGGGATACCACTTTTATTCTGCGAGGCACTTTGCATCACGCCCCTGGGTCAGTCGCGGTCGCTTCTCGGGTCCGCATCGATTCGTCACAACTGCGATGCTTCGTTAAGGCGCCTATGGGGATTTTATATTCTTTTTACTTGTGTATGGTTGTTTGCAAGCAATTCTCTGTATAGTTGCATCTCAGGACATGAACAATAGATTATCTGTTTCTTCTTCAGCGCTAGTCCCTGTTGTGGTACTCGATTCCCAGGCGTCTATGCGCAATTGAACCCGCCCCATTGTAGGCAGTTTTCACGGTGTTAGACATAAACTTTTGCTTGGTTGACCAAATGGGGCCGACCTTCTCAATTTTGAAGACATGTCGATGATTCTGCAAGTTCCGCTTGCAAAAGCTGAAACCCAGATTTGGTTACAATGGCCTTATAGTAGGTATCTGATGGAGATTAGGTATTGCACCAATCAGTTCACCATGGAGTCGATCATGACAGTCGATCATGACAGAGTGAATCAAGTCATATGGCACTACTGCTTCATGGAGCCACATTGCTGCCCTCGTCAAGAATGCTTGCTTATCCCTCCATGGATGCAGAATCACCTCAGCGGGGAACATATACCTTGATAGGGCAGATATACCAGACGTGCAATACCGCCAAAGTAAATACTTCGATCTTACTAGAACACCACTACGCCAACCCGTTCACCGAGAACGTACGTGTTGCAACCTGCATATATAGTGAGACTCAAACATACATACTGAATCAGCATCTTTCCATACCGCACGCGGTCTCACAATCTGTTTGCAGCAAGACAGGACACATACAAAGAACGTCCACAGTCACTCTACCAACCAGGAACTATCCTCTCTCTTACTGGAAGAACTAGCACCAAGCTACACCATTGCATTAGCACAATGCCCAGAAATTGACAGGCGACATTGAGACAAGCCCCAAACCACTACCTACCCCCGCCCCCCGGAATCACCATGAAAGTTGATGACCGCAGGTCTCTCTCTGTATGTTGAATACCACCACCATCACCATCATCGCCCACTCTCCCAATCTCCCATCCCTCCTTCCCTCAGCCGGACATAGCCACTCTTACTCCTTCCTGACATCCCTGCGCAAAGTCGCAGCAGCGCAAGTCGATTGCGAGGCACTGAAATCGCCCGACTCGGCGTAGATGGTACTCGGATCCGAGCAGGACGCTGCTCGCACGCGGTAGGAACTATAGCCACCCTTCGTATCAGTCTTCAGCGGCTAAATCAAATAGCGCACCAAGATACTCTTCCAGTGTATTTGACTCTACTAGACTCGACATACCTAGTCGTCCTAAGCCCCGAATAACACTTCCCCGGAATCGTCACGCAGCCACCGCCGTTCGTCTCGACAGGCTGGCGGTCGAGCAGATTAAAGATCTGAGACGGGTACTCGTTGAAGTTGGTAAGATAGAGGCAGAATTGCTGGGGGTCGGTGCTGTAGACATCAACATCCTTTGTCAAAAGTGGAGTGGGTGGAGAGGAGTTGGTTGGTGGAGTCATACTTCACGGCTGTCCAGCAGACTTGCCAGTCTTTGGCGACGTCGACGCTGTCGTCGGTGGCGGGTTTGGTGATCAGGATGGCCTCTGCGGTGGCTAGGAGGGTGGCGAGGGCGATGGGGATGAGATGCATTGTGTTGTGAACGGACAAATTCAACGAAAGAGATAAGTTCGGGCTTCGGGTTCAGTTTCAAAGAAATCGATGGATAGACGCTATGTTTGATTTGGAACTTTTGATTTTGTGGTCAGATCAGGGTGCGGAGAGAATGGCGATACTTATAGCTTTGTCTCTGCTGCTCTTCATCCGCTCCAGGGCTCTCATCGAGCAGCATAGTTGGTATACTGACCATGAGCGATTTGCGCATGCTCGTACGAGTGCACTTGCTCGGATCGAACATGAGCCTGTCAACTTGCAAAGAGGAAGGGATTTTCGATCAGGCAGGTAGAAGGCCTAAAACTGAACCAATGACACCAATCGGCTTGATTCATGTACGTATGGGTGATATAGTCTATCACGAAGAGGAATGATGCTATACGAAGGTGCTGGGATGATAAGATTTAATTCAACCGACATGATGCTGCCTTGCCATACTGTTTTTGCGCTCTTCTCCGCATGACCTCGGTTCGCAAGCTGGAGGGCGTATTAGGCTTCCTGTGTTTGGGGGGCCTCTCATGAGGCTTGAGGCTCGGTCGTGAGAGGAAGTGAGCAAACTTACAAGAGAAGAGGATTGAAGGATCGAGATCTGAGTCATTGGCTTGGTCATCACTCGTCGGGCGTTGGTTAACTCTCAAGAAAGCCCCCAGGGATGCATGGTCTTGGACGTATAATGCGGTCCCACAAGGCCGAGTCGTGTCGCTTAGAGCACAGGCGGGCGACTGCAAAGGGTGGTTAGGGCAGATAAGGCTATTCAGATGACTACGGAAATTGTTGCATCATCCCTCTTACCATCATGGGGAAACTATTTCATGGCCAAGCGAGCTACCTGTTTCAGGATCTGATTCTAGATTAATGGTCAGATTCTCTATTCTCCGACATAGCACTGTAGATTAAAGTACTGTATAAGTGAGTTCCCCCTCGTGGATGAATCTATATCAGAGAGTCCCAGTTGAACTATTTCCCGATGGAATCTGCAGCCTAGATAGTCCCGCGAAATTGAGTCAAATGCCGTGTACGGTGCTACAGACAAGGACGAGCAGAGATGGTCGGATCGAACCGGCTCCACTGCGATAGACCCCTGCAGCATGTGGTGCATCACTCGTTTGGACTACACTTCCAGAAGCCACAATGCTCCTACACGACATGAAAATCAGTCATTGGACCTCAATTGTTGAAAACTTTTCACATAGATGAGCCTGAAGGGTTAGAATCCTGAAGGATTGGAACTAGGGCTTGGCTTCGTGAAGCTCAGCGGACGGCCTCAACACCAGCTTCCCATCCAAATATGCCTCTTTGTAAGTTGGACTTGTCAGCCTTATCCATACTTTCTGGCTGACATGGGGTATGTAGGTGACATCAATAGATGAGCAGCATCAAGTCCGCTTGCGATGCATCCTTGCCTCGTATCCTTGTGCAACATAGCATCGCACGTGGAGCTCTGGACAATAGCCAATGGTGGCTATAATTGGCGCCAAAAGAAAAAGACCAGCTCTCGTAAGTTTTCAGCCAATCCGAGCATGAGCCTTTGATTCCCTGTTTCAACTTCCTGGAATGTTGCATTGCATGAGTTGATGCATGTCTCGGGCGATCTGTGTGAGCGGTTTGCGAGTATATCATGACAGCATCACGTGGCGGGAGCAAGTTACTGCTCTAGTAAAAGAGCAGAAATGGGGCTTGCACAAATAGTTGCACAGAAGATGAGTGTATGAGCCGGCAATACTTATAGTACAGCTGTATAGTAGCAGCTGTATGGCTAAAAATTTTACTATATTCTATATCTGAGAATTATCTTTACATATATATAAGTATTTTGTTAAGATAATTATCTCTTCTAGTCCCAGTATTGTAATAGAGCTGGTTACCTTATGCTTAGAATCAGCTAGTTTATACTTTATTCGGAAAGAGAGCCCAGCAAGAGCACCTCATGCCAAGAGGTCATGGGCACCAAACCCGCGGAAATGTCCAAGTTCTAGCAATATTGGTGTGATATTGTATGGGGCTGGTCATATTTCGGCGATGGGAAGCCCATCCAGCCCGGGTCCTACTTCAATTTCATTTGTTACATGTAGCATTCACCCTGGTAGTAGATGCAATTCCGACATGGTTGAAGAACCGTTTATGATGCGAATGGGAAGAAGGGACGCTGAGCCATTGGCAGCACTATTGTAAGGCCGAGCTGGACCAGATCCAGATCGTAGTATTGTATAGCTCCAGCGACAATCTTTCATGATCTTACCAGGTCAGATTGGTAGAACAAGACAATATGTACGAATTGGATACTCCGACCTTGGCTTTAAGCTGCTCCGTTAAGGTGCCCACGGTAACTGTGAAGCCGATCCCAGGGGTAATCCTTAACCACGGCTCAGAAATGAGCATATGCGTTCCACCAGCATGCAAGGTTGGAGATGATACGTCGAGTAACGAAATGTGGGATTGATGGAAGTAGCGTGCTTCTGGTACCTGTGTACAGGGGCGAATGCTAGCAATGAATCTGTATCTCTATCGCACCCTTGTAGATCATTTTCCGGGCCAGTCACTGCAGACAACAGGTGTGCACGGGTGATGGTAGACTAGGATTGAACTGACCAAAACTAAATTGGACCAATGTTAAAAACAGGGGCATTAAAGGAACTATCTAAGTCTAGCAGCTAACGGGATGATCTGTGGCAAGGGGGAAACTGCAAATGACACCGAAACTAAGAATAGAGAATAACACACCTAAAGCAAGCCCTACACAAAAGCCCCTGAAATGCCCTCACTGAGAAGAATGCTGCAGAGGTCCGACCCCAGAAGGTCCTGAGCACTTGGCAACCTTTCCCTACCGCTAGGACTTTCGAGCGATGTATTAGCGTCAACGTCCACGTGTGCCTCTGCTCGTCGTGCTGCTACAGAGCCACTATAACTATCACCTGCTGGATGTGAAAATCCCTCGTCCCAAGTGATAGGTCGACGGCTTGTTGCTGCGGGAGGGTACGGCGACTTTTCCTTGATTCCTTGACTCACATTTGTTTCTCTTCGATGAATCTGCCAGCCACGTTGCAGCTTCTGGAGAAGGGTATTCGTGCGTTTTGCACTCTCAAACTGATTGCCCAATTCATCCAGTGCTCGAAAACATGTATACAGATGCCCCTTCAACTCGGTACCATCATCATTCGTGAGAGGTGCCGTGCTAAAGAACAGGATAACTGCAGCATAGAAGACGGAGGAGACGATCTGAAGGTTGGCTCGTTGAAAGGTATAATGCTGCCTATATTCAGTGAGAAGTTTCGTAATTGAAACAGCCGACTCGATGCATGTCATGCGTGCCTGTCTTGAGCCTGGCCCTTGTGAGATATACGGGCGGTGACAATGGATTAAGAGCTGGTGATACTGCATACTTAAGATCAATGAGTGGGCAGCCCTTAGATATGCTTTTACCAGTTTGGATTTTACGTACTGGAGTGCTAGCACATGTGGAAGAGGTGGAATGCTCAAATATTCTCGATCAAGGGTCAATTGTGCTGGTAATTGAGTTTTCCATGTATTGAGTTTGTGCACTGTATCTGCCGCTATCTCATGCAGTCTAAGCGCGTTGATTAACGAATTGCCATACCTATACGCATAGGAGTCAGTCGCTGACTTCGTGCCGGGAATGGGATCCATGATGTCTCACAAGACTTCAGCCAGCGGTAACATAAGGTCATAGAGCGAGACCCATTGGGAGCAGAGGAGCCTCAATGGATTTAAAATACTGATTGTGTTGGTCGTCAGGCCCATGTGGCCGTATGGCTCCCACCGTGTCGCTGTTGAAGTGTTTCCCTCATCCAGCTTCTTGACTGTGATTGCTTCGACCGGGCTGCGTGTAGGACGACCAAGGTAGTATCCCCAGAATCTGTGCCTCGTCAGAGTTTCAGTGCCAACAGTGGTGCAGGTTTCTATCTTACTGTTCGTTCATGTATACCCCCCAAAACGTCACGCGACGAACCTCTGCGTTCTCTGACGATATGATGCCCTTGTCCACATACGGGGTCATGTCCAAATGAAGTCCAAGATCAAAGGCCAATCTCATAGCCATTCCTGCTGATTTTAGCTTACCATATCCCCGTATCTCAGTTTGAATGAAGAAACCTACCGCTGTACAGCCAACCGCAAGTCTCCCTGGTACAGGAAGCTTCAAACTCACTCAAGATGACCAAAGCTTGAACAGTCGCCAACGATGGGCTTTCTAATTCTAGTCCGAGGAGAACTTTCGCTCGATCACCGAAGAACTCTGCGAGTGACCGACGAGAAATCATCGGATGCGGATGATCTTGGTCCTCGTACGCGGCCCCCATTGCACACCTGGCTTCGTTCAGCGGACGAAAAACTAGTAATCTTTCAGGGAACGACTGCTTACATAGCATTGATCAATGTGCCAGAGCAATATGGCGTAGTCATACCCTCGCTTGACTGCTGTGACCTTGAGTTCCAAAATGCCCTCTCTTCCACGGCATGAAGACATGGGTCTTGCCATGTAAAATACAGCTTCAGCAGGTGCTGTTCGAAGGCTTCATCATATGAAGGAGCAATCTTGGTATTTTCCAACGCTTCTTGTGCCCGTTTCTGAATGTCCGTCAAGCAAGGGGGGGACACACCAGCTAGGCTGTCTAACAATCTGGGGTTGGAGCTGAATCCGAAGTATTGGAGTTGTCCGTCATGCGTCACTTGGAGCTTTCCTAGTCGACATGACAGCTGGTTTGTCACCTGTGCCTTTTCATCCTCGACCTGAATATCAGGAAGAAAAGAGGGTTGGGGGGCAGGTTCGGTGATCGGGAAGTCGGAGTGGCGCTGCGACCGTGCAGGAGCCGATGCCACATTCGACAATCTAGGCCTTAGATTGTATGTCGACCAGGTTTTCTCTTCAGCATGGTGCGCTGAGTTCTTTGTCGTCTGTTCCTGCACTGGTTTCGTCAACGAAGGCACAGAGTCCGAATTTTCAAGGCCACATGCTCCGGAGGACGGCGGAGAAGGGAACATCAGCAGTCTCACTCCGGTTTTGTGATAAGTCCATTCAACAGAAACGCAATTTGCTACATACCATTCGTCACTGGGCCTTGGAGAACAGCCCTCCCACGCGAGAGATCTTGGTACTCCACACCATACACGTCCAAAACGCTTTGTATGATCGAGTGATCACTCTCCTCCATAGGAGGAAAGTTCAAGCCTTGCGCTTCGATCAACTCAACTAACTGATTTATCCTTTTCACCAAGACGCCCAAGCTCACTCGCACCGGGGCTTTTCTGTGAAGGCTATCTCAGTGTGACACAGCAAAAATGAATATGGGGCAGACGCATACGTGCTCCTGGAATCGCCTTGCCGATACGAACAACTCTTTCCTGCCTTCTCGCACGTCTTGCAGGTGGGAGTTGCTCCATCGCACTGTAAAATACAAGTGCTAGTCAGCAAATGGTTGCCATCATTGCGTGAGCTGAGCACTGTACCTTTACCCTCCTCTCTCTACAAGGGTTACATGCTACCTTCACAGGCTTGCTTTTGAACGGCATACTGAGTGTTGCAACGATTTGTGTATAACGATAATGATAGAGATTCTTTTGCAAGGCTGACAGTCAAAATCAACAATGTGTTGGAATGTGGATTGCGTGACTTGGTAGTTTCCGTAGAAGTCGCTCGGGATTTTCGATCCGCTGCTGCCCTTGACGGATACCTCGGGCAGGAGCACCAAGGTCATCCCTTCCTATCAGTGGCAGTTCATGCGTAGAACCTCAAAGAGTGCTCTGTCAATTGAGGCTGGAAATGCATCCAGGTCGCAGTCTGTGCATTGGTCGTATTGCTGACCAGTGCTGGACGGGATACATTCTGCAATTGAATCTCGAACTTAATACTACTGTTATATTCTCGTCACCAATCACTGTTGCTAAAATCCTCACAAGAGGTCAAAGTGGGCAGCCAGTACAGAGTCAGCATGATTTAGTGACTTGTTCCACCAGAAGTCGTACAGAGCGACCTAGTTGATCCGATAGCGATCTAGATCAGCCTTAAGGATTCCTGCAGAAGATCGGCAGCGCTGGACGACAACCCTAGCCGATCAACCCTAAGCCAGGGGCCCTAATCTTATCGATCACCAGGCCCCGCGCCAGTCAGCGATGAGGCCGGATTGACTCATCGCCCGCAACCGGCGGGGCAAAAGTCTCGCCAGCGGCTTAAATTCTGCATCGTGTCAGGAACGCCCAACAACCTCCACAACCTTATTCTGCTACCTTCGTGCGCCAATCTTCTCATTCAACAACCCCCCCCTCCCACCACCTCGATTCAACATCCCATCAATCAAATTAACATAATGAGCTACATCTTGACCCTCTCCTGCCCCGACCGCCCGGGCATCGTGCACGCGGTGACGGGCTACCTGGTGCAGAACAACCTCAACATCATCGACTCGTCGCAGTTCGGCGACCCGACGTCGGAGCGGTTCTTCATGCGCGTGCACTTCAAGTCGGAGAGCACGCCGGCCCCCAGCCTCGAACAGCTGCAGGAGGCCTTCCAGGCGACGGCGGACAAGCTGGCGATGACCTTCGAGCTGGTCTCGGCGACGGCCAAGCCGCGGGTGCTGATTATGGTGTCGAAGATTGGCCACTGCTTGAATGATTTGCTCTTCCGCGCCTCGACCGGCCAGCTGGCGATCGAGATCCCGCTGATTGTCTCCAACCACCCGGACTTCGCCACCCTGGCCGCGACCTACAACATCCCCTTCATGCACCTGCCCGTGACCGCGGCGACCAAGTCGGAGCAGGAGGGCCGGATTCTGGAGCTCATCGCGGAGCACAAGATCGATTTGGTGGTGCTGGCGCGCTACATGCAGGTGCTGTCGCCCAAGCTGTGCGAGGCCATGTCCGGCAAGATCATCAACATCCACCACAGCTTCCTGCCCAGCTTCAAGGGGGCCAAGCCCTACCACCAGGCCTACGACCGCGGCGTCAAGATCGTCGGCGCCACCGCCCACTTCGTCACCAGCGACCTCGACGAGGGCCCGATCATCGAGCAGAATGTCGTGCGTGTCAACCACGCCCTCAGCCCCAAGGAGCTGACCCACGCCGGCTCCAACGTTGAGAGCAACGTCCTCGCCACGGCAGTCAAGTACTTTGCCGAGCACCGCGTGCTGCTGAACGGACACAAGACCGTGGTGTTCAACTAAGCAGCGACGTAAAACAAGTTTATATACTATTCCATATAAAGCATCATATACTTCTAATGTGCCTGTATCTCAGCCCTACCTGACCAACCAACAATTGAAGAGGGAGCGGGAAGAGGGAGAAGAATGAATTCTACTAAATGTACATATCTGACCCAACCCCCTATTTGACACTTCGTAATCATACACCAGTTCCCTTATTTGACTTACAACCACTCCTCCCCAGTATCCACCCCCCTCTCCCTCTCCTTCTCTTCCCTCACACGCAACCTCTCCACCCTGGCCAAATTCTTCTCCCACAGCCCCTCCAAATCCACCTCCGCCCTCTTCTCCTCCGTAAACATCTGCACCACCACTCTAGTCCCCAACCCCGCATCATGCCCGAACCCCTCGACCTCAAACCCCGCCTCCTCAACCGCCTTCAATTCCGACAGGGGCGCCTCCTCCACGATCCCCGCATTCACACAAATCCACCCCGTCGTAATCCCGTCATCCTTCTCATCGACAATCGTCCCGGACTTACTCGCCAGCCGCGCGCGCTTCGCCTTCCGCCGTAACTTGATCTTCAGCTCGTTCCGCCCTAGCAACCCATCCGCAAACGGCGAGAGCTTATAGGTGCTTCGCAACCACCGACAGAGGCGATCCGCTGAGACATTCAGATGCTTGACGCTGCGCGCGGTGCCGACGAGCATGATCACGTTGGCGCCCAGCGCGGGGGGCGTGTCCAGGCCGCGCAAATCCAACAGTTTCAGCTCATCGAGACCCAGGTCCTTGAAGGTGTATTCGAGGAGTGCAGACAGTAAGGCGGGCGGGTTGGGCGGGAGGGACGGGATTTGCTCGCGGAGGAGTTCTCGTGGCGCGGATGGGTGCTGGTCGGGGGCGTCTCGGAGGTACCACGGGATGTGTTCTTGGGTTTCTGGTGTGGTGGTGGTGGTTTCTGGGTCGGTGGTCGCGAGCTCAGGGTCTTTGGGGAAGGCGATTTCGGGGGGTGGCGTGGGGGTGGTGGAGGGGGGTTGTTCGGATTGGTGAGACGGATAAGAGATGAAGGGTCGAGTTGTGGTGTGGGTGGGTGTGAAGCGCGGTACTACTGCTGCTGCTGCTGCTGTTGTTGCGCTGAGTGGAGCGTGTGGTGCGCCGAGGAGTCCTGGTCGGAGCCAGGATCTCCGGAGGAGAGCTCTGTTCATCATGGGCGTTGTGACGACCGTCGATTGGTGTGTAGAGTAATTCGACAACGGACTCGAGTGCAATGACGAGAATGTGGAAGCAAGAACGGAGAAGATTAAAGACGGGAAGCTGGTCGTGTATTCTCAATCATGCGAAAGCGAACTCGATATTTTGCCGCAGAAAAGAAGCCGTATCAGAAATGACGAAGTGCACGTGATACATGCAAACAGCCCAAACGAATGCGACTGACTGCCTAGACCACGGTGCAAACACAGCAAACTGCCGCGGAAACGCTTGGACCATCGCTGGGTTTCCGCTCAAAAAAAACTGCCCAGACACTCAGTCGCAACTCTTTCTCGACCCTCCACAAAAGGCAGACAAGATGCCCCGCGAGAATCAGAAGAGAGGTCGTCGAGCCGCCGACAAGGCCAACAAAGAGGCCTCCAAACGCAAGCGCGATGAACTCCCCGAAGAGACCCTTCCCAAGCGCATGAAGCCTTCGACCGACGAGCCGGACAACAACGATTTCACCGAGGGCGCCGATTACATCGCATTGGATGCCGACCAAAGTTACAACAACCAGACTGAACAGGACGGCTTCGACCAGGAGAATGGCGGTGCCGGCGAGACGGTGTTCTTCGGTCTGTTAGATCCGGAGGAACAGGAATACTTCTCCCGCGCCAGCGAGGTGCTGGAGTTGAACCAATTCGGCGACGAGGAGGAACGGCGCGTGTTCATCGACAGTGTGTATACGGAGGCTAGTGGCAAGGAACTGAAGATTGCCTGCAGTCAGTCGTGCTCGCGGCTGATGGAGAAGCTCATCTCGCTGTCCGACATGCGACAAATCCGCCGTCTGTTCAGCAAGTTCCTCGGTCATTTCTTGCACCTCGTTCAGCACCGGTTCGCCAGTCACTGTTGCGAGACCCTGTTTATCAATGCGGCGCCCGGAATCACCCAGAAACCGACCAAACCAAAAGCGGAGAAGATGGAGGTAGATGGAGAGGAGGAGCCGGAACCCGAGTTGTCGCTTTCTGAGATGTTCATGGCGGTCGTGGAGGAACTGCAAGGGAATTGGGGATACTTGCTGACTGAACGGTTCGCGTCGCACACCATCAGAGTCCTCCTGCTTGTGTTGGCGGGAGAGCCGGTCGATCTGTCATTGAGCGACTCGGTCGTCGCTAGCCGAAAGAAGGAGAGACTTGGTCTCGCGAACGCCGACAACACGCCGAAGGCAAACCCTGTAGCCGAGAAGAGAGGCGTTCCCGAGAATTTCGAGTCTACTCTGAAGAAGATCATGAAGGACATGGTGTCCGGGCTCGATGATACATACCTGAGAGCCCTGGCTACCCATCCGGTGGGAAACCCTGTGCTCCAAGTGCTGGTGTACCTGGAGCTGTCGCATGTCGGCAAGTCAAGCGCCAAGGATTCGAAATCCATCACCCGACGATTGATTCCCGACGAGGAGTTCACGGAAGGTTCCGAGAGCACGATCTTCGTTCGTGGCTTGCTGTACGACCCAGTTGGATCGCGTCTCCTGGAGACCATCGTCAAGTGGCTGCCTGGCAAGCTGTTCAAGGCGCTGTATAAGAATCTGATGCGCGAGCAAATGGGCTCGCTTGCGCGCAACATCACCGCCGGATACGTCGTCCTCCGCATCCTCGAGCGTCTCGGCAAGGATGACCTCCAGCAAGCGGTGGAGTTGATTATCCCGCAGATCGCCGGTCTCATTGAGCGGACCCGCCTGATCGTGCCCAAGGCGTTGATCGAGCGCTGTCTCGTCCGCGGGGTCGATACTACCCCGATCGCTCGCGCTCTGGAAGCCGCCTACGACCGCGACCCGGCTCGACGACTCGATCAGATGCTGTGGCTTGAGGGTTTCTCTCAAGACAGTGTAGAGCAGCCAAAGTTCGGCGAGGAGGGTGCCAGCGCTGGCAACAACCCGAAGGCCCTCGCGGCGGCCCGACTTCACAGCTCATTGCTGGCGCAGACGATGCTGACCGCGCCGGGAGCGTTGAGCGGGCTGGTGTACTCGGGGTTGCTGGCGCAGTCGACGGAATCGCTGCTGAAGATCGCCACGGATCCCACTGCCTCGCACGTCCTGCAGCAAGCCCTCACGCAGCCCACCTCGACGACGCAGTTCCGCCGTCAGATCGTCACCCGCTTCAGCGGACAGCTCACGGACCTCGCGCTGGACAGCAGCGGATCCCGCGTGGTCGATGCCCTGTGGCCGGCGACGAAGGATATCTTCTTCATCAAGGAGCGGATGGCACAGGAGCTGGCGCAGAACGAGATGGCGCTGCGCGACTCCTTCGTGGGGCGGGCTGTGTGGCGGAACTGGTCGATGGACCTGTACAAGCGATTCCGCGGCGAGTGGGCGGCCAAGGCCAAGGGCTTGGATCAGGCGCGGGGCCCGGGCGAGCGGCCCAAGTCGCGGATCGAATTGGCCCGAGCCAAGTTCGCGGCGAGGGCGGAGGAAGATGCGCAGAAGGCCACGGCCAAGTCTTAGCGGGATGTGATGGATGGCCTTATGAGTGATGCTGCTTTCGAAAACTGTACATAGACTCCGCGAAAGAGCATTGTATTATACAGCGGATAGAAAAGTTGTTCTTGCACGGGGAATCTCTTAATCAATTTATTTGCCCTATTCTGCTCTGGAAAAGCTGCTTGCCTGAGAGTAATGGGCCCCTTGCCCATGGGACCGTATTGCCCAAGGTTTAGGACCATTCCAATCTACATGTATACCTTGATATTTACTTCTTTCAATGCAACGCATGAGCTGGGAGACTCCACGGGAGTTATCTTGGCTGTCAACACTTTCGGTGAGCAAGCCGTCGTACGTGGGCTCTCCCTTCGACTGAACAATTCATACAGACTCCACTAATCGAAACGAAGACGAACTGCGTGCTGAAAGCCAAGAGACGTTCGCACAGATCGCTGAAGAAGAGGTGGAAGAGTTCAGTCCCCATTACATGCACGCAATCCGGTCCCTCCATCCAGATCGGAGCCCTAACACCACAACAGCAGGACTACCAGACCCCAAATCGATGAAGGCTCGAAAGATCACCGACGATCACCCTTGACCAATCCTGCTGGTTTGGGAGACAGCGCTAAACAACCGTGATCGAGTTCAATTCAACTATGCCACTACTTCACCTCCCGCAGAATCGACCGGTTCAAATGCTCCCTCTTCACCGAAGGCACCCCAGACAAATGCAGCGTCAGATCTAAGTCGCCCAGCAAACACTTTAAAACATGGCTCACACCGGCCTGACCCCCCATCGCCAACCCATAGACATACGGTCTGCCAATCAAGACCATTTTGGCCCCGAGAGCCAACGCCTTGACGATATCCGCGCCACAGCGCACGCCCGAATCGAACAAGACCTCGATCTGCTCGCCCACGGCATCAACAATCTCCGGCAAGACATCCAACGAGGCGACGCCGCCATCCTGCTGCCGGCCCCCATGATTTGACACTACAATCCCATCCATGCCATGCTGCACCGCCAACTGGGCATCCCGCACCGTCTGAATCCCCTTCAAGACAATAGGACCCTTCCAATGCTCTTTCAAGAACTGCAGATCCTCCCACCCATGACTTTTCCCCGGAAACACCGTCTGCGCCCACTCCTTCGCCGCCGTGCCCAGATCCTCCTCTACTTCCATCCCGTGCTGCTCCCTGAACCGCCTCCGCCACACGGGATCCGAGAACCCGATTTCCACCCCGACATTATCCGCTCGCAGAAAGGGGTTATACGCATTCCCCAAATCACTGGGCCTCCAGCCTAAAATATACGTATCGAGGGTCACCACCAGCACCGTATACCCCGCCGCCTGCGCGCGGTGCAACAAACTCGCCGTGATCGCATTATCCTCCTGGCCCGGCCAATACAACTGGAACCACCGTCGCCCTTGGTCTCCATTTGCTGCTGCCGCCTCCTCGATACTCATCGACGCCGCCGTGGAGAGAATGTAGGGGAGGTGGTCCTCCGCCGCGGCACGGGCGACTGCCGCCTCCCCGTCGCGGTGGAAAATCTTCTGCACCCCCACGGGGGCGAGGGCGATCGGGTAGGGGTATTCCTCGCCGAAGAGCTGCGTCCGTAAATCCGGGTAGTCCGCGGCGACGAGGCGCGAGGGTGCGATCCCCCACCGGCGGAAGGCGGCGCGGTTGTTCTCGTCCGTCTGCCCGGTGCCAGCGGAGCCGTGCAGGTAGCCGAAGCTGTCGGCGGAGAGGCGCGCTTGGGCGGTCGGTTCCCAGTCGTGCGGGTGTGGGGGGAAGCGCGGGCGCTCGTCGGAGAGGCCGTTGCTGTAGATGGCGTTTCCGTAGGTGTAGGGGGTGGGATTGGGGGGCATTTTTCGTGGTGGTCGGTCTGTCTGTATTTTGTGAAGCGTCAAGTATGGGAGGGGAGGGACTACGCTGGAGGGTCGTGGACTCTTATACGTATTTACTGGTAGGTGAAGCTACAGGCAGTTGAGGTCATCTTGCAGGGCTGCAGCTACACTGGATGAAGTGAGGGCAAAGTGGGGGGGGGTGTCGGTGATGTCAGAGGCAGATTAGGGCACGCAAGGCCCAGGAACGCGGCTCGTCGGGCTTCCGTCTACATCCATCATGCGGTTCTCAGTTGCAAAGTTTACTGTTTCTCATAACTTGAATGAGATGCGCACTGTGGGGCATCTGACAGCCTGGTTGCCTTCCGGTGTAGCCCCAAAAAAAAAACAGGCATGAATAATCCATCCATCATCCCTCAATGGCGTCAAAGCCAAGCACGACCCACGTGATATAATCTCTGCCTGAATCCGGAGGCATCACTGAAAAAAAAATAACTACACCACCGCAAAACGAACACATCCCACCCTCGATGAATGATATCCATATACCACCCCCATACTACCATAACCCCCTCGAATTTGTTTCAGGCCGAGCTCAACAAAAGAAAGAAAGAGATGGACCCCGCATACCCCACCTCCCTGGCCGCCCTCCACTTTCCCTCCTCCGAACAACAATCCATCTCTCAGACACTCTCCGCCCTGCGCCGCTCGGCCCTGTCCATCCCCAACCGACTGACCAGCATCGTCACCGACGCCGCCTTCGTGGCCGAGGTGGCCGCGCACTACCGCCTGCCACTGATCGCCAACGAGCGGTGCGGCAGCTGGTACATCCCCCCGGACCAGAAGACGGGGAGTGTATACTTCAAAAGCACAGATGGACACACCGGGGTGTGGGACTTTAGTTTCCGTAGACTCAACCTGCAGGTGTTGAGTGTGGCGCGGGAGTTTGGGGGGTAAGTTCTCCTTTCCCGTACTTGGGTAATTTTTGCGTTGCGTTGCGTTTATTGCTTCTGTTGTGATGTGGGATGTTGTGCTACCACTAAAGATGGATTTATACTAAGTATTTGGGGGGTGGTAGATGCATAATCGTAGATTCCACCCGACGGGGGAAATGTAAGTTGCCTGCTCTGCCCTGTCCTGTCCTTTACCCAACATGTGTATTTCACTGCAAGGAAGCATAAGAATAATAAACCCTTCCCCCAAAAAATAGTAATGCCCGACGCCCTCTCCAAAACGATCCCCATCTGGGCCGCCGTATTGAACCGCGCCCTCTTCCCGAATGAACCCGCCTACCACGCGGTGCAATTCCCGCCGAATTTCCTGCCCGCCTCGGAGGAGTCGCAGATTGAGCGGAGAATTGATGGGTTTGTGAAATCGTTGGAGGTATGTCTGTCTTTCTTGCCTGACGGTGCCATGGTGTATGCAGCCAACTCACTAACAACGAAAAACTTCAAAGGACCTCAACCTCAACCTCCCGACCCTAACCACCCAACTCTCTCGTCCCATCCGCCTCGCCTGGGCCAACCGCGCCTACTTTCATCCGACCACTCTCCTGACAAACCCCGCAGAATACAACCTCCTCGTCCTCTGCTCCGCCTCGCAGCGCATCCACGGGGCCGAGGTCTCCGCAGGCGGTTACATCCAAGGCGCGGGCGACGACGCCGAGAGCTGGGCGCTGGGACTAACGCCGCCGTTGTTCTGGGAGCATCGGGCGGCGATCCTCGCCACGGAGGAGGAGAAGTTACCGGGGTTGATTGCGCAGTTGGTGACGCAAAGTCAGGGGCAGAGTGGAACTGCTAGCGGGAAAGACGGTCATCCTGGTAAGGCGGTGCTCATCGCACCCACGCGGAATCTCTACCTGGGTGTCGCTGGCGATTTCCCTCCCTCGGATGATGGGGGGGAGGAGGGGTTTGATGTGGTGGTGGATTGTAATGCGGCCCCATCTCTGCCCGCATTGTCCGGCGGAGATGATGATGATGACGGACAACCCTTCGCGGAAGACGACAAGAAGCAGCCCTCCGCATCCAGCAGGTTGCATCTCGGCTGCGGCCCCTTGAAACTCGGCAGTCGCGATCTCCGCAAGAACCTCCCTCGTGTGCGCGACTTCATCCGCCCCTGTCTCGCGGCTGACCCCCCGGCGAAGGTGCTGGTGGTGTGCGAGTCGGGTCGGGATTTGTCGGTGGGGGCGTTGCTGGCGATTTTGTGTTTGTTTTATGATGATGATGGTGAGTTTCGTGCATCTCCCTCTCTCACTCTCCCCTGGAATCGAGTTGGTGCTGTGCTGATGCTGCTCCCAGGAAACGTCACGATGGAACCCCCACGCAGTATTGGGAAGCAGTTGATTCGACAGCGGTTGGCGTGGATCACCCTGTGCAAGCCAGATGCGAATCCCTCGCGGTCGACCTTGCAGTCGGTGAATGCGTTTCTGATGGAGAGGCCGGATTATTGATGGGGTTGATTGTAACTCGTACATGATGTGAGGAGGATGTCTGTTGAAAGGCTCAGGGGAATTCGATCTGGACAGCCCGCAAATTGCAGGCATCAACTACATGACAAAGCTCACAGCTAATAATTAGTACTCTCCTCACAATCAACTCGTTCAATTGAATCCATTCCAAACATGCACCCGAACGCCACCCTATGCCAGGAACTCGCTCTAGATTACAACGTACACCACAGAACTGTACACAGCAGCAATTACAGAGCCTGCAGAACATCCTCAGGCGTCTCCTCCAACCCCTCGGCCGCCACAGGCGTCCGGCCCACCGTGCCGGACCGATGCACATACATCAGCACCCGCAACACCCCCGCCGGCGTAACCCCCTCCAGCCGTCGCGCCATCCCCACACTCCCTGGCCGAATCCGACTCAGCACCTCCACCTCGCCGGCACTCAGACCATGGACATTCCGGTAATTCAAGTCCGGCGGGAGGAGCAAGTTCTCGTCTTGCAAAGCTTTGCGCGCCGCCGCCGTCTGCCGCGCGACGTGGGGCGCGTACCGACCCTCAATGGCGACCCGGGCGCGGATCTCCGGGGCGAAGGAATCGGCCGTAAACACGGTGCCCGTCGGGGACTCGATGTACGGGATCAGCCGGTCGATGCCCGTCTCCTGCAGACAGAGCAGGTCCATGGCGGAGCGGACAGAGCCATCGATCCGGGAGGGCAGGCCGAGTCGGGCCCAGGCGGCGGACGACATCCGCGTGTTGGACAGCAGCGTCTGCAGCTCCTGGATCTGACCCTCGGTCTCGGTGAAACTGCGCCAGCGGGCGTCGGAGACCACCCCGGCGGCGCGGGCGAGGCGCGTCAGGCGGAGATCGGCGTTGTCGGCGCGGGTCGAGATGCGGTATTCGCTGCGCGTCGTGAACATGCGGTAGGGCTCGGAGACCCCCTTGGTGATCAGGTCGTCGATCATAATCCCGATAAATCCGTCGGAGCGGCGCAAGGTCAAGGGGTTGCGGCCCTGCGCGGACAGGCCCGCGTTCGTGCCCGCAATAATCCCCTGGCCGGCGGCTTCCTCGTACCCGGTCGTGCCGTTGATCTGGCCCGCCAGATACAGTCCACTAATCAGCTTGGTCTCCAGTGTCGGCCACAGGTTGCGCGGGTCGATGTAGTCGTACTCCACCCCGTAGCCCGGTTGCAGCATCGTGACGTTCTCCAACCCATGCACCTTGCGGAGCAGGGCATACTGCGCGTCGGCCGGGATCGTCATCGAGATGCCGTTCGGGTAGATGACATCGTTCGGCGCAAACCCCTCGGGCTCGAGCCAGATTATGTGCTTGTCCTTGTGGCCGAAGCGAATGATCTTGGACTCCAGCGAGGGGCAGTACCGCGGGCCCTTGACCGTCTCGCGGATATGGATCGTCTTCTCGAGGTTCTCCCGCACAATCTCGTGCACGGCGGGATTGGTGTACGTCATCCAGCAATTGAGCTGCCCCTCATCGCCAACCTGCACACTGTCCGTCAAGTAAGAGAACGGCTGCGGGGGATGATCCCCCTCTTGCACCTCCAACGGGGCGAAGTTGATCGTCTTCCGATCCAGCCGCGGCGGGGTCCCCGTCTTCAACCTGCCCAGCTGGAAGCCCGCCTCGCGGAGGGACTTGCTGAGGCCGAAGGTAGCCGCCTCGCCCATGCGACCAGAAGGATACGCCTCCAGCCCGAGATGAATCTCTCCCCCCAGGAAAGTCCCCGTCGTGATCACCACCCGTTTCGTGGGAATCACCTCGCCCGACTCCAACCGCACCCCGACAATCTTGCCCGTCGCGCCGGGGACGTCCTCCACCCCCTCCTTCGACACCACAATATCCCCGACCGTGCCTTCCACGATACTCAGCCCCTCGGTAGCCGTCAGTTCCTCCAGCATGTACTTCTTGTACAGGTCGCGATCGATCTGGGCGCGCGGACCCCACACAGCGGGACCCTTGGAGCGGTTCAGGATGCGAAACATGACCCCGGCCTTGTCGATGATCCGGCCCGCGACGCCGTCCATGGCGTCGACCTCCCGAATCATCGTGCCCTTGCCGATGCCCCCGAAACTCGGATTGCAGGAGCAGACGCCGATGTTCGAGCGCGAGGGGGTGATCAGAGCCGTGCGTGCGCCGGAGCGAGCGGCCGCCGCACAGGCTTCCGCGCCGGCATGCCCGCCGCCGATGACGACGACATCGTATCCTCTAAGCAGCAAGGAGACTATTAGCATATGCGACAGGGCAGCAGAACCCATTGGAGGAGAGAACATTGCCTTACAGTGCGGGATCCGTAACGGTCGCCAGCCCACGAAAACTCCCCACCCACCTGGATCGGGACCCCATGCCCCATCGCCGGAGGGTTCCAGAGTGTGCCCGGAAAGCCATGGTGATGGCGTCAGTGAAAAAAAATCGGGCAGAAGGGATCAACAGTGATAAGATGCTGCGCGGGCGGCGAGTTTGCCCCGGCGAGAAAAAACGCCGCCATCGTTTATTTGGGATCACGTGGTGGGCTTATTACCGCTTATCTCCGGGCGGTGAGACTTAGATGGGCAGATGGAGCGCGTAGTGGAGCAACAACTTATACATCGAAAGGATTCACATCTTCTACTAACTTGAAATAGATGCTTCGGACAATGTGAGCATAATGTCGTCAATCTCCCTGCCTATACAGTCTACACAGTCTATACACAACGTACACTTTGCATGTCTCCCCACTTGGTAACAGCAGCCACTGGAACGTCGCGAACTGGGGTACGGAGCGAGAACAGGCGTTCTCGCTTTTAGGGTGGCTCCGACTCCGCTGGCTCGGCAATCCACCATTGGATCGCCTCGCCGTTGGCGACGAAAAGGGGCAGAAAGAGTGGGAGAAATGCCTCAAGACACGACAGCGTCATCCTCCATCCTCACAAGGACAATAGTCATTGGCGGGAGATACACTGAATAGACTAGATCTCCTGATCGAGTATCAGATACCATGCGCGCCGCCATGAGGGATATACTACTCCTGCATAGTAATGGGTGCCCTCGATTGGTGTATCTCAGATGGGGTCAGACCACACAAGAACCCGGGTCGCTTAAGAAGATGGTTCTACACACTACATCACTATACCCCTATCGAATACAATGTATACTCTCCGTTGCGTGACACTGTAGTTGTAATCTGACCGCGGACATTGCCGGTCGTCCGGTGAGGCACGTGACCTGGGATGAGTGGTTTGAGTGGTTTGCAGGCCGGATACCCGAACAGAGAGACCAAGACTTGAGTTGGCCGCGCCTCAAGCACTTTGCGACCGATCCCTCGTCAGCTTCCCCCTCCAGATCCTCTTATACTCCTTGATTCTGCGTGCAGGCCGTGACAATCCTCTCATCAATTATCTCAAATCCCAGCAAGCAACCATGGCTTCCACCTCAGGTGAGTGACTGAATCTTTGTTTGCACCACGATGCCAAGAAGAGCCTCCATCCTCAACGTGCCCCTGCGAAATCGGCGACCGCCCGCCAGTTTTGCCTTTTTCACCTCCAACTTCTTTCTCCTTTCCAGCTGAACTCTGCCCTTGTTGCCTCTTTTCGTATCCACGTCGCAGTTCCATCTTCAAAGTCGAGGAACAGACTGTTTTTCGAGTGTTGAAGAGTGGCAGTGTCGATTTTCCTCTTGATTTTCCTTGATCGTGCCTGGTTACCGTCGGGGCAGCAAGTGTGACTCAAGCCTCGTTCCCCACTCATCCCAACAATGTCTCCCTCCATGCACTGTCTCTCTTCCACCTTCACAAACCTCACCCGGCTAGCTCCTCGATCGCTAGCATCGCATTCCACATCAGGCATGCAACAGCATCTGGGAGCCAGCATGTTCCGTTCCTCCATCCTCCGGGTCACCCACTCCCGCGCAGCCGCGACCGGCCGACCGGCCCGCTACTTCTCAACCACGAGGCGACAAGCCTGTGCTAACATGCCATCCTCGCCCTCAGACCGCTTCATGTCGGCCCTGCACCAGAACAAGGACTGGGCCGCCAAGATCTCCAAGGAGGATCCCCAGCTCTTCCCGACGCTGGCCGTGGGCCAGCAGCCCGAAATTTTGTGGATCGGGTGCTCCGACTCACGGTGCCCTGAGACCACCCTGTTGGACCTCAAGCCCGGCGACGTCTTCGTTCACCGCAACATCGCCAACGTGCTGCACGCGAGCGACCTCAGCTCGTCGGCTGTGATCGAGTACGCCGTCAAGTACCTGCGCGTCAAGCACGTGGTTGTGTGCGGCCACACCAGCTGCGGTGGCGTTGCGGCCGCGCTGGGCAACAAGCAGCTCGGCATTCTGGACCCGTGGCTCATGCCGCTTCGCCAGCTCCGCGAGCAGCACCTCGAACTGCTCAACTCGCTCCCCACCGACGAGGCCAACCTGAAGCTGGTCGAGCTGAATGTCCACGAGGGCGTCAAGACGCTCAAGCAGAAGAGCGTCGTGCTGGACGCCATGCAGGAGCGTGGCCTTCGCGTCCACGGCCTGATTTATGACGTCGGCAGCGGTGTGCTGCGCGAATTGGACACCGACGAGCCTGAGGCGGCCATTAAGGCGCGTCTGACTTCCTTCAAGACGGACGTATAACTTCGATTGTGGTGCGTGATTTCAGGGACGGTATGACGGTGTGTTTTTCGGTGTTGAATCTCGCCTTCTGGGTTTGGAGACGGTGTCGTGGGAGGTGTTATGTTTTCTTTCAGCGACCAGTGGCATTTTGCATATTTGTTGTAATTAAGTGCCGCGTTGTCTGCTTCTTGAAGCGTGGGCGTGGTGGAATCTTTATCTGGTTCACAACTCAGTTTGATGGATACTGTTAATAGGGTCTTGGTGACTCACTTACTGTAACCTTTGCTGCATCATCATGATGATCATCTCAGAGTCATCTCTGCAGCCAAAGTAATGTGGCAAGGTCTTCCAGCCATGACTCGTAGGCCTCGAACAGACAATAACCAAATGGGATATCAGCTTGAAGGAGAAGGGGAGAGAGAAGAGAAGGGAGTGAAAAGCCTGAAGAATGAGAATCGGGCAGTGGCAGGGCGGGAGTGCACAGGATGGCCCTGAGACTTACTGTTCCACAACGGTCGGAAGATGGTCTCCGCAGCCTTAATCATCGTTGCCCATGTCCCAATCAGGCAGGCCCGGGAGATGAAGTGGATAATGTGTGACTGGATGGGGTTTGGTCCCGGCCGAAGCGGCTATTCTTCGGGATTGCCAGTGGTTTGCAGAGGTCAAGCAAATGCAGCGTGACTGGAATGTGGAATTGTTAACTATTGAACAATGGGCTCCATTGTTCATAAGGATGATAGCTGTCCATGGAGTATGTCCTTATGAAATCTCTTCTCTCTTCAGGTACTACGCAGTATAGAGTACAGTGCGTATTGCCAAGCTTGCTTCTTGGCTCTGACAATGCCGCTACACCTGCCAAGCTGGCAGGCTGACAAACGCCACAGGTACGGGGTGAAGTCTACTGTACAACAGATCCTGACTATGACTCCCAATATGCTAAGTCAAGTTGCGGGAGCAGGCTCTGATTTCGCAGAGCCACGACCAGACGATTCATCTTGCACCTGACCATGCTCCACAGCCTTGTCGGTGGCTCCAGCAGGAGAAACTGCAACAGTAGTAGCAGCACCAGCAGTATCAACAGCCGGAGGGTCAGCAACACCTCCCTCAACACTACTTCCAACACCGCCATCTTCACCCACCTTACCCTTATCCCTCCCAAAGATCCTGCGATAAACCTCCACTTCCTCCCCCTTCAACCCCACCCCCGACGGATCGCGATCCAACAGAAATCGCTGCACCTTCTCCTCCAGTCCCGCCCTCTTCCTCCCCTGCCCCTGCGGCCCCTCCTGCTGCTGCTGCTGCTGCTGCGCCGCAAACGCCACGGATTTCTCCCTCCTCCCCGCTAAGAACCTCTCCTCCATCTGCGTGACCTCCCACAACCGCTCCTCGACCCCACTACTCAACCTCCCAATCCACGAGGCCTGCAACGCCCCGCCCAGCAGCGTCAACAGAACCAAAAACGCCACGAACGTCCGATTATCAACGGCATGCTGCTGCCGCGGCTGGTGGCGGTTGCGCCAGCGCTCCCAGTCCTCCCAGGTAGCGTTCGCGGAGATGGGATGGTAGTTGTAGTCGCGGGAGCCGCCGGGGCGGGCCCAGGGCGGGATATCCTCGTGCCTTTTGGGTTCTGAGTGCGGATGGCAGGTCCATCCCGTGCCGAACTGGTCGTAGGCGGCGCGTTTGGCGGGGTCGGAGAGGAGTTCGTGCGCGGCGACGAGGAGGTGGTAGCGCTGGATGCGGAGTTCCGGGGTGAGGTTCTCGAGGAGCGGATGGTTGGCGGCGGCGGGGCGGTCGGGGTGGTAGATCTTCACGAGGTCGTAGTATCGGGTCTTGGTGTAGGGGGCGTGATGGTCCAGATGCAGGAGGTCGTAGGGGGTGAAGGTCGGGGTGGTGGGCCAGGTGAGATTGAGGTCTTTGGCGTTGGTGGAGGCGTGGCGCTGGTTGGGGGAGGAGTATGGGTGCGGCGCTGCGTTTACTCGTAGGAACGGGAGCTGGAGGGCGCCGTGGAGGGAAGGTTTCCTAAGCATGGCCGCATGATTTGGTGGGAGAGAGGGATGTGATGTTCCTTCTCTCCTGCGGTGGTTTATCTGTATAATTCAAGTCGTGTAGTGTAGTGTAGTGCAGTGTGGTGTAGAGTGTATGGAGTGTCGAGTGATACAATCTCCGGGAAGCTCGGCCTGCGGCAATCAGTGGCGAAAGGATAGGATCCACTAAGACTACCTTATCCACCCATCACGTGCAGCTTCATCAAGCTTCGCCCATCTCAAACTGAACCTGTAAACACTTCTCCCAGCTTACCATCAACACAACCCCTACAATGCCAGACGCACCAGACCCATATACCCGGCGACGACCCCGCTCCGGCTCGCGCTCACCCGGCCCCTCTCGGGATCATCGCGACAGCCGATCCCGCCGCCACGACACCCACCGCAGCTCACGACGAGACAGCTCTCGACGACGCGACCACACCGACCGGGAGCGCAGCCATCGAGACAGCAGCGACCGCCACCGCAGAGAGAGACGAGACCGCGAGCGCAGCCCGCGCGACGAGCACGAGCACGACCGTTCGCGCCGGCGTCGACACCGAGGCCACGACGACGACGACCACGACGACGAGGGAAACTCCCACTCCCACCGCACCTCGCATCGCCGACACCGCGAGCACACCGAACGAACGCACCCCGCCTCCTCCTCCTCCCGCCGCCAGCACCGCCATTCCTCACGCTCGCGCTCACGCAGCCCTCCCAAAGCCACAATCCGCTCCACGCAACCCCTCCCCTCTCAACAATCCGCCTACACCAACACCACCTCCCAGCCCGCAGACCCAGACGCGCCCCCGCCCCCTCCCAAAGAAAAACCCAACTTTGGCACGACCGGCCGTTTAGCAGCCGAAAGCAACACCATCACCACCACCACGGGCGCCTCCGTGGTGCTCAAATACCACGAACCACCCGAAGCGCGCAAGCCGCCGGCGAAAGACGGCTGGCGGTTGTACGTCTTCAAAGGCCCAGATCTTCTGGAGATGGTGGAGTTGAATGTGCGGAGCTGCTGGCTGGTGGGACGGGAGCATGCGGTGGTGGACTTTCCCTTAGACCATCCGAGTTGCTCGAAGCAGCATGCTGCCATCCAATTTCGGTACATTGAGAAGAAGAATGAGTATGGCGATCGGGTGGGGCGGGTGAGGCCGTATATTATTGATTTGGAGAGTGCGAATGGGACGAGTCTGAATGGGGAGGTAGTGCCCGCGGGACGGTTTGTGGAGGTGAGGGATAAGGATGTGGTGAAGTTTGGGTTGAGTGAGAGGGAGTATGTTTTTATGTTAACCAAAGGGGAGTAAGTCTTTAGGAGGGGGTTGGTTGCAGTTTTGCTACAAGCCCCGTTGCAGCAGCTCCATGGATAAACGTCTGAGAGACCCGGAGGACCTTCATCTAGACATCACTTGGGTAACTATGAATACACTTAATAGAGGAGCACGCCCACTGGCTTCATCGGTGCATCTGCGATGTGAAGAAAGCTACAAGCCAGAGACTCGGAACATAGACAGCACATTCAGACAATGTATGCAATAATCCTAAGCAATAAACCTCCATGCCATGATCGCAATGCACTAAAAGAGAAATAGGTATCGGAAAACGCACCCCAACATGGGCCGCAAGGTACTCAAATGAAAACCACAATCTCGCCCCGCTCGTTCATCTTCAGACGCAAAGTCCGCCACAGCTCCTTCTCATCATCGATTCTCCGCTCGCGGTCCGCGCGACTGCGGCCCTGGTCGCGACCCCGGTCACCATCGAACTCATCAGTAAAGTCCTTGTGGAAGCGCTTCAACACCTTATTGACCGAGAACCCGCGAGAGCTCTCCGGACCCTTGGTCACAAGAGACAGGAAGTGGGTCGCCATCTGCTGGGGCAAGCCATCAGGCACCGTGCTTCTGGGGTAGACTGTCATCTGACGACCGTCCTCGTCGTGGTGCGAGTCGGGGTATTCGATCTGCTTCTGGCGGCGCGACGGCCGGTCACCCTCAGTCTGGGCGCTACTCTTGCGCTTGGACTTGCGGGAATCTTCCGAGCCCGCGACCTTGACCTCGCCATTCTCGCGGATTTTGTGGGTCTTCTTCGAGCGACGGGTCTCCAGTTGACCGTTGGCGCTGCTACCGGAGACAGAGGAGCCTCCGAACATCGACGAGACAAACCGTTCGGCACGGTTCTTCATGGAGATGCCCAAGCCCGCATCGGCGTTGTTCTCCTTCTCGTCGCGACGGGTGCGCTTGATTGGGGAGGAGGTTTCCTGGTAGCGCCGGCGAGAGGCGTTCTCATTGCCCTCGGAGTCGTCCAGCGACGGGGAGCGGAGCATGCGATTTAGTCCTCCCGTCAGTCCGGAGTGGTTCAGCATCGGGGTGCCGGGGTGGTTGACTACGCTAGAGGGGGCATCCAACATAGGGGTGTCTGCCTCAGCGTCGTGGTCCTCGGTGCGGCGCTTGCGCTTCTTCTCGCTCGTGACACCCTCGGCCTTGGAGGAGCGGTCCTTCTTCTTTTTGGGCGCAGGGGTCATGAACTCCATCGACACATTCGGAGCCTTGCCGTCATAAGGCGACTGGCTGATGGGCCCGGAGCCGTACGAAAATCCATTCTCCTCATACGCGACGTCGTAAGCCTTGTTGTCGTCATCGCCATTCGTGTCAACGCGAGCCAGCGACTTGCTCGCCTCGAAGACCGATGGCGCATTGGCGACCATCTTCATCTGTTCCTTGTTCTCGTTCACAGATACCTTGGAAGCATTGGGAGTACCCTCCGGAACAAGAAAGTCGAAGACATTGACCGGCTTGTCGGTCTTGCCTTCCGCGCGGGGGGTCTTTTCCACCCCGGCGGGGGGAGGGCTAGGAGCAGGGGGTGGGAGGCCGTCGGTGTCGGTTCCATCCTCCACATAGGGTGCCCGGTGGCCATGGGGGGTCTGCTTCTGGTTTTGATGTTGATGTTGGTTCTGGTTCTGGTTTTGTCTGCCGTTGTTCTGCCCTTTGCGTTGGTTCTTGGCCGGCTTCTCTCTGTACAGTGCGCCTTGGTATTTTTGCGCTTCGGACATGCAGGACTAATAGTGAAATTAGTTTCAGGTCATTTCATCATCAAGCAAGAGCAAGCACATGGTAATCATCAGGCAAAATGCTTGAGAGGAAGGATTGCACGCGGTGGAGTCGACAAACAAACCACCACAAGACAGCATTGGGAGTGTAATGGGGTTGTAGGACCATGACGAAGGTCAAGGCGTGCATACCGTGTGTGATCTGTAGCTAGTTCCCTGAAAATGCACCATGCAGTCGATGCAAGTGTACGAAGCGCCGCGACATTGGTTGCGATGAGGGTCGAGCTTCTTCTTGGTGAGAACATCACCGCACGCCTAGTTTGAGACGTCGCATGTTAGCACGCGTTGTTCAACAGTAGACAAGAGGCTTTCGCCTGGTGGATACGCTTCGACGGTTTTGCGCGACTCACCTCGCAGGAGAAAGAAACCATTTTGTCAAGATCCTCTGAATTGTAGCGCGATCGGATCTCAAGAATGTTGCGCGACTTGAGACTGCGCCGATATGGGCCAGGAAAAAAAGAAGAGGAAAATTGTAAGTCCGGTGGATGGGGTCCAGCAACAATTAACTTAAGCTAGACTTTCGGGGACCCGCAACGGACCTGAAGATGACCGTCGATTGACTGTCGTTACACTTGCGGTGGATGTTGTTCGGGACAACGGGGCAAACACGAGGTTGTACTATGTTGCATGTAAGATGACAGAGAGAGGAAAAAGCAACAGAGAGCCGTTTGAGCAGTCGCGTGGGGAGATCCTGAACCCCAGCGTCTTAAGAAGCGAAGGCTTGTGTCAGCTTTGGTCCCAAAACCTTCCCCGGGCGCGTCTCTTGACAGTCAAATGTTGTGTCGCAAAAAAGCAGTGAAAAACAAAAAAGAATCAATTCAAGTGACACTAATCCTCACTTGGATTAGTGTATTTCCCAGAATGTGTTGGCTGCCTGTCCAATCAGGCAGTGATTCTCCTTCTCCCTGCAGTGGAATACTGGTCTCTAGTCTAATCCCTACACCATTCCATCTACCAAATTGGCACAGATACGCTCCTTATCTCTTCGAGACACCCCCATTGCAATGAGTACAACGACCACTTGATCAGAGCAGGAGAAGGGAAGGACAAGGGGAATGTGGCGCTTGTGCATCGAAAATACCAACACGGACTTGTCAGGAGACTGGCTACTACTATGCACTATGCAGCAGACCCCCTCGGATCGACCAGTCGCCGTCCACCTCCACCCTTCTTCTCAGCGCATCCTTTGGTGTAGCCCCTGCACGAAGGTATAGACATCCTTTGCCGGACAATAAGGGACATTTAAAAGATACGAGTGGCCGCTCTTGAGTGTGCTCTGATCCTCACACCTCATAGGATTGGGGCGCGGGGATCATCAGTCTGCGACACAATAAACTTCCAGTCCGAAGTCGAATGTGGATCGGCGCCTTGCGAGTAAGCAAGTCCGTCCATCGACACAAGACATCCTCGTGTACTATATATATCATGCGGCGCCAAGCGAGCGCCGTGAGCATACGGCGTTTATAATGTTGCGGCGCTGGTTTCAGCCTTATCTTGTTCAAACAACTCGGGGTTATCGCCAGATCAAGATTACGCCTATGAAGTCGATTTCGCACAAGCCTGCAACAACTTTTCTCGCAGACCAAGGGAAAGCTGAGATGCACAGTACCTTTGGCACCGTGGTCAGCCGCGGCCGGCATGAAGGCTCCACTATCGTCATGCGCTCCACTCTGCATGCCCTTCACACCCTTTCATGCAGCTTCCACACCATCTATCCGGGCCTTTTTTACGACATGAATCATTGATGAAGCCTTTCCAGATGCCCCGTCCGAGTTCTTGGGTGTTGCGCTAGAGGCCATGCGCATGTGTCAGGGTACCCTATGCACATTCAGAATTTGGATGACCCATGACCAGGCTGCACTGACCAGGCTGCACCCGTCGTGGGACCACAATGGCGTCATTTCTCCTGTTGTCCGTCTGCTTCGTATGCGATGATAAACCTGTACTACACTTAATGCCCAAGGCTTGTTGGGCGGCGTCCTCGGGAGCTGGGGACAGTCAAGCCATGTTATCGCTTATTTCCCCGCTGAACAGGGGATGTTTGAGTGGGACAGGATGATCCCTGGAACCGCGAGATATATGCATTTGCGATAAAAATTTGTACCAGTATATGTGTCAGAAAATACAGTGCACGAACCGGTTCAGTGCATCCAGCGATCCAGCACTGGCAGGAGTATAGGTAGCGTGGAAGGGAAAGTATAAGTCACAAGGGTGTATTATGACCGAAGGTCAAAGTCAGGGCGCGCAGCGTTCATCCTCGAGTAGTCCTGGAGCGAGTTCGGTCAGCAAGGTATCCATGATCATGGGATACGAGAGGAGCACGAACGGTTCCCTGTTAATCTCGACCGGGAAGGGTGTGCCATCGCTATCGGCGTCCCTGCGAGCATCGGGCAGATCCTTGTTTCCAGTCGCCCCCTCCTCCTCCACCTCCTCTTCGTCCTTCGCACAACCGCAGTCATAAAAATCACCGATATTGTTGCAGTCAAATTGCGGTTTCTCAAGCATGATATTAACCTCGTTGTGGATGAAGCAGCCCCACCCAGCGGCTGCGTTGCGCGATGAGACTTGTGGGGGGTACTTCTTGAGGTGACCTTGGAAGTGCGAGGCGCATTCGCCACTATCAGGAGACTCCAGTCAGCACACAGCAATATATATCGGGGCGACGTAAGAGGACGATAATACCATGGATAAAGTCGCGCAAAGAGGTAAATGAAAGAGCGGAGGGTTTCCTGCTGCTCCTCGGTCGGTTCTTCGGGATACCGAGCCAGCATGGTATGGAAGTATTTCCAGGTCGCACGGCCCAATTCCGCTCTACAAATGCCACCGAAGATCATTAGCGTGATGACTCGTGCGAAGCATACCAAGTATCAAGCAACTTGATAGTCAGGATCTAATCATACTTGGCCGTTGCATTGCCCAGCTTAGGCATCACCACCTCCCCTTTGATCAGATCATCCTTGGACACCACGGCCGGCGCGGATTTGTCGAGGTGGCCGGGAGCACGAACGGCGGGACTCGGCGGACCTTGTGGTTGAATGAAGAACAGAAAGATTAAAAAGATAGTAATAGATGCGCCGACAAGGAGTTGCCGGGTGATCTGGCGATGTGCCATAGTGAACTGGCTGTGGTGCGCCCACGCTGAGAGGGCAAAGACTGACTGAGTCGGGGGCTCGGTCGGGAAGACAGATCGCCCTCGAACTAAGGGGGGAAGACAAAGAAGTAACCGCCACCACAGTGGCAGAATTGGTCGGTGCTTACGGCAGTAGCCGCCATGTTATCCCATGCCCGTCACTTATGTATCACACCATGAATTCCTATGATTCTGCCGGCAGTATCAAGATTCAAGCTAATTACATGAAGTACTTGGCTTTAATTACCTCTTCATTACTATTAGGTAACTCACTTATACTAAATAGTTAGGTATGAGGCTTGCTTATTATATCTTACTATGATCGCGAGGCTTTCAGGTATTCAACTGCCAGACGTAATGATATAAGACTTTAGCAGGTGGCATTTTTCGGCAGTATTTGAGGCTGTTGTTACGAGCCCCTTTAATCAACTTTGGTGTCTAACATACTGATTTCCATAATCTCAGTGAGCTCTGGTGACCCTTGTAGACACTGTGCTGTACGGCGGACAATTGAAGCCATCGGGTAAATGAGTTTTTACTCAATTGGTGTTCTACTGGCAAAATCGATTCATCTTCTCGCTAGACTATTTAAGTGTCTATTCGTATATAAAGCTTTTAGACTCACTAGCTTTATCTTTCAGCTACTGATTCTAAGTATTACTATGAAAAGATACATGATTTTTACTTAGAGTACTATGACCTATAGATGTTCTACACGTCTCCTTGATCTTTACTTCACTCAGAGAAGATCTCTTCTAAATCTTTTATACTACCGTATCTATCCTACTACTCTCTACCTCTATGGATTGCCCCGCAGGCATACCCCAGAGTAGATATAAGAGAAAACAAGCCAGCTCAGCCGGAGTACTCCGAGTCCGTAATCGATAGTTCAATCTCTCCGCGCCTCATTCTAGACTTGGTGCCCCTGAGAAGCTTCAGTTAAGTAGGTACTGTAGTTACCTAGTTGCCTGAGCTTTTGACACCAGCAATCGCCGCCCCACTCACCCCGATACGCGATAAACTACAATTATAACTACGTACGTACGTACTTTCGACGTCTTCTTCGACAACTTCAACATTCCTGCTCGGCAAAATGGACTATTCCGTAAGTCAGAATCCACCGGCCTAGTGCTACAGTACGTACAGTATTCACAATGACGGGTCAAGACGGGAGGCATGCCCGAAGGCTGGTGCAAGGAGCCTTTGCTTTTGAGATATTTCTCAAAACCTCAAAGCCTGGAGGCTCATCTGGCTCAATACTACGGTCTGCTTCTCTGCTGATTTCAATGAGTTTCCCCGATTCCGGAGAGACGCACTTTCTCATTACATCTGCGGGGAAAGTATTATCTAGCGAGTTTAGAGCATGGTCATCTTGCAGAAATCATCAGACCTAAGAATCTACTTCTCATCCTTGACGCTACAGGCCTGCATATGAATTACCTAAAACCGATGCTGGCTGTCTCAGAGAAACAGGTATGATGATTAGATCACATCCGAGGAGAGACCAGACATAGGGTTACACTTGTACCAGTCTCCCTGATGCAGTCAAATGATTCAAAGGAAAGGATTTTCGGAAAACAAGTAGTCGTAAGTGGGTCATATGCTGCACGGTTCTCTGTACATGACATAATAAATTCAGCTTTTTGAGGGGTAAAGCACCTGGTATCAAGAAATGGTGTCGTGCTTGCAAGTTCATAGGATCGGGGGCGCCACAAAGGAGTCCGGAATACCATCGAAGACCCAATTCAAGGAATCGAATACTTCAGAAAATCCTGCCTCGCTGATGAAGGCACCATCGAAATTTGGGGTGTAGATCAGGTTCGTACTCTGTAATGAGTCATCTGGCGGCCGTGCAAGAGGGCCGGTGAGAGCAGCCATGTTGGGATTATTGGCCACGGTAGCTGCGATTGATTAGTCTAAAGGCAATTGAGGACAAGGTAAGATAGGAACATACCCTGCGTATCCTCCACGCTCTTCATCGGGCGAAACCGTTGGCGCCACCGCCAAACGGTATCGTAAACATGGCTCATGCTCATCCGACACCGAATTTTGAGCTGCAGAGCATCGCTGCTGGCCGGATCCTCAGGGCTGCCGGCATTCCACATCTGCGCCAAGATATCGGCCAGCCGAACGGGACGATCGTGATCCATGACGCTGATCCGACGGATGGCGGAGATGGCTCCGTTAAATAAAAGTTTGCCATGTTCGAAGTCGATGTGGCGGCGGAAATCGCTCTTGAGGAGCTTCATAAGCGCGAAAGCAGCTGAGACAATCATTTGGAGGATGTAATTGGGCGCGTGGCCGATAAGCTCGCCGGGTGAAGTCTCCAGATCGAGAACGCGCCCGAGGAAGGAAGTGGTTGCTATGAATAGCTTGGTTAGGTCATCGCTTCGGGCATTAGAGCCCAGGAATACGAAATATCGTAAGTGCAGCTCGGCGGCTCTTAAATGGATCATGTTGATGTCTAGAAGATTGGTTAGGAAAGACCCGAATGCCTATCAAGCCATACACAACATACTGGAAATGTCCCGGCCGAACTCAACTTCCATATCTCTCAGTTCATTCTCCAAAAGCTGTACAATCAATAGCTTTTCGGAGCTGATGAATTCTGCAGGATCAGGCTTGCTGCTGTACAATGCTTTGGTGACTCGGTCGCAGAACTTTTCGATTCTGAGACGGGTCATGAGATCATGCGAGGGGTGATAATCGGCGTCTCGAAGCGAAGCGGGCTCCAAGGCCCAGTCATAGATAGTTGACGGAGGCTGGCCGTACCCGGTAGCGACACTTCGATATCCGAGTTAGTTTTCGATCTTGACTCCGGCATCGAAGCCTACTTACTTTTGAGCTACGATATTACAGATAACCCACGTCTGCAATCGATCCTTCACAGCTTCCCCTTGTACTTCCATGCGGAAAGTCGTAAACTCCTCGGCCTGAACCGGACGGTGCAACCCTAGCTGCATAGAAATTTGCATCATCAAGCCGCTAAGCATAAAGGTGGCATCGGTCCGTTGGCTAGTTGTTGGTAACGGCCAAGTACACAGGAGACAGAGTGCTTTGACCACACGGTAGTCTTGTGGTACACCGGTGATGGTGGACCAGAGCAGTCGACTGAACGGCCCGGAGAGTGCGCTGAGGAGGCCAGGCTCAGATGGTGCTCGTCGACTGGCAACACAGATGATAGTCCATGCCTGCAGTGGACAACGTCGCATATACTCATCTGGGGGCTTCTGGGGGTTCAGGAGCGGAAGAAAGGGATGATAGTATTTGAAGAACCTAGCCAACCATTGAGAAGACAATTAGTATAGGACAGTATGGAAAAGAGCAAGATCGTACTGTTCAAATAACCGTGCTACCCGGGTACGAGATAGCGATATGTCTTCTAATTTCCACGGATTATCATCCTGAGACAAAATAGACGCGTCTCGATGAATGGTCAGTGGAGAAGCCATAGGCTGCGGCTCCAAAGGGGCCGACAAGGGCCGTCCTTTGATGCCAACCGCGGCATCGGGGGAACAGAATACGTCCTCCGAACATTGTGACAGCTCGTCCGAAGCATTGGCCTCCCCAGACTGGGGATGCTCCCCACTAGCCAGCCGGCGGCGGAGATCCGCAATTTCTCTTTCCATCTCCGCATTGCGCCTAGAAGTCACTGTTCAGCCAAGAGATAGAACATCGCAAGAGGAGAATTGAGGAATCTTACCGGCGTTTGGAGATACGTTGGAAAGTGGGCTCAACCTTGCATTCTATTTGGAGCCGGCGGCAGCGTGAGCATGCATCAGCGGGCGTCTGCACAATATCACACCGGAGCTGCGGATTTGGTAAGCCTATACACAGCCAGTGGTGTACATATCAGGCGATAAATAACAACATAGATATGCATAACTCTGCAGTGGGGCAGTACTGAAACAAAGATGGATGGAATGCAACGGTGACGTGCACCCACAGACATACCTTCTGCTGTTTACACTCATTACAGGCCTTCCTACATCCACCCCGCCGCTTGCTTGGGATGGCGGTGATCTTGTCCATGGCGCAAGGTTCCGAGGCTCTTGGGGAGAAATCGAAAGCTGTCATGGGCCGAGGAAGCCTAAGATTGTTCCGAAGGTCGCTGGTGGTGGCCGGAGGCGTTAAGAGTGAGGCATGTGTAGCCAACCCATTCGGCGCAAGAACCCCGCGGTACTCCAGATCCATTAGGAGTATAAAACACCGTGTGGGGGACCCGTTGACCCGTTAAACACATGCAATGACTCAATAAGGGTATGCCTGTGCCTCTGTGCCTGTGTGGCAGCGAATGTGAACCAGGCGTTCAGGTGCCGGAAATCGGCAGAAAAGTTTTGGGTGGTGAAAGTGTGTAAAGTGTGGGGAGATCGCGAAACCGGCAGTTTCGGCTGACTCAGCGGCTGAGCTCTAACTAACTTAGTTAAGTTAATGCCTGAAGTTCCAGGCTGCAAGAGCTCATTCCTTTCCGCAGCATGTGATCCTCATGGAGGTTATTGCTTCCTTGAAGTAGCTTTGAGCAACTCATCCACACAACCAACGGAGAACCACGCCATGCTGCTATATTCAGATGCATTCTGTGGCTCGATCATCGGTCATGCTGGAGACTTTCTTTTGATCCCTTGATTCGCATTATGCCCAGCGACAAAGCTCCTTTAGATGTCCCTTGACAGATGGGCCTTTCCAGGTGTCTTTATGTCGTCCAATGTGCTGGTGATCGTCCTAATAAAAAAAACCACTAACTCGGTGGCATTCTCGGTTCAAAGGGCAAAGCGCCATGAAAAACCTCGTAGCGGCATTTGCCATTGCATACGTGACAACAAGATATGCTTAGGATGATTAAATATATAGGTGCCTCCGTCATTGCCTGCTACTGCCCCAATGACTTTGTTCACAGCCCAAAATTTCACCCACATGTCCCAAACGCGTCTACCCCCGGAAGTCTGGCTTAATATCGTGAGATATTCTTCACGCCACGATGTCCTCTACAATTTGAGCTACGTATCCAGTGAGTTCAATCGATATGCTAACACTCTTCTATACTGCTCGATCGAGTGGGAATGGCAGGAGGTCCCTTTCCACTGCATCCTCAGGCTGTTGGAAAACCTCGTGACCTACCCCGAATTGGGCAGATACATCTGCTATCTCAGGATTGAACGAACCGATCCTTTTCTCAATTACGACTGGGAGCCGCCGCGGCGCGAGCGGTACTGGAGATATCGTGTCCCTTCAGAGCACGGGGAACTCTATCAGCGTTTGCGCAATCACATATTCGACTTGAATCTGCCAGACACGACTAGGTGGGTCGAAGAAGTCCGCCACGGCAATCCGTATGTATTTGTGGCATTGACCCTTTCGTTCTGTTCTAACCTGCGGTATCTGAGTCTAGATTACTCTTTTGTACAGATGGGTGGCTGGCCCGGGCGGCTGATTACAGCCGCCTACAATGCTACTCCAGCTGCTCACCCACGGCTGCCTCGAACTTCAAGACGGCGATCTTCGAGTTTGCGACGGGGTCGGCAGATGGCAGGGTCGGGAGTCCGTGGAATCCCGAGATTCGAGATGCTGGAAAAGGTCTTTTATGGGCATAATGTCCCGGACACCTGGCACAGGGGAAATAGCGGTCCATTGTATCCCCAAGTCCATCCGCATCAGTTCCAGGGCTTGTTCTACCTCCCTGCCGTCTGGTCTCTTGGGGTCTGGCTGCGCCACCCACCGACCTTCGCTGAATCTCCGCACAGGGTCCTGAATATTGGCAGGATTCGGGACCTGTGCATTGTCCGCGCCACAATTCAAGAAACAGATATAGAACAAATTCTTCGACGAGCCACCTCGGTTGTCTGGCTTCATTTAGGCTTGTCATACCATCCGGTCACAGGCCGGCCGTTTCAAACCCCGGGAAACCCTGTTCTCAACGGTCTCTTAGCTGTTCGGGATACAGTCGCGCTCTTGTCTGTCGGGGTGGAGTACGAAATCATCGGCTTCAGACATGCACTTACTGACCAAGACCGCCGCAACTGGGCCCAGTTCTACGGCTTCCTCCACCAGTTTCGGCGATTGGTTGACGTGGAGCTTCCAATACAGATGCTTTTAGGCGTCAACGGACATCCTACTGCTGACAGGCCAACTTTGGGCTCGGTCCTCCCACCGACAGTCAGCGAACTCGTGATACGGTGGGACAATTGGCGGGCCTGGCCCGGGTGGACCAGGGGTCAGATCCTGGGCGCTATCCAGCAGCATCTGCTAAACACATTGTATTTGACGCCTGAACTGGAGATCGTGACGGTGCGCATGTGGCGGGGGCTACCCGTCTTCCCGCGGGACACTCAACTCCTAAGGGAACAAATGTTGGGCGCCACTGGTGTTGAGGTTGCCGAGTATACAGACGCAATGACTCGAGGTCTGATGCCAACGCGGCCCGGACCTTTGGCCTGGTAGCTTGCAGACTTCAATTTATATATCAATCAAGGTGAAATCTAATTGCAGCGATCCATATAGTTTACCAGTGAAGACGGTAGTTTTCACAAGCTTTAACCAGCGAGTTAATCGACAAGCTAGCATAGTATCAGTATCATCATTCTAGGATCGCCTTAGACATAAATTAACAATCAGCCACGTACCCTGAAGCTATAAGGCTGCCAACTAACCCGATCAACAACATTAAGAACATACTCTTGTCTGTATCAGGACGAGATTGTAAGTATAACCTGGAAAGGGCTTTGAGCATGAAACCATGCCCATATGCCTAAGGTTAACACAACATTGGTCTTCATTGTGATGTGCGCTGACGGGGTCAACCTAACCATAGGAGCAGCAGTTGGAGTCTTCCAGTCATGATCCAGGCGGACTCCTTGCCAAGTGTTTCCGTGACCCCATATGTTTGCGAACGAATGGGGTTTACTTCCTGGCTAGTATGTTTTCTCGCAACGAGCTAATTTCCACTGGAGAGTTAGGTGGCGCTGAACGTTGGCGATTCGATCCTAGACGAAAGATCTGGGAGGAGTTTCCCACACAATCCTAGGGTCAATCATCAATGTTGTTGGTGGTTGCCAATGCGGACTAGGAATGGGCATTGGAGTGAACCTGGAGGCGCGTCTCCACTGGCCCAGTAAGGAGAAATTTTTAGAATCAGTCAACCAGACATCAGAGTTCCACTCGCGCTGTGATGCTAGGCTACGATGCTAGAAAGAACCTCGGGGAGTTTGGATCTGAAGGGGGTACTCTGCTTATTGTCAAGCATTGCCTTAGAAGCAATATTGGCTGTATTTACATAGCTCTGTCAGCTCAGCGCTGCCGGTCAACTTGAAGTCGCGGTGCCACATTCCAAGGACCTGGAATATATGCTTTTTTTATAGTCTCTGAAATGTGATCTGATCCTGATGCGTATGTTACTTCAGCGACCTGCTCAAAATGTAGGCCTTTGGGGTCTTTGGTAGCAATGGTATCAAGGACTTTAGGTAAAGTCTTAGGCTTGATGATCTCGTTGAGAAAAACATTTATTATACAACCAGCTAAGAATTGTTCAGACTATACTACTGAGACTTAAAAGTACATATAGTAGTACTCTCAGGGTAGCTGAGAACTTAAGTATCAATAGTAAAGGGTTCTGTCAATCTTATAAGCACTAACCATAGTACTTGACCGGTGAGTCATGACTTACGGAGGAATCGTCCATTCTTCCCAGTAGGAACACAAGAGAAGTAGTTCCTCACTCAGTGATGCGTCAACTTTCGAGAAACTAAGCTTTGATATGTCCAAGATCGTCATTAACGTTCGACGTCTCTTGATCAAATCAAAGTGGAGCACCTGTGCTTCCCTCCTCCGCAACCGAATTGCCGTATGTACCCTCGTATTTCTCGATCAGTTCCTTACAATTGGCACAAGGTCTCCAATGGCTATTCCGGATGACTTCCTACAGTCGTTTGTCATAGGCAAGAGGCGCGAGATTTATGTAGTTCATGGTGAGCGAATTCACTTACTTGCTTCGCCTCCTCTCTGGGCTTGCCCCTATGATACAGTCAGTCATTGCTTATGCTGAAAGAGAGATATGCACTGAAAATAAGGATAATGCTAGGTGTCCAGGACTGGATCCATCCTGTCAACTCCTCACGCCGAAGCGAGCTCGATCCAAACAAGCCAATCACCTATATTACCGGCATCATTAAAACCTCCACGGGACGTGCTAAGATGGTATTCAGCGGTCTCATTTCAGCTGCCCTGGTATACCGTGGGGGTCTTCCACTATCGCTGGTGGTCTTCGTCGATGAGCTTCGCAACCCACTGTCCAGAGACGGCAGTAACTGGTAGGAAGAAATCTGCTTTCGTTGCCCCTGCCGGGGCAGGCAGGACCGAAACTACTGAGGAAGAATCCGTTAATCTGCTGGCTGATTCAGGCAATCCGGATTGCAGTTCCGGTGGCTTGTCCTGGTACCATAGTTGTGAAAGTGCCAGGGTCGTTGGTCTCAATGGGATAGATTGTGGTTGTAGGTGCTCAGTGGCCATGTCGTGGTATCTTGGATGTTCAAACTAGTGCTTCTATGTAGTGGATTGATGGCATCTCTACTTCGATGTTTTCTAAATGCCTTGCCGTGGCGGGATCTCGCAGCTTCGATAATTTTAAGTACTTTCATAGTCCTCAGCCTGGGATTTTGACTCTAATCAATACCAATAATTGACGATATTACTTTTCTGATTGTTTCAGCAAGACAAAGGGAGCTCAAGTTTCTATGCTGACAACTTGAGAGAGCGAGTGGATCACGTGCCGGATACATCGAGACAATAGCTCAATAAATAGGATGACCATTGTAACTACCTTTCT